AACGATAATAATCCTTGAATTCAATAGAGCGCCTTATCACATCATTGGGACATCTCAAAATGCTTCCCAGGATATGCTGTCGAGTGGATTGTCTGTGTATTTTGTGAGCGAAACCTGGCAGCCAGATGCACAGCAATGCCCACAAACAGCCGTGGGAGTGAGTGACCATTGTTTTATTCGGGGGGGGGGTTGTTATCCAGGACACCAGGAGGAGAAATGCCCTTCTCTTTTCCAATATTGCCATGGGATCTTTTAACGTCCACCTGAACAGGCAAATGGGACCTCAGTTTAATCTCTCATTCGAAGGATAGCAACTCCGACAATGCAATACCCCCCCCTCAGCACTACATTGGAGCGTGAGCTTTGGCTATATGACGTGGGGCTCGAACGCACAACCTTCTGACTCTTAGAGACGAGAGTGCCACCGCTGTGCCTGGCTGACACACAGCGTTCTATAATCTAGTAATCAAGTTTAAAAATGAAGTTTAGAGACGGTAAAATAAAATTGGCAAGTTAGAGCAAGACTGGGGTGGCTCTGGGTGTGTGTGTGTGGTTCGGGATTGTGTCAGTGATACTGGTTTGCAGTTTTATTTTGAATGAAGTGTTAATTGAGGTGTTACAAAACAGCTTTCTTTTTCTTTTTCGTTTATAAAACAGAGACAAGTCAAGTCGAGTGAGACTCTCAGCAGACTCGAACTGCTGCGGGGAGGTGAGAGACTGGTTGCCGAGAGTTAAACTGTGAAGGTGTTCGATACGTTAGAGCATGAGTTTATTTTTTAGATCTTGGTTTCTGAGGGAAGTGAAACCTCAGGAAGTTCAGGCTAATAATATCTGAAATGCTTGGGTTAAGTGAAAATTTTTCTAAGGCTAATTGGGACTTGGAGTGGGTAAATTACCAGAATCTATCATCAGGGACAAAATAATTGAACATCCAGATAAATATGCACAGATCAGAAAGAACCAACATGGGTTAGTGAAAGGCGTGTCATTTCTCATAGTTCCAATAGGAATCTTTGCCAGAACCACAGCAGAGATATATGAAGTGGGGTGTCATGTAGAATCGATTACATGGAGTGAAATGGCATTGAAACAGGATATTCAGTCAAATTAATCCATTCCGGTGTTTATACTCCACACAAGTCCCATCGCTCCTATTCCCCTCATCTATACCCCTCTATTTCCTTCACTCTTAGGAATTTGAACACCAAATATCCTGTATCTGAACCCAAATCGTTCATGTATGTCAGGGTGGGCCAACATTTTGGCTGCTGAGGGTTGGATGCTCTATTTGAGAAACAGCTGCAATATTTTCGTGTTTCCCTTCCAGAAACATAACATTTGTTGGTTTTGGAGGGAGTGGGTGGACCAGATGAAATGGAGGGGATGATATCGGTCAGTTGGACCACCCCTAATGCATGTGGTTAACAGTTGTGGCGCTACCTAGTACAGATCACTGTGGAACATTACTTTCTGCTTCTTGCCAGGATGTCATTTATATGGACTTTCAGTAAGCATTTGATAAATTGCCACATAAAATATTACGAGCTAAAATGAAGGCACACGGAGCTGAAGGCAATGCAGTATTGTGTCACGGATACAATATAAAATTACATTTGTATAGCGCCTTTCACGTCAGGAGGGCGTCCCAAGGAGCTGGACAGTCAGGGATTTGGACCCGAGCTGGGGGTCGGGATTGGGGAGGATGCAGGCAGGGAGGTACAAAATTGTAGGGCAGGGAGGTACCGAGATAGCAGGTTGAGAGTTAGCATAAAAATAAAAATGTTCTCTGATTGATGGGCGGTGACAAATGTCCCCCAAGAATTGGTGATAGCCCCACAGCTTTTCACCCTATATATCAATGACCTGGATACAGAAATAGACAGAACTATTTCTAAGTTTGTGAATGACACAAAGCTAAAGAGGTGTTGTAAATTGTGAAGAGGACATGCAAGAAATGCAAAGAGCCACAGGCAGATTAAGTGAGTGATCAGAATGATGCAGTTTAACATTACAATTTTAATAGTTATCCTTGCATTTGATATAGACCCCATTACATCTTCGAGTCGTCTCAAGGCGCTTCTCAGAACATACTGCAAAGTAAATTGAAGGTATATATTTGTGGGCGAAACACAGCAGCCAATTTCGCACAGCAGTATCCCACAAACAGTTGTGGATTGAGTGACCAAATTGTTTTTGTTTGTTTGCAAAGTGTGATGGAAGAACAGCAGTTTGGACCATGTCCTAAATGGAGAAACAAGAGAGATCTAGACATTCAAGTCCATAGATCATTGAAATCTAGTTTGCTGGTACAAAAAACAGGGCAAATAGGATTTAGGCTTTGTTTTAAACAAGAGGACTGGAATATAAAAGTAAGAAGGTGCTTTCCAGTTATACAGAGCATTGCTCATACTTCATTTAGAGTCCCGTGTTTAGTTTTAGGCACTCAATTTTAAGAAATATATATGAGCCTTGGAGCATATCCAGCAATGATTCATCAATACTGTCCCCATGTGAACTCACTGTCTGTTTGGCTCAAGTGGTTCAACAGTTGCATATGTTACAATGCCGTTTGTAAAAATTAATAGATGTACAAATCAATATTAATGTAAGTACACAGACTGATACCCACACTAATTGGGACCTGTCGCATTGTGAACCTGAACGTTTCAGATATTGTTGTCATGCAAAATTCAACTTACAGGACTAACTGAAACCCTCATACACCAGAATAATCACAATAATATAAATGCACAGATCAGATCTTTCAATTCCAGGACTGGAAAAATGCATACTTGGGAAAAATACCCAATCAGGTTTTAATTTCAGCGCAATAAAAGTTGCTGAGCATGAATGATTATCTGGTCTGCAACTAGGAGGCAAGTTCAGTGTAAATTCAGTTCTTGTGCAGAGTCGGTAGCCTTCTCACCTCTGAGCCCCACATTGAGCTCAAAGTCTTGGCTGGCACTCCAATCATTCACTGTTGGAGGTGTTGGCCTCCTTTGACATGAAAGGTGCTACAGTACAACAACTTGCAGTTGTATAGCGCCCTTCATATGGGGCAGCCTCCTGGAGCACTTGGATATCAAATTAATAATAGTATATCAAAAGCAAGGAATGAGATTATTTATGAGATTTAAACCAAGGGTGAAGACAAGAACCTGTGTGTTATTCAGATAGATTTTCAACCATGAAGGTACTTCCAGGGCGACGCCATCGAATGCAAGTTCAATTATGGTCTTCATACATTCCGGTCACTCTCAGACCGATGAGCTGAAGCCCCAACAAGAACCAAGAGTGAAACCAACCGACCAACCAACCAATTGAGCCAAATTGACACCCAACAGCAATGATGGATGCTCTTGGGGTGCTGTTCTTCTCGTCTGGGTTCCCCCTACACACTCCAAATCAAGGGCCTGCCCTTCCCCCCATTAGGTTGAAGCACCCCCCCCCCCCCCAAAGATTATTGCCTCCCAATAACACGAGTGACCAGCACAAGCTCAAAGTGGGGAGGGGAGAGAGGGTTGGGGAAGTGAGGTCATTGAGTGGATGGGAACCGGATGTGAAGGGGTCGTAGCTGGTACCCCACACTCCAACTCAAGGAGGGTCAATGAACCCCCCACTTCCCCCACCCCTTCTCCCAAAGAGGTTGAAGCCCCCCCACCCCCCTCCCCACAAACGATTATTGCCTCCCAAAGACATGAGTGACCAACAGGAGCTCAAAGGGGGGAAGTGAGGTCATTGTGAGCCAAAGTGGACTGGAAGTGACAGGATTGAGGCTGGTACCCCACCCCCCAACGAATGAACAATGAACACCTCCCCCCACCTTTACCCACTACCCTTTCCCCAGCACGAGCTTAAAGGGGGGGGGGGTGGGGAAGCGAGGTCATTTTGACCGGATAGGGACCGTAAGTGACGGGGTTGTGGCTGGCTGGTACCCCCCCCCACCCACCGCCCGCTCCGACCGACCCCCACACTTACCAACCCCTTCCCCCACCCCGCCCGCCCCGCCCCCGCCCCGCGAACAACAAAAAAAGACCGTCGGCTCCCAATGAGGTGAGTGACCAGCAGGAGGCGCTCCAAGGGGGGTTAGAAGAGCGGAGGGGAGTGGGGAGGAGGAGGAGGGAAGAGGAGGAGGAGGAGAAGCGAGAGAAGCGTGGTGGGACGGAAGTGAGGTCATTGTGAGTCGACGAGGGACCGGAAGTGATGGGTTGGCGGTCGATTCCGGTCGGGGGGGGGGGAAGGGGGGGCGGTGTTTCGCACCTCTCCCTCCCTCCCTCTTGGGGGAGAGAGAGAGAGAGAGAGAGGAGAGGAGAAGAAGAAGAGGAGGGAACCCGGAGGCTGGTAAGTTGGAGAGAGGGAGGGGGGGCGTTGGTTGGCGGCGGCCATTACACTCCCCCCCCACCACCCCCTCACCCCACCCCTCGTGGTCTGCAAAGGTAGACAGGCGCCTGCGGAAGTGATGCGCCCTCTCCCCCCTCCTCTCTCCCCCCCTCTCCCCTCCCTCCCTCCTCGGGGCGGCTTCCTGTGGCGCGGAGCCATTTTTTTTAAATATTTATTTATTTACCTCTCTTTTCTCTTTTTTTTTCTTCTCTCTCTCATCCACGCGGCTCTCTCTATCATATATCTCTCTCTCTCTCTATATATATATATAGAGAGAAAGAGAGAGAGAGAGAAACATCTCCTCTCTCCTCTCCCCCCCACACACACACACCCAACCGACTCCTCTTGTCATCCTCCGGGGTCCCCCCGTCCCCCCCCACCACCCCCCCCTTCCCCTCCCACCACCCCACCCCCCGCCATACTTTACTCCCAGGCTCTGCAGGGCCTTGGGTGGTGGGTGAGGTGGGAGGGGGGGGGGGGGGGAGAGGAGGGAGTGGAGAGAGAGGGGGAGTGTGTGTGTGTGTGAGAGAGAGAGAGGGGAGGAGGAGAGGAGGGATTTATTAGCTCCTCTTTTCTCGGCCAAGAAAGAAAAAAAAGAGAAAGGAGGGACTTTTCGTTCAATTTCCCTTCTCGGCTTCTCCAGCGGGGGCTATGGCGGGGGAGCCCGAGGGGAAGGCTGTCCACGCCTGGTCTCGGATCTCCCTGGTGGGACCGAAGGCTCTGGAGGACGCGCTGACCGTCTTCAGCCCCATGTCCAAGGATCTCCTGAACTCCGAGAGGCAGCTGATCACCTTCCTGCACGGGCTGAGGGAGGAAGGCTACCAGCCCACCATCCTCAGGAGCAAAGATGTCTACGGTTACACGTCGTGCACGGCCGAGACCCCCACCCCAACCCCCACCACCCCCACCCCAGCCCAACCCGGTCCAACCGATGGCCAGTCGCCACCACAGGCAACCCATCCTCTGCCCACACCCAGGCAGCAGCCCTCTTCTGAGCGACCAACTGCAGCCAAGGACTCGAGACCCAACGGTTGGTTGAAGCCAAATGGATCCCACGGTAAACTTGGGTCCCGACCATCCTCCAGCCTGGATGCCGTTGGGAAGATGTTGGGGAAATCGTGCCACAGGGCTTCTCAAAGGTCCAGCCATGGGAGCTCCGCCCCAGGCTCCAAGTGGAAATTGACTCCAGAGTATGGAGTGGCCAGGAGACCAAGGCACCCAGAGAGGAACCCTTCAAAGCAGGAGACAGAGACACACAGTGGGAAAGGGAGGATGGCAGAGCTACCAGGGAGGAATGGCACTGCAAACTCTGATTATTCAGAAATAAATGAACACAGTAGACAGCCCAGCAAAAGTAAATTGCAACAGTTGAGATCCAAAGTTATAAAAGTGGATGATTCCTCTTCCGATGAAGACGTGAGACGGAAAGCCCAGAAAATTCTTCGGGTGAACCTGTCTCCGGTTATTAAAATAAGGCCAATAACCTACCCTGAACACTCGTGACTTGTATTGAATTTTTCACAAGTGGACATCTCATCACATTGACATTTTCTTGTGTTTTTGTAAAATTGTACAAAAAAAAAACTATTTGATCGGTCTTTTGTCCAGTGTAAATTTTTCACTTGGTCAATTTGTGATCAGAAAGGTTGATAATTTGGCAAGCCTGTTATTGGTTCCAAAAGAAGATGTGTTTGGATTCCATGTGTTCTGGCACATATTGTGCATGGGTCGAAAAAAATGGCCTGTATCCCAAACATTCCCTTGCTGGTCAACTCTTAAACAGATAATTGCCTGGAGAAGTTCTACAGTTGTTCTAGGCTTATGTGCAATACAGGATCTCTCTTCACAACTGTCCATAGCAAAAAAAAAGGCCACTCGAATCTATTTTAAATGAATTTCCTTAAATTTGGTTTAAATGCTACTTTTTAAAGGAAGAAAAAGTGGTATAGAATGTCTGTATATACAGTAACCTCAAGTGCAGCTGCTAAATAGATCTGTAACAAAGCTTTTGATATACATGAGGGTCTTGGTATATTAGAGTTTGACTTTTGAATTTTAGAAAAAAATAATGATGGTTCCCTGATTGCTCAATGAATGCATTTCCTGGGCTGGTATGTAAACCAGGAAAGTCCCAGGTTTTGATTTATGAACACTGCTGAGCTTAATTAAACATTGATCTTGGTGTCTGGGTGGGATTAGGTGAAAAGTAAGAATGGGTTCCTGCTTCTGATTGCCATCCAGTTGATTTGAACTGGAACCTGTGTTTATGTATATGTGTGTGTGTTTGCAAGGTGAGAACAGGTCGGGGGTATAGTCCTTATCCCCATAGATCACTGTCTAGCATTGCATATAAAAAAGGCCACTTTTAATTTTTTAACCTAAAAGGGAGTTTCCACTAGCTTTTGTAAAATGTTTATAGCTTTCTAGTTAAGTTTTCTCATTTTCTACGTGAGTGTTTTTACAACCAAACCTGTTTACATTGCCAACCAAAGGGTTGTTAATGTGTTGTGAATGAGTTTTTTAAACTAACCACAAACTATATATCACCTATCATCCAGTTCTTTCTTTAATTCTTCTACAGGCACAAATTGCAGATTGTTTTCCAAAAAAAATCTTTTTTACAACCTTCCTGTGACAGAAACTTCATTTCAATGGGTGATTTGATTTGCTGCAGCACAAGCCATTTTTGGTTCTTTTTTTTTAGAAGACTATCTTTTTATTTTGCCTCCACTCCCACCATGGCTAATAATGTTTGTGGGTCTGAGTGTATTTCAGGATGTTTATTGAGTCCACACGTTGACAGATGTTTTATTATGAATAACAAAATTAAGCTTCTGGTATATATGAAAAATAACTGTCAATGTTGTGAGAAAAGAAATCCCTTTGTTATTTAGTGCAAGAGTGAGCACAAGACCAAGATCCCAAAATTGTAACACTTCATCGCAGGTTGTTTGGACGTTTTGGGGGAGATGGGGAAGGGAAGACTTGAGGCGAATCCAGATGGGATTATGTGGTTTGTGTGGAGAAATTTAGTTTTTAAGATTAGAAAGAAGGTCAAAACACTACATGTTTTGAAATATTTGAGAAAATATGATTTGGCATTATAGTATACTTTTGAGCCATTCAGATGTAGTGCAGTGACACCTGAGTTTAGTTGGTGCCAAATTCACACCCTTGTTTGGTGAAATCAAAACCATGCAACAGAAATCACTTTATTGTGGCCGACCCACTGAAGCTTTGTTACAGCTTTATCTGAGACCCTTGCAAGAGGGGTTTTTTTTAACTAACGTACAAATATTCTTAATATGTGGAATTCCTAGTGTTTTGGTAAAAAAAATTTATATACATACATGGTGAAAATTTAATTAAAATGAAGATGTAATTCTGAGATGATCTGAATAATTGAGTGCTGTTATTTGAAATCCCCCCCCCAAATATTTTCTCTCGCAGTGCGTAGTTAGGTTAAAAAAGATGATCAAAAATATGATTATACCTGGTGATGGGATGGTCTTCGGGATGTGATCCGGATTCACAATGACAATTTATTGAGTTTAAAAGCCATCACCGTTGTGCGCTTATCATGGAATTTCATCCAGGAGATTGTTTTATGAGCCCTGCAATGAGATTAAATATTGCTTTTTGTAAAAAAAAGAAAATCTACAGGATATACATTTTTAAGTAAGAATAACAAATTGCATTATGTTTTTTTTTAAGATTTGGTCACAAAAGCCAAGGAAAGCAACACTGCCTCTTTAAACCGGGACTACATTTTTAGTGTTTTAACCTGTGCTACTTTTCTGATACGGGGGAGACAGTTAGACAGTGTTCCCTTTCTGCAAGTTTAAAGTTTGCAGAGCTGAAAGATCATATAGTTATCCAGAGAAGTTGAAACCAAAGATGCAGTAGATCAGTCAACTTCTCAATGATGCATTAATGATGAGGACACTTGCAGCCTATTTTTGTTTCAACTCTAGTTCAGCAAGTCCTATTTTTCTTCAGTCTTACAACGTTATTTGGCAGTTGTCTTAAGCTTCTTTAACGAGTATTTTTGCATTTGGAATGACAGTGAAATTTGTTCATTTGCTGCAATGTCTGTTGTAGCTGCATGATTGTCTTTGGGCTGATATGTGTTGATCGTATCAGTATCGACCAAGCAAGATATCGAAGGGCACAGTGTACGGCTCTATTGCATTATTTTTGCCGTTGCATAACCTATTACATAATGTCACCCTGTGGAAATAAATTCATAAGATCAGTGAGGTTAGAACAATTGTGCCAAAAATTTCAGCCTATTTTGTATTGGTGGAACATTCGTGCAGCCCCTAGAGTTTATCAATGTTACAATAGTGTTCTGCAGGATAGTGTTGCTTATTAAATTAAGAGGCCCGTTAATGAAGTTGATTGGTAATGTGATGCTCTCTGAAGCAGTCTGCCTCAACAGCGGGGATGCAAGGCTTCGATAGGACATTTGTTGACCGTCTTAATTGAGTGGAGGATGGTCTACAACACAAGATGGATGATGCTGTCTAAAACAGCAGTAGCGCAAAGGCTGAGAGTAATTTTCAAGCATTAGTTTCAAGTGATTCAGATTGGGATTCTAGTTATCGAAGCTTCTGGCTAAATATTGAAGGGAGAAGTGCAAAGTTTAACCTGGGCTTCAGTGTTGCTAACAATCTAGTTTATGAATGTTTGCCCTGACTAGTGTTAAGAATCTTGATGTGCAATATGGTTAGGCCTACAAAAGGGAAGACCGTTTCAAACACTTCTTCGTTGAGGTTTTCTGCAACATGTTAATGCACTTCTTCTTAATCCAGTCCATAGCCAAAAGAGTGGCTGTAAAGTAGCTTTTTGAAGACTATCTCCTCAATACACTGTCAAATATGTTTTTTGTCAAATTAGCAACTATGCATCCTTGTTTTTTTTTCATAACACGCACTTTCTATGCGAAACGTTTGGGTGTCCCTGAAACATTGAGGCATAAAGCTGTGGAATTATTGCCAGTGAATCGAGTTGTCTATGGAATCACTGGCAGGTTGTCCCCGTCATGTAGGGAGGGGGGAAATATGCTTGTTCAAAAGTGCTTCCACGGCTTAAAATGGGCAGTTGTATGAATTTTAAAGGCAACTTTTATATTTTAAAGCTCAAAATTTTCCACTTTAAAAAAATAAGCATTTTGTTATTATGAAATGTTTTGTGTTTTCTGTTTTATCTTTTTAACGGATGCTTTGACTGTGAAATGTTCTGTAATTTTTTTTCACTGTCTGTTGTATTGCAGCGACTATGGACAGTAGTTATTTAAAATATTAAAATCTTTTCAAGGATTTATAAATCGGGCCTCCTCGCTCAGTTTTTTCCTAAACAATGTGGTGTTTGTCATATTGTATGAAAATAATAGCAATGGAGAATATTCTCTAACATTCTCCCCTCCTAAGGCAAAGAATGCACCCCAATCCTTCGGTATCTCAATGAAGCTTTCTGTGTAAGGAACAGGAGTAGGCCTATGGGCCCATTGTGCTGCTCTATCTACCATTCTGTTAGTTCATGGCAGCTCTCTCTTATCTCATTTCCTTGCCCCTTCACCATCTTGCTTAGTTTCATATCTGACACAATGGAAATCCATCGCCACGCAAAGAGTATCCAAACCAGACCGAGAGATAGTGAAGAGAAGAATTTATCCACCTCCTGTTAAAACATCTCAACTGATTCTGCATCTATGGTCTATGGCCATTGCTTGTCGGGTAGGGATACGTGTGCAAACTATGAACAGGATGGTGGCAGTCAGGAAGTTTGCAAGGAGTTTCTGGTGCTTCCTGCCTTCCTTGTGAGGGCTTAAACCTGCACTTGTTGGATACCAAATGACCAACTAGTCCTAATCCTCACTCCCAACTCCACGAGTGATTCTAAATACATGGAAATTTCCAGCATACTTGGTCTCCACTTAAGGAGATAGTGCTGTCAAAGGTAAATGTGGGTCCGTTAGAGGCAGAGACGGAGGGAATTATCGTAGGGGACAAAGACATGGCAGAGTCATTAAACAAGTACTTTGCTACTGTCTTCACCTTAGAAAACACTGAAAACCTGCCAAGAATAGAGGGGAACCAAGAAGACAATGTTAGCGAGTAACTTGGGGAATTAATATTAGTAAAGAAATGGTTTTAGGTAAATTGTCAGTCTTAAAACTGGACCTGATGGCCTACATCCTAGGGATTTAAAAGAGGTGGCTACTGAGATAGCGGATGGTTGGTTTTTGATCTTCCAAAATTCTCTGGATTCTGGAATGGTTCCCATTGATTGGAAGATTGCAAACAAAACACCACAATTTAAGAAGGGTGGGAGAGAAAAGATGGGGAAAAGACAGTCTGACATCAGTGGTAGGGAAAATTCTTGAGTCCTTAATTAACAATGTCGTTATGGGATTCCTGGAAGACCATAACAAGATTAGGCAGAGTCAGTCTGGCTTTACAAAAGGGAAGTCATGCTTAACTAATCTTTTAAGAGTTTTTTGAAGATGTATCTAGCAGGGTAGATAGGGGGAACCAGTTTATATAGTATATTTAGATTTTAAGAAGGCATTTGGCAAAGTGCCACACAAAAGGCACAAGGTTAAAGCCCACGGGATTAATGGGAACATATTAGCATGGATTGAAGAGTGGCTAATGGGTAGAAAACAGAGTAGGGATAGAGTCATTCTCGAATTGGCAGGATGTGACTAGTGGAGTGCCACAAGGATCAGTGCTTGGGCCTCAGCTATTTACAATTTACATCAATGATCTAGACGAGGACATTGAATGTAACATATCTAAATTCGCGGATGACACTAATCTAGGTGGGAGAGTAAGCTCTAAGGATGATGCAAAAAGATCGCAACGGGATATAGATAGGTGAGGGGAGTGGGCGAGTAGGTGGCAGATGGAATTTAATGTGGGGAAGTGTGAAGTTATTCACCTAGGTAGCAAAAATAGAAAAACAGATTATTTTCTAGAGGGGGAGAGGTTAGATAGTGTTAGTGTTCAGAGGGATTTGGGTATCCTTGTACACCAGTCTCAAAAAGTTAGTTTGCAGCAGCAACTAAGAAGGCGAACGGCATGTTAGCGTTCATTGCAAAAGGTTTAGAGTACAAGAGTAGGGAAGTCTTGCTGCAACTGTATAGGGCCTTGGTGAGACCGCACCTAGAGTATTGTGTGCAGTTTTGGTCTCCTTATTTAAAAAAGGACATACTTGCCCTCGAGGGGGTGCAGCGTAGATTCACTCGGTTAGTTCCTGGGATGAGGGGACTGACCTATGAGGATAGGCTGAATAAACTAGGGCTATATTCTCTAGAGTACAGAAGAATTAGGGGAGATCTTATTGAAACATATAAGATTCTTAAAGGGCTGATAAAGTAGACACTGAGGGACTGTTTCCCCTGGTAGGAGAATCTATAACCAGGGGTCACGGTCTTAAGGGTCAGCCTTTTAGAACAGAGTTGAGGAAACATTTCTTCACTCAGAGGGTAGTGAATTTATGGAATTCACAACACCAGAAGGCTGTAGATGCTCAGTCCTTGAACATTTTCAAGGCTGAGACTCATAGATTTTTTAAAAATAGAGGGATTAGGGGATATGGGGATAGGGCAGGTAATTAGAGTTAGGTCTGAAGATCAGCCATGATCTTATCGAATGGCGGGGCAGGCTCGAGGGGCCGAATGGCCTCTCCTGCTCCTAATTCTTATGTTCTTACATATGTGGAACTCTGTCTGGTTTGGATACTCTTAATGATGATGGGTTTTCGCATGTGTCCGGACACCCAGCTGACCCCCTCAAAAATCATGAAGCTCCACATTGTAGAATTCCTCTTTTATAATCTCAGTAAAAGGGGACCCAAACTGAAGTTCAAGAGAACAACAGACGATAATGAGTGGAAGTGCAAGGGAGTAGTAACTGTAAAGAGGTCCTGGGAACATTGTTGTAGGGGGAACTTCAGACTAGGTTCCCTTTTTTTGGTAACAATTTTTGTTCCAATTCAGGGAACATAGGTGGTCAATCATATTAAGTGAGAAATAACATCTGAGCAAGCGAGGGAGGCGACAAGTGATCACTGCGAACATTTGAAAGTAATGACTGGTGGCTGCCATCAGTGTGGAGGTCAGGCAGGTTGTACAACAAGAGATCGTAAGTTGTATTATTTTTCTAATGCACTTGACAGACGCAGACAACCGTGAGAACAGAAAGAAATGTTATTTGTGTAAAATGAGAGAACTGAGCGATGTGTTTATAAACTAAGAACATTTTGAGTAGAATGAGTTATTATTTCACAGCTTACACTTTACCGTATACTCTGTGAAGCACTTTGAGACGTCTCAAAGACGTGATAAGGCGCTATATCAAATGCAAGTATATAATTAATAATAATCCTTGCATTTGACGTAGCGTCTTGTCACATCTTCGAGACGCCTCAAAGCTCTTCACAGAGTATACGGTAAGTGGTGTGATTGTGTATTTTGTGGGTGAACATGGCAGCCATGGAAACAGTGATCAATTTTTTTGGGGAGATGGTGATGAAATCAGGATACAGGTGAAAAGCTCCCTTGTCTTTTCGAATTGTGCCTAATAATCTTTACCATCCGCCTGGACAGGCAGAGGAAGTTTTTAACATTTCACCTGAAGGACGGCACACCTGACAATGCAGCACATTGCACTGCATTGGAGTGTCAATATAGACTATGTGATTCCAAGCCCCAACATGAGTCTTGAACCAACAACCTTCTTAATCGGAGGAGAGAGTTCTACCAGCTGACCCAGGCTGACGCACAATTAAAGTCTTCAAAGAAGAAGGGGTTAGATAGATCAGTGCATTGAGTGTGTGTAGAGCCAGGCAAGAATGCACGAGGGAGAGATGATGATGATAACGATACTAACCTTTACATGTGATATTGCACCTTTCTGTCGGGAGGAAGTCTCAAAGAGCTTCACAGGATTAACTGTAAAGTGCAGTGACTGTATATTTTGTGGGTGAATGTATCAATGTATGTGGGGTAGTACTGGTATTTGCCCAAATGGTGAATTATGTATAAGTCACCATTTCTATAAATTTGCAGGGCTACAGGGAGAGAGCGGGGGAGTGGGATTGAATTGGATAGCTCTTTTCAAAGAGGTAGCACAGACACGATCGGCCGAATGGCCTCCTTCTGTGCTGTATAATTTTATGATTCGATGATGTACTATTCAAAAAGTACATTTCTCGTTGCGTACTGGCCCACAAAATATACAGTCACTTTTCACAGAATATGCTGTAAAGTGTAAACACTTATATATCAAATGTTCTATATCAAATGCAAGATTATTATTATTATTTAACAATCCCTCCCACATAAAATGGTCATTCACTTCATGGCTGTTTGTGGGACATTGCAGCATTTGCCCTAAAAAAACGCATTTGCTACCGTTTTACAGTAAATCCTTTGAATCGCTTTGAGGCATCCTCCTGGTGTGAAAGGTACTATATCAAATGCAAGGATTATTATTATTACTTTATGTGTGTTAGTCTATCAAGTGAATGTGGACCGCTTCTTAAAATATAGGGAAATATCTGAAACAAATCCTATCTCCCCCAAAAAATATCCGCACATAAATGGATCTTTCCTGTTCTGTGTAGCTCAGTACTGCACTGGATAGTACAATTAGAATATAGGTTCAACAACGTCTATGGCCTAATGAACTACACAAAGTGTGTAGGCCGACAATCAGTGTAATCCTATATTTTTTTGAGTGGGAGCGAGTGACAATAGACAGATCACAGCTATTTGCATGTTTCCATGGCTGGCATTCTTTTATGTGTTGTGGTTGCTGCAGAATATCCTTGTGGTTCCTGTTCTTAGCAAACGGGCATGCATAGAGTGAAGGTAAGAGGCCACAAAAAGGGGGAACATCAGTGGTAAAACTTCTGCTCAAACTCTTGACAATGCAGATTGAAAGAAATGCAATGCAAAAATTTATCATCAGTGTGGAGATTAATGGCTGGCTCTCATGTGCGTGTTACAGGCACAGGAGCACCCTGAGTAGGTGTGATCTGGGATTTAAACCAAAAGTCTGCTTGTTAGCTCATTTAGAAGGCTAGTGCCAAACCACAGGGTGTGTTCTACTGCAACAATACTTGCCGAAGCCAGGGATCAGGGAAGCACAGTTGTTTTAGTAGTTGGCGAACTCAGCATCATTGGGATCCAAGCAAGAGCAGCATCAACATATACATCAGTTGTGGTCTGTCTGAAACAGCAGTGAAGTAATCATGAACTATAAATGGATAATGTGACTTGTACAGTACAATTGAAGTGCTCGGAGCCGAGGGATAAACTGAGGTGTTCACATGACCCACAGAGAATCTTTGCAATTCATTGCATTGCAGAGCTTGACATTTTTAAAAAGCATCTACACGAAACCTCACTTGACCTATTTTCCTCAAAGCTGTGTTATGTGACAACCAAAATGTATATTTATAATCTCATTATCGTATTGTACTCTCTGATAAATCAAAACTATTTATTGGGTATGAAAAATAGTTACATTTCAAAAACTAAATACTGCATTTACGATATGGTAAAGTCCTTTAACAGAACTCTTACCTTGCTGTGAGGCTAGATAAGTAAACTTTGCATTTGATATAGTGCCTAGCCCTTATCCTATAATCTCAAGGCACTTCACAGGATTTTTTTTACTCTGAAGTGGTGGTTGTGTATTTGTAGACAAAAGGAGCAAACACCACAAACACAGCTGTGAAATGAGTAACCAATTTTATCTGGGGGATTGATATTGTTGAGATAATAATAATAATAAATATGTCTCAAAGCACTTCACAGGATATACTACAAAAGCTGACCAAAAGCCAGCACAAATTGAATTTAAGAATGGCATATATGCGATTCTGCCTTTTCTTCCCATCTTTTTCTATTGATTCTAACTAATTTTATATTATAGGAGTCCTGTAGCTATCTCAGTGATTAGAGAACTCGCCTCGCAAGTGAGAGACCTGGGTTTAATTCCCGGCAGGGCTAAAACCTTGGGCAAGTTTCCTTACTCCACAAGCCTTGATAATAATCCCTCAAGAAAAAAATAATAATTTGATCACTCAATCCAAATTAAGTGGATTTGGACCAAATTACTCAATCACTTTGGACAGATTGTTTGTAGGACACTGGTGGGCACAATTGGCTGCCGTATTTCTCTCACAAAATATACAGTCAAGTATATTGTGTGAAGCACTTTGAGACATCCAGAAGATGTGAAATATCAAATATATCAAATGCAAGGATTATTATTTTATTTATTATTTTCTTCCTATTATTGCTTTCCTAAAATAAATCTTAAATCCGTACCTCATCTCATTTTCGAAGTTCACTCTTACAGTTTTATCCATCTCCAATGAACATCGGTAGACTTGTCCATAACAATTGTGGTTAATCGACATTTTTTGTAGCTCCTTTGCAAATTATTTCTAATGCTCATCCAATAATTAAAATGAGTGGGTAATTTGCGTTTCACTCAGTTCAAGATAAGTAGTGGTTGCAAACAAAGCATCTTGTTTTAATACTGGTTCTGCAACACTGCTCCAAGTAACAGGTCTTCAAACTATGACCTGTTATAATGGATGGACATGCTGAAGTTCAGACATCTCAGGAGAAAGCGCTCAAGCAAAAACCGCCCAAGAACAAGAGATTGGGTGTCATAACAAGGGTTCAAATCTGACCTCTGAGCATTTAAAAACCTGTTAAACAGGCTGACACAAACCTAGTGTGAGTCACTAATGCTTAGTCACAGAATTAATCTGGAGAAGGAGTTTTATACAGTATTTTCTTTCCCATTTTATGCTGTAGTCGCCTGTGAAGCACTTTGAGACATTTTGGCATGAAGCGCTAGAAAAAGGTAGGTTCCTGCTTTCCTCTGCATTTTGATGGTTAACTGCATAGCTTGGATTGACCTTGAAAGTATTGACAGGAATACCTGTCCCACCTGTTGATTTATACGAGTATCAGGAGCTTGTGGTGGAGAAAGACTTTAGCTACAGATCATCCAGATCTCTGCAGTTCACCCCGCTCCCACACCAGGCTCCACTAGCACCCCATCTCCCAGATGGTAGAGTTCAAAATCCTTGAGCTCGCCTTCAAGGCCCTCCACAAGACAGCACAAATTGAATTTAAGATTGGCGCATACTCGATTCTGCCTTTTCTATTGATTCTAACTAATTTTATATTATAGGAGTCCTATAGCTCAGTGGTTCGAGCACCCACCTCCCAAACGAGAGGACCTGGGTTTGATTCCTGGGAAGGGTGAAACATTGGGCAAGTTGGGCAGTAAGCAGGAACCCGGTTGAGTTGATTGGCAGATTGCTTTTCCGTGGGTAATAATTTTTATCAAAAATTTAAAAAAAAATAAGAATAATTTGGTCACGGATGTGCACAATTGTCTGCCATGTTTCACCCACAAAATGTAGTTAATTCACTTCACAATGTATTCTGTGAAGCGCTTTCAGACCTCTCGAGGATGTGATAAGGCTCCAGATCAAATGCAAAGAATTATATTATTATTATGCTTTGATTACACTACCGAGATATCCCTCAGCAAATTCATCTCGATTGTGGTGAGGAGGTATAATTGGTTTCAGAATCTCTGAATTAGGGGTTAGGTGGCGAGAGATCAAATGGGGGGTTACTGCCCACTGATACTCCTCAGCCACTGAAATATGCAACCTTGTGGATGTCAGGGTTGACTGCAATAAGTGGCTCAGTCAAATAACCTGCCGAAGCTTGCTATTGAGGGCTGGATATGTCATAGTCAAGATAACGTGATTAAGACGTGGTCTCAACCATTCAATAGGTCACTCGCTGCCTTTCAGTCAGCACCCTGCAGGTTATATGATATAATGAGCTGCATTAAATTAATTTAACAGGATCTGGACTCAAATCAGTCAAAATTTTCCTGAGACCATTGTTACCGGATCCCTTGCCTGTATTTAGTGACAGCCTATTTCCAAAGGGAATAGCTTCCCCCCCACCCATGGCAACCTCGACACAATAGCTTGCAGGTGGGTGGGGGGAGGGCGATCAAGAAAGCCACTGCACAATTAAGCAGTTCGCCAGAGGAAGCAGAGCAAAAGGTGCACATCACTGATACAAGGAGAATTCTTGCTGCAGCCCACTAAATTACATGAAAAATCAGCCCTACATTATCTAAGCACATATTACTGTAACCTTGACTAGATTTACCCTGCATCCAAGGGATAATAAATGAGTGGGATGGGAGTGGGGGGAGAGAGACAACGTGCAGTGTTTGTGTAACATGAAGCCTTGCAAGCTGATTGACAGGTGGGTGTATCTAAGGACTGTGCTATTTCTTACCAGTCTTTGATCTGCTGCAAAAATTGTAACCGCAAAAGATTGACTAAAAGAAGTGGAGGAGGCAGGGGTGGGGGAGGAGAAAGAGGAGGGGGTGTGGGGGAGAGGAGTGGGGGGCAGTGGGGATGGCAGGGGCTGGCAGGCAGGGGCAGGGGTGGATGGGGGGGTTAGGCGGTGGGGAGGAGGGAGGTTGGGTAGCAGGGCTCTCTTCTCACAGATTTTCACCTGGAACAAAATGCTTGACTAACTGACGGTTGCAGCCCATTTCTGCTTTCCATTCAACAACGTGAGGAAGGTTAAGTGCAAACTGGTTGCCATGTAAATATAATCAGATGCTTGGCTGATGCTGCAGCTTTGCTGTGATAACCTGATTTGGCAATTGATGCTCCGAGCTTTCCGCCAGCGGGAACTGCTGAATATTTATTCCCGAGCAATGGATTACAGGCTCTCGAGCTTCTGTAGGGGAAGCAGCTGGAGGGAGGGAGGGCTCAGAGCTACATTGATCTGTCGCTCAGCACCCTGGAGACAGACAGGGTTTCAGAGCTCAGGCCCATCTGTTTTTGTTGGGGGTTAGCACGTTGTCTGACACACGTATAAACTCATCACCCTTGCTGAATTGATTCTGACAATATGCTGTGCTCAATTTCGCCCACAAAATACACAGTCATTTCACCTTACAGTATATTTTGTGAAGCACATTTAGACGTCTCGGAGACATGACAAGGCAATTGCAAGGCTTATTATTATTATTCCGTTACCAAGCATATCACCTTGGAGCCTGTTTAGCTTCAAGGAGATCTCTTCCTTTTTGCTCCTCCCTCCCCCACCCCGGCATCCAACTAAGTGGGACTTGAGAGTAGCAGTTCAGATCAGTGACTGGGAGCTAGGAGTATCCTTGATAAGCCTGCAAACCAAAGTCTAATGTGCAGGGTGGTCCTGTGTCTTGTGTCCTCTCACAGGCCTTCTTCACAATAGCCCTGAACCTGCCATGAGGCTCGGCTTCAGGCTTTCTATGTTCTCCCTGGCCCTGCACATAGGCTTCTTGGAGTCCCAGAGAGTTCTCCCAGAGGTCCATTGCAGAGTCTCTTCTGGAGTCAAATCATGGCTTGGTCGTTCAGCGCATTGCTGGGTGGTAGTCTGGTATTTTCAGGTGATTTTTGGGGGGTGAATTTTTCCTTCCAACTGCTAGGTACGTAACTCAAAACAAAATTGCAGAACACTTAATTGACTTTTGCAGTGATTTTTCTTCTTCAAATTTCTTTGCTGATGTTTGTTAGTTAGACTGTTCCCTGGTTTGGTCTGTTCCTGATTCACAGCCCATTCCCCAGAGCAGTGAGCGAACTCTCTTTAAGTGTTGCTAATGGGACACCCACATACCATCTCCCAGCAGAAACACATAGGTAGCCTCTTGTGCTTAATGTTCAGAGCAAACAGTCTTTATCTTTTGACACACCCTGCACATCACTCTGTGCTGGTAACCTATGAACCAAGATTACTCAACATATCAGACCCAGCTTTCCATTGCTTACAGAAGTCGCTGGGAAAACGCAGCAGGTCAGACAGAATCTATGGAGAGCGGAAAGTAAGTTAACATTTCAGGTCGATGACCTTTTGTCAGAGTAAGTGATTTGAATACTTTGCACAGGGGGTGGTAAATATATGGCACAGTTTAATTTAGGAGTCTTGAAGGCAAATAGGTGAAAAAATGTATATTGTAGTTTATGTACATCTTTCATCCCATAGTGTGGACAGCTTCAAGTGATTTCCAAGCGCTTCACAGGTAATTGCTATAAATTGAAGTGACTATATGTCCATGTCAGGATTTTGAGCTCATAGTCGAGGTTGACACTAAAATGCACTGCTTGCAGAGTGCTGCATTGTTGGAGGTGCCATTCTTTGGATGTGACATTAAACCGAGTTCATATCTTTCTACCCACCCCCCGCAACCCCCACCCCCCCCATTGGTCATTTTCATCACAGCTGATTCCAGGACTTTGCTATGTGAAAATTTGCTGCCACATTTACCTACAATTACGTAGTCACTTCACTTTACAGTATAATCCTGTGAAGCGCTTTTTGATGGGGTGATGAGGCATAATAAAAATAATAATTGCATTTGATATACTGTAAAGTGTAGCGGTTGTGTATTTGGTAGATAAACGTGGCAGCCAATTTGCAAATTATGGATTATTATTATAAGTCAAAATATCTGCTTTTCAGCAAAATAACATGGAAAGTCTGAATCGAGATGGTCATTCGCAAGCAAACACTTCCTCAGGCAAGGTTGAGGAAGAATATAATCAATGCGAGTTTAATTCTTTTATGAACCTCAGTACAGTTGTCTTTGATTGTGTCCTGCCCACAAAGAAACTGAATGATGATCAGAATGAGGTGATTACTGTAGAAATCCCAGGCAACAGCACTGTAAGACACCTACGGATATTGACATGGATGCAGGCAACTCGGGACAGTGCTTCCCCATCCATATACACCCTCACTCATCCCAACTCCTACCAGTTCTTATACAAGAAGGGATTGAGGTGGTACGAGATATACGACGACCATCAGATCATCCAGACTCTAGATTCTGTGAGATATTGGAAGAACTCAGGAATGAAGAAGGGTTCGATCTACATCAAGAGCAATCCCAAAGAGACAGAAGAGAGTGACAAGCTTCAGAAGAAATTGACTTATTTGATCGGGTATGACATTAGGAATATTGTGACCCATCGACGCAATGAACTAAGCTTTGCCCAGAGGAAGCTGGCGAGTTCAAGGCAGGTTGAGTTATCTAGCCGTGACGTTAGGGCATATGCAATGGAACCTTGGGTTGTTTCATCTCCTCTTTCTAAGAGCCTTATGGACCTGACAGGAGAAGGATTAGTTATTGCTATCCACTATAATGACAGCAGCCACAAAATGAAAGTAGGTATCACTGACACTCCAGTTGAAATTATTCATTCGTACATGCAGAAAATGGCAGACAAAGGCTGGCCAATCCATCACCCTGAAGACAATTTAGCCTTCAAGGTGTGTGGGAGAGAAGAGCACATCACTGGAGGCAGGCCACTGATAGACTTCATCTGGATTAGAAGGTGCATCAAGAACAAAGAAGACATTCGGCTAATGCTGGTGCTCGCTCCATGTGCAGAAGATGATGAGGTCGATACTGATGACTGGCCTTTGGTTGATCAACACACAGGTCTCTGTGGTACTCATGATGAATTGACTCTCAGAAACAAGGATATCGATCAGATTCTGGTCTTGTCTCTTTGGGATTGCAACAGCCGCTTCCGTGTCAAAGTAGTCGGAATCGATTGCCCAGCTCTTCCACATAAAAGTCTTCCACATATATACGTGGAGGCTTGCATTCTGCATGCCAAAACCATTCTCTCTTCTGCAAGGTCTCAGCCTCTGCCTTTCACGGAAGAAGTAATATGGAACATTTGGTTACAATTCGATATATTGGTGAAGAATCTGCCACGGGGATCCAGGTTGAGTTTCTTCATCTACGGTATGGACTTCGAGAGCTTGAGTACGCGAGATGCCAAAACTCCTCCACAACGTGTTGAAGACGGAGGTTTCTATAAAGGGAGAACAAAACTCTTATATTTTGTGTCTTTTCTGCTCATTGACCACAGATCCTTCCTTCAACAAGGGGAACACATTCTTCACATGTGGCCTTACGCTGACCGAGAGGAGGATCTTTTCACCCATGAAGCAGACAAACTATCGTCCAAAACTAACCCCGATGTAGACAACTCAATGGCCATTTGTATTATGTTGGATACCTACAGTCACCCATTGGTCCTACCCACGGGTAGAACATCTCGATCCAGTTGCATTAATCAGATGTCAGAAGATGCGGAACTCACCTCGACGATGAATATCAGATGTAAAAAACTTCCGCTCCCTCTGACTGTCTCAGAGAAGAATCTGCAGTTTACAGAACAATGTTCCCAATATGGCAACTCACTGCCCAATATTCTTAGTTCAGTCAAATGGGGGAAACTAGAAGCTGTGGAGGAAGCACACTGCCTCTGTGAGCACTGGAACTCCCAGCAATTGGACATAGCAATAGCCCTGGAACTCCTGAGCATCAGCTTTGCCGACGAGAAAGTCAGGAACCTCGCTGTCCAGAGGCTGGAAGAACTAGACAACAATGAGTTGCTGCGGTACCTCCTTCAACTTGTACAGGTAACCCTTCTACCAGGTGTCAGGACTTCATTGAGTTGATTCTCGAGTAGATAATGACTTTTTAAAAAAAAGTGTTGAAATGCTAACATTTATTTCCATTAACCTTTTGGTGTCTTTCTTCCGGCTTTGAGGTGCTCCGAGACTCTATTCTGCGTGAAAGGCGCTACATAAACTTAAGCTGTTGATGCTGTTTGTTGTTGTTCTGCGAAGCATTTTGAGATGTCTAAAAGTTGTGATGAGACTCTATAGTACCATATAGCTTCCTTCCTGTTTTATTTCTCTATTTTCTAGCTCTTCGTTTTTTACATTCCCTTCCCCCCTCAGAAGCCCCCTCCCTAACAGCATTAGATAGCCTGTCTGGAAGCACATTCGCACATTCGCCCCAGCCCTGTTCAGGTGCAACCCATCCATCGTGGAGTCCTGTAGCTCAGTGGTTAGAGCACTCACTTTGCAAGCGAGAGACCTGAGTTCAATTCCAGGCAGAGGGCGAAACCTTGGGCAAGTTTCCTTACTCCACACAGAGCCTAATAATAATCCCTCCAAAACCAAAAACAGTAATAAATTGCTCATTTTCAATCTACGACTGTTTGTGGGACATTGCTGTGCGCAATTGGCTGCCGCGTTCGCCCACAAATATACAGTCAATTCACTTTACAGTGTGTTCTGTGAAGCGCTTTGGGATGTCCTCCTGACGTGAAAAGCGCTATATCAAATGCAAGGATTATTATTATTATTATTATTATAGTTCTGGATGATTTGGAAATTGTGACGTATACAGTGGGGGAAGCCAAAGAGCATTCTGTCTGCTTGTTCTGGTGGAGATTAAAAATCATATGAAACTATTCGAGAAGCGAGGGAGAGAAACCCAGCAATCCCCCAAATAAAAAAATTGCCCATTCATTTCAAGGCTCTTCCCTGAACACAAATTATCTGCTGCGTTCGCATAAAAAATACACAGTCACTACGCTTCACAGTAAATCCTGCGAAGCCCTTTGAGGCATCTCAGCAATGTGATAAAGCGCTGTATCAAATGCAAGGATTATTATTTTAACATTAGATTGACTCTTCTAGGCTTTGAAATTTGAGCCGTACCATGACAGTGCCCTGGCAAGGTTCCTGATTCGATGTGGACTGAGGGTGAGTGAGTCCGACCCCTTTTATTATGTGCCGAATAGCTGAATAAACTGTAATCGTTGGAAGTTGCAACAAGACTTGGAAGGAAAGGAGGCCATTCATTAGCGTTCGTGGTGGTGGTGTGAATGTGCGATGCTCTCAGACAAAAACAGTCACTAACAGTAACGCTAACAGTAAATCCAGCGAGACGTTTTGATATTGCTGTATAAATTGCGAGTTCATTCTTCTTTTCTGTTGCCGTGCTACAAGGACACAGTTCCATGTGATTCATGCTGACCTCAGTTAGCCTGTTGCTGGTGAAGCAATGGAATGAGATTTATCACTTCCTATAGTCAGATATGAAACAGCGAGCCTTTCATTAAACAGTTGGCCCACTCTGTGTACTCCCTCCCTCCCCCTCATTCCCCTTTCCCATCCCACTCCTCTTGCCCACTTTTTCCCCCCTTACTGCCCCCTCTCTCCTCCCAATTCTCCCTTTGATTTTCCTTTTTTCCTCTCCCCTTCCCTCCATTCTGTCCCATACTTTCCTCTCCCCAACCCCCGCCCTTCCCCTCCTTACCTCTTTTCTCCCCCTTCATTCCACCCCTTTCGCCTCTCCCCTCTCGTTTCTCCTCACATCCTATCTTCCCTCCATTTGACACAACCATCCCGTATTGCTTTCCAACAGAGTAAAAGAATCGGCCACTTTTTCTTCTGGTACTTGCGGAGTGAGATAACAGGCTCCCCCTATTTCTGTGACCGCTTTGCGGTTATCCTGGAAGCGTACCTCTTGGGGTGCGGGAAGTCCATGCTGGATGAGTTCTACAAGCAGGTGCAGGTCGTGGAAAGCCTCCACCAGGTTGCTACCGATATCAAGAAGATCATTCCAGAAAAAAATGACCTGCCACCAAACGGTGAGTCACACCACTGCTGCGACTTTGATTCCACCTAGGCAAATCCAACAATCGAGCCTGAATTATTCGGATGTAAGATTTTAAGGAATTGCATTTTATTCCCCATTGTGTGTCAGCCTGGCTCAGTCGGTAGCGCTCGAACTTCTGAGTCAGAAGGATTTGGCTTGGAGTCACGTCGTCTAAGCTGACACTTCAGTGCAGCTCTGGTGGGGTGGGTGGGGTGTTGCATTTTCAGAGGTGCCGTCCTTCGGGTGAGACGTTAGAACGAGCTCCCGACCTCCTGCTCAGGTGGACGTTATAGATCCCATGCCGCTGATCGAAAAGAGAAAGGAATTCATCACCGTGTCCTGGCCAACAATCACCCAGATAAAATTGGGCACCCAGGGTTTGTGGGACACTGCTGTGCACAATTGGCTGCCACGTTTAGCTACACAAAATACACAGTAAATCCACTTTACAGTATTTCCTGTGAGGCGCTTTGAGACGTCTCAACGATGTGATAAGGCGTTATATCAAATGCAAGGATTATTATTTATTGTTGAGCTTAGAAGGGAAGCTAAGGTTTGGAGTCTCCAGAAATACAGGGGAAAGCTACAAAGAGGGAGACAGAAGCTAGTCCAATACAGGTGGTTTTTGGGGGGGTGGGGGGTGAGAGAAGATCGATCAGATGAGGTAACGGAAACAAAGAGAGAAGATGGAAAGAGGAGATACGAAAGAAAATTACATTTGTATAGTGTTTTACGTCGGGAGGATGTACCAAGGCACCAGACAGTCAGGAACCTGGACCCGAGGGAGGGGGTTGGGGGGCGGGGGAGTAAGGGAGGGTGGAAGGCAAGGAGGGTAGGAAGCCTTCTCTAAGAGAGGAAGATTGGGGAGGAGAAGCGAGAGAAGACAGAGAGTGGGAAAAGAGATGGGCGTCACAGTTAGACACTGGAATGATAGATTGCAAACCGAGGAATGCTGCCGCTGTTTAGCTTCGCTGCAGAATTCCTAGCGGCGTGTCAACAAATCCCCTGCTAAGTAAACTGCACGCGGATGACATGTCCACTCTCATTCCAGCTGCATCCTTGCTCCAAGACATGCTGAGGAAGGCAGACCTGCCACAGAGCTTCCTGGTTCCCTATGACCCTCGGATCAAAACAAGCGGCATCTTAGTGAGTGATTGGTTCAATATGCAAAGAGCTTCTCTTCTCACTATGTGAGCGACTATAATCTGAGACTCTGTGTTTACTCTGTGTGAGTAACTCGACCTTTTCACTAAGATCATGTAGTGCCTGTTCTTATCAATTACTCCTTGGGATGTGAACCTGGCAGAAAAAATTCCGCTGTTTAGATTCACTTGTGTATACAGTGGAGTGACAAGTGAATCGCAACACAATTTCCCCATAATATGGGAGGGTTTCGCCCACAAAAATACAGTCAATTCACTTTACAGAACAGTATATTCTATGAAGCTCTTTGAAACGTCTTGAAGATAAAGCGTGATAAGGGCCCTATATCAAATGCAAGGATTATTATTATTTTATTATTGTTGAGCTCATGGCAACAGCTTTGCCTTCAGCCCCATGTTGGCTAGGATGGGTATTGCAGTACTTCCGCTCTGAGGGGTTTGATCCGCCCTCACAAAGAAGAAGGAGAGGTGCTGGAACACAGAGCTCACTTGCTCATCTGGTCACTAGGCTCAGGTGGTCGTGAAGATGGGCATCAGGTCTGCATTGTCCTTTGACAATTTGGGGTCTTAAGAGCCCTGGGGAAGGGGGATAAGGATTCTTTACAGAGACAAAACTCATTCTCTTGTGGAACATGATTCAGTCTAATTTAGTTAAAGTAGAGTGAGCTCACTCACTCAAGAAAAGGAAATAATTCAGGGTGCAACTAACTGCAGATAACATTAAAAGGGACTTTTCCAACCATTATGCAATCGTACTGCTTGCACAATCATACACAACACAAACCACCTCACAATTGGTCTCACTCATCAATGCAAAGGCAACCTCCGCACCGTAAAGCATTTGTCTTTCTCAATCTTAAAAGGGAGCTCAATTTATGTATTAAAAAAAGTTGCACTGGCACACAAGCACAGTGGAGCCCGGTGAAGCAATGCCTCTGACACTTTTTTCCCCTGACCTGCGGTTTGGAATATTGGAATGCTTTGCACTCTCCACTTGTAGTTTTAATCGGAAAGATTGTGCTCTTGACAAAGTGACAGGCGCTCCTCAATGCCCACCCAGTACACATTCCCAGCTGTCGTGTCGACTGCTTCTAGTGCAACCTGCCCCCTGTTGGCTGCTCCCACAAACTGCAGCCAGCAACAACAACAACAAATTACATTTGTACAGCGCCTTTCACATCAGGAGGATGCCCCAAGGCGCTGGACCATCAGGACTCCGCACCCGAGCTGGTGGTTGGGATCAGGAGGGGTTGAGGGTGGGGAGGGTAGGGGTAGGAGGGTGACCGAAGGCATGGTTGAAGAGGACGGTCTTGAGATGGGTCTTGAAGGAGGCGGAGGGACTGTGGGATGGAGTTCCAGAGGTGGGGGCGGAGAGGCTGAAGGCCTACCCGCCAATGGTGGGGTGGACAAGGCGGGGTATGTGAAGCAGCCCGGAGCCCGCTGAGCTGAGAGAGCGGGTAGGATGTTACTCCACCCGCCTTGTTCACACAGCAGTAAATATGAACCCAGTTGTTAGTCGATTAGTGGATCGCTTTCCGGTGGTAATAATCCCTCCAAAAAAGCACTTAGCCACTCAATCCACAACTGTTTGTGGGACACTGCTGCATTTTGCCCCAAATACCCAATTAACTTTACAGTATATCCTGTGAAGCGCTTGAAACATCTCAATGACGTGATAAGGCGTTATATCAAATACAAGTATTATTATTATTAAAGGTGTGACTGAGTGGCTCAGACACAGACTGCGATGCTTTTAGTGAGCGTTACCGCGACATGGTGTAAGGGAGACATACAGCAGTGGTTGGGAGGAACACCGGGGGTGGGGAAGGGGTCTGTGGTACTGAAAGAACCTGAAAAATAAAGGGTCTGATGAAAGGTCACACGCGAAACCTTAACCCATCTGCCTATGACCTGCTGAACATTTCCATCGCTTCCTGCTTTGTTGAAAGTCACATCTGTTTCTGTTTTTGTTAGGCAGCCGTGAGGGGCTTGGGGGTGGGGGAGGGGTGGAGGAGGAGAGGGGGCTGTGGGCTTCTGTGTGACCCTCGGCACATAGGGCTGTTTTTTGTTTGGAGCATGAAGAGCACGTACGATGTGATGTGCACTGTCGCTATCAGACAGCCCCCTACCCCCTCCGGCTGTATTTTTAGCTGTGCCTCGTGATAGCTGTGCATCTGTGTCAACAATGGTGAACACTGGAATCGAGCTCCCGACGTCAGCCTACAAATATGCAGTCAATTCACAAACTCTGTGGGACCCCTTTGAGGCATTCTGGACATCTAAGGACATTATCCCAAATGCAGGCCACGATCATTATTCTAATGCAACGGTGTTGATTCAAGTTACGGTAGAGTGCCCTCTAGGGGGTTTTATGGCAGTGCAGGCTCCACAGGAGACTGGAAGGTGCAATGATTGTCTGATCCAAAGGTTGATTTGTATGAGTATCGGGGACTTGTGTTTGACACCAACTGTTGCTTCGACACTGTCCTTCGACACTGTGCTGAGAAGGGGTGAAGGGGACTCTCTCTGGTTGTTCCTGTCTCTGTCTTCAATTGATGACAGCATGGTGCCAATGCAGGTTAAATTTGTGGTGTGTTAATAATAATAATAATAGTAATAATCCTTGCATTTGATACGGCGCCTGATCGTCTGAGACGTCTCAAAGCGCTTCGCAGGATATCCTGTAAAGCGAATTGACTGTATATTTTCCCTGAGAGCAAAACGCTCCAGCCAATTGCGCACAGCAGTATCCTACAAACGGTCGTGGATTGAAATGACCAATTCATTTTTATAAATATTTTTTTGAAGGAATTATTACCCCCGGAAAAGTGATCCGCCAATCGACTAACAACCAGGTTCCTACTTACCGCTAGGTAAACCGAGGCATGTGGAGCAACGAAACTTGCCCAACATTTCGCCCTGCAGGGATCGAACCCAGGTCTCTCGCTTGTGAGGCGAGTGCTCTAACCACTGAGCTACAGGACTTCACTGTAAAGAGGTAGATAGAGGTAGAGGTAGATACTATCAACTGATGGAACCATTGTTTTATGGCCATGGTTGCTTGACTGAGCTGTCTGGGTGGTGGCAATATTCTCACGAATATCATGCCAGTGACTTTCCTCCTTGAGGCATGGGTGGTATGATCCTTGAGTCTACTTGGAGCTAAGCTGTCTTCAAGGTGACGTGGTTTGCAAAACATTGTTGGAGTCTCTTATAATCTCCAGTCTTGTCCCTGAGCCAAGCAGGTCTGCAGTATTTAAAGGCATTGGTGAGGAACACACCTGGCTCATCAGGAGGGGCAGATAGTTAACAACTTGCACAATACAGCGCCCTTCACCCAGTATAGCATCTTGAACCGCTTGACAGTGGCGGAGCCTGCTGACGAGCTCGGGGTGTGAGGGGGTGACCATGAGCGCAGTCGAAGAGGAAGGTCTTAAGGTGTGATCTGAAGGAGGGGACAAGGTGGAGGGATTCAGGGAGGGCTACACTGGGTGTGTCTCTTAAGTGAGAGAGTGCGCATTCCATTCCAGACACAGGGAGAGTTCCATGCATAGGTGGCTGAGATGTGTGTAACTAAGTCTGGTTTGGATACTCTTAAGCTTGGTGATATATGTGTCGGACACCAGGCCAACCCCAAAAATATGTCGAAGGAATTTCAAACCTCTGGTTTTCTTAGCCTGGGGCATACTCATCACTCTTGACATGCCTTTCACAAGGTTCAGTGGTTTGATAGTACCAAGACACTCCTCCCCAGGACTATGTGAATTCCTGCATTTCACAGGAATATTCTATACCCACTCGATATTACTATTATATTTGCTCATAATTCCTAGAGAGACACGCGAGATAGAAACCAAGATAGATGAGCAGATTGGGCCAGAGAAATGGTGATATTGAGGCAAATATTTTTTTTGGTCAACCAGGTGTCTGATACATGTGTAAACCCAACAACTTGCACTGATAGAGCGAGCTTCACGCAGGGTAGAGTCTCAGCGCTTAAGCCCATCACCACGCTTAAGAGTATGCAAACCAAGCTGAGAATTCGACCTACACATAAACAAGGTTGGATAGGAACATCCAAACAGAGAGAGAGAGAGACACAGACAATAAACAAACAGATAGGGAGAGACTGAGAAAAAGAGGAAGGTGGCAATGGTGACAGAGAGAGAGAGAGAGAGAGAGAGAGAAAGCAAAGTGAGAAGGACAGAGAATAATGGCAGACACACACACACAACCATTTTTGCTTCCTGTTCACAGCTTCATCTTTCTGATCTTTCCTCCAACAGCTGGAGCGCTGCCGTATCATGGCCTCCAAGAAGAAGCCTCTGTGGCTGGAGTTTAGCTGCGGTGACGAGGACTCTGCTCACTGCCAGCCTGTGGGCATCATCTTCAAACACGGCGATGACCTTCGGCAGGACATGCTTATCATCCAGGTAGCCACTGAACAACCCCCCCCCCCCCCCCCCCCCCCCCACACACACACATACATGCACACATCTCCAGGACCTCCTCAAACCCTCCTTTCCGTCTCACAACAAGAGCGAGGACCCAGAGTGGGCAGGATCAGGTGAGACCTGTCATTTCCTTCACAAAGTGACATTGACATTTGGTAACACTGGAATGTTACTAATTTTCATGTTTCCACAGACTTTTTTTGAGAACCCAAAAACTAGCATTGTTCGAGGGAGATGCTCTGTTATATCTGTAAAGTGTTTCAATCATGAAAGGTGCTTTACAAGAGCACACTGTTGTATCACGTGTTACACTTTCTAGTCACAGCATTATGGAAGGCGCTCATTTCCCTCCCAACAGGAAGGCGCTGCAATACAATTTATTGGGACTAGCTTACTTTATAACAATCACATTCCCCTGAGCCTGGCTCTCAGTGATGCCAATGCCAATTGGAGTTTGGTTTGAGATTATTCACCAGTGCAGCTGAAAAAGTAGAATGATCTTCCAATTTCTCCCCCCCCCCCACCACCCCCGAATAAAGAACAATTTCCTGGTATCTGTCCTGAAATTGCACTACGTCCTCTTGTTCTGAACTCATTTCTAAAGTTTTGCAACCACAACAAAATTACATTTGTATAGCGCCTTTCACATTGGGAGGACATCCATTTGCAGCTTCTTATTTCCACAAATGGAGTATTCACATTTATTTTCATCCCCTTTGAATTTCCTTGGTCTCCCCCTCCCACCGGCCTGGAATCAATGGAAGAGGTGAACGAATCGGTGGGGATTGTTGGGGCAGTGAGGGAGCTGAGATGGGGAGCTCAGTGCTTTGGGAAACATTCCTTACCTACACTAGCCATTGCTCACTGTGACAGAGGAGCACTGATAATCCAGGAGAAGAGAAATGGCGTCAATGGCAGATGGAGAGTTCATTGCTAGCAGGGCGGCGATGTGTGGTGTCTGTTCATCTCTGTCTCACTCTCACTCTCCAGGCTGTGCTGTTTCTGTCTTCAGAATGTTCTCACTACCTCAGACTTCCCTGAGCTGTTGATTCTGAATAATAACTCAGAGCCAATGTGTTGCTAATGAGTTGTTGGATTTCTTTCCAAGACCTTGGTGATAATGGACTCCATCTGGCAGGAGAACTCACTCGATTTGAATCTAGTGCCATATGGCTGTATCTCCACTGGATATAACATAGGTATAGTATTGCCTCAGAATGCTTGTGTGCTCTCTCTCAATCTTTTTCTCTCCAATTACTCTCTCCTATCCCCTCTCTATATCTCTATTTATCTTTCCCCTTCTCCTCTTCCTATGCCGCTTATTATCTTGTCGTTTTTATCCCCCCTCTCCTCCCTGTTGTCTCTGTTTCTGTCACCCTCTCTCTTTCTCTCCTTCCTCTCTTGTTCTCTCCTCTGTCTCCCCTCTACATCAGCACCTCCAGAAGAAACGCAGCGACCATGGGGGTCAGATCAGTGACATGTGTTTGACCCTTTTAACCCTGTTTTGGGCAAATTCTTACAGGAATGATTGAGATCGTAAGAGATGCCACCACCATCGCTGCTGTTCAGAGAAGCCAGGGAGGCACCACGGCGGCCTTTAAAAATGAGGCACTGCACGAGTGGCTGCGATCCAGACTGCAAGTGGAGGAATCGGTATGTTTATCATTCTCCATCTCTCTTCAATGAGCTGATAACTGGGACCGTAGAGACAGCAATGTCACAGGTCTGATTCCCGAACAGGAGGATGCAACAATAGACTCCGATGTCTCTAGAGGGGTTGGAGAGGGGTATCTACTCTGAATTGTTCTCACTGACTCCTGCTGGAAGGCACACACCTGTGTGGGCGTTGGGTGAAGCCTCACCTGTAATTCTCCCCCATTCCCCCAGTCAAATAGTCTGCCTTGGGACCTCCTCTTGATGTGTTACAAATGTAATTGGTTGTTGTTTTTGCCAACACTCACCATTTGAGGCCTGTGGTTTCTGGGTGCAGTATGGAATGGTGCCCCTGCTAGAGCTAATGGCTTAAGGGGTGGGAGGAATGTTGAGGGGCTCTCACTTGCCTTTCTCACCAGTGATCTTGTCTTTTTTTCTCCAGTATTACCAAGCCATGGAGACCTTTGTCACTTCCTGTGCTGGATACTGCATTGCCACTTACATCCTCGGCATTGGCGACCGGCACAATGATAACATCATGGTCACGGCACAAGGTATGACCTCTGGCCTTTGCATTGCAGTGAGAAGCAGGAAGCCAAGTGGAGTTGAGGTACAGATCAGCCATGGCCTAACAGAATAATAATAATCCTTGATTTGAGTCTTCGAGAGAATGGTGGAAGATGCTTGAGGGCCTGAATGGTCCACTACTGTTCCGATGTTGCTATGTTCCTATAAGCCTTGCCCCTGAAGGATTAGCGTATAAAAGATCGATCATTATTAATGAGCAACAAGAACATCAAGGCTTTGCCAAATAGAGAGTACAAAAATATGTCTTGGATTTATTTCCTGTTTCATAATAGTATTTCCCCCTCCCACAAAAAAAAACATGATTCCTGTTCCTGACATGCTCTTTCTCTCTCTTGGCAGGGAATTTGTTCCACATCGACTTTGGCCACATTCTGGGCAACACTAAGCGGTTTCTGGGGGTGAACCGTGAGAGAGCCCCATTTGTCCTTACGCCGGACTTTCTCTTTGTGATGGGAAAAGTGAACAAAAGATCCAGTCTCTACTTTCAGAGGTTCAAGGTGAGAGGGAGGCAGACACTGAGTGTTAGGATGCCCCATAGTCCATCTATTGATTTAAGCCGTTGATTTAGTGTGAAATTGAGCCACATTGAATTGGAAGGTTTTGTAGTCAAGTCAGTCTGTGCTGGGTTATCTATAGTAAAGATACTACAGTTGTCTTGACCTGGTCAATATGGCTTAGGTCCATATAAGATTAGCCTTTACCGGGTTAGCCATTGGGAAAAATAATCTGTACCTTTACATTTGGATTCACTGTGAGTTTTTTTTATTGATATCTCATCTTTTGTGCCTTGATCTTTTCGTGCCGGTTGCACTCTTTCACCTGTTACAATGGGATGTTTTAGGAACGCATTTCTCAGTTTCAATATATGTGCAATATGCCCTTTGTCCTATGGGTTGATTGCCAGTAAAGAGCTCCCATTTTTAGCACCTTATGTCGAAAGATTTCAAGGGTAATCAATTGCTAAAATGTGCTGTGTTTTTCCAGGACATCTGTATTGAGGCTTATCTGAGTTTACGAGCTCACTCCAAACTGCTCGTCAACCTTTTCTCTTTGATGACTCTGACTGGAATCCCAGAGCTGACCAGCACTAAATCCATCCAGTACCTAAAGGAAGCCCTGGCTATGGAGAAGGATGAGAAGATGGCACAAGAACACATCTTGAACCAGATTGAAATGTGCGAGAGTTTGGGTTGGACAGTACAAGCCAATTGGTGGATTCACATGTTCATGGGTGTCAAACAGACAAAATCATAATTTCATCATAATTTCATTTAACTTACTCCTTTTTTAAAATATGTATTTTAATGAGGAATTAATTTGTAACTATTTTATTCTTGGTTGCACATTTCCACTGGTAAGGAATACGAGAGGCTACAAATTCAAAATGGTGACTAAGAGAAGAAAAAGAGAGGTTTGGAAGAACTTCTCCCAAATGTTGTCGAGAGTATTGAATGATTCGCCAGGATTGTCTCTCGGAGTAAAGTCTATTGGGCCTTTGGAAAAAAAATTGGACAAGGATACAGGGAGAGAGCAAAGAATTAGGATGCAGGACTTCTTAAACAAGCAAACTCTAACATATACTTGGACCGAATGGCTTCCTACTGTGTTGTACATTTCTATTATTCTACACACATATATAGATATGTTTATATATATATGATGTGTTTGTAATTTGTCTGCTATAAAATGTCAGGTGTGCATGAAAAAATCTTGTTTTATTTTTGGATCCGATCACTTTTTTAAGAATCATATTGCTTTACTGATAACAGGAAGTAACAGGAAACCTAAATAAAATAGTCTTTCAATAGGTATGTGGCGACTCTTATCATCCTCGTGTGTTTCGTTGTTTCTTTTTGAAGGTGGGTCACTGTCTGAGGAGGGTCCAAGCACAGGGTTACTATATTGGAGGTCAGACCCATCCACAGAGCAGTGAACACAACAGACACACATTACTGAATGGTGTTGCCAGATCCAGGACAAGAGACTACAAGGGAGCAGCCTCCATCATATTCTCACCGGCAAGGATCCACGCTGGATGCTAATGTGGTTAAAGCTCTTCACTCAAGGCAGTGGCTTATGCAGGGGGATGGTACGCCACCACTTTCTCGCTCTTGTCGGTCTCCTGATGGCACATCACCGCTGGTTTCCTGTGTCTGTGTCTCAAATACTCTCTTGCATGTAGGCAGCTACATAAATGCTAGTTGTTAGTGTGCAAAGCTGCTGTTTCCCCGCCCCCACACCCCCGCCCTTTTGTCTGTGTTAAAGTCGGCAACGAGTTTGGAAATGTCTAAGTAAACAACAAAAAAATGTTGAGGCTCAAAATTTCATTGATTAATAATAAAGGTTCACGATCCTTGCATTTGATGTAGGCCCTTATCACATCATCGAGACGTCTCAAAACGCTTTACAGGATATACTGGAAGATGGTGTGAGAATGAATTTATTCTCGGCCTGTAGGGCGGATTGCCCAGAAATTGGTGCAGTTCTTAAATTCAAAACCATTCTCACGTTTCTAAATTGGAGCTAAATTGGTGAATGTTTCAATAGTTCCACAGACTAGTCAGACAGACTAGGTGGAATTCTGGGCTTCTTGAAACCCTTCCCTCACTGAGTGAGTCATACTCCAAATAAGGGGATTGAAATGTGCTTTTTTTTGGTGTAAAGTGTGTGTATGTAAAGTGTGTGTGTGTGGGAGAGGGGATTCAAACGTCTTGAAGTCTGAATGGATATGGGTGGGGTGAAAAGAAAGAATGTGTGAATGAACGAGTTTTGGAGATTGAATAAAGGAACAGATGCTTGTGTGTCCTGTTGCCTCTCTGAATGATGTGAATGAGTGAGAGATTGGTGTGTGTATGTATGTTTGTGTGTGATGGGGGGGGTTGGGGTTTGGTGTGGGAAAGGAGAAAGAGTTTGAGGCCATGCCCTGCATTGAGACTTGCTGCCCAGCCTGCATTTATGCTAATGGTAGCAGATGGGCTGAGCTGGGCAGTCCAGGACATCCCACTGAGGGGGTGGAGGTCATGGACCTGTCAGCTCGATGGGTCATTGCAATGATCAGAAGCTGTTCAGTGCCTCTGGAGTGGGGGCATCTGGTGCTGGGGCAGCCCAGAGCCTCTCTCTCTCTCTCTCTCTCTTTGCTGGGGCTCCTTCCTCCTGATGCTGTGAGTACTGAATCCCAGTCGCTGTGTTTTGCTCTAGAATCATGTTTCGTCAGCAGCAGGTTTAGAAAACGCTGTGTCAAGTCACCAATTGAAGGCCTCTCCCTCCCTTGCACCTCGTGTCTTTTTAGTCTGCATTTGCAAACTCTCCCCTCCTTCCCTACCTGCTTAAGAAAAGAATTGGCTTCTGCAAGGCACGACAAGCTCGAGTTACCAAGTCAGCCGAAGGCTTTTTTTAGAGCCGGAAAAAAAGGCTGACTTTAAAGGCATTTCATGCTCCTCCGTTTTGAGGCAAGGGAGCATCTTGGCTGGGATTGTGTCAGCGTCGACGACGACGATGATAATAATAATGATAATAATAATCCTTGCGTTTGATATAGCGCCTTATGATGTCTTCGAGACGTTTCAAAGCGCTTCACAGAATACAGAATTTTGCGAGCAAAACCTATCAGCCAATCGCGCACAGCAGCGGCCCCACAAACAGTCACGGATTGAGTGACCAATTTATTATTTTTTTGAAGGGATTATTACCCCCTAGAAAAGTGACACGCCATCCGACTAACAACCGGGTTTCCTTGCTGCTGGGTAAACAGAGGCGTGCGGAGTAAGGAAACCTGCCCAACACTTCGCCCCGCCAGGGATTTGAACCCAGGTCTCTCGTCTGCGATGTTCTGTAAGCCCGAGTTTGAAGAAGAAGTATTTGGTGACATGCCCCTCTTTTGCAGCTGAACCTGTTGAACTGCCTGTGTTCTGATTGACGTGGCGGAACTTATTGTTAAATGTTTGATGTTATATACTGGGCGTTTGGCTGAATCTCGCACAGCCTGTAAGGAGGGAGTGTTGGTTCTCCTGCCCTTCGGAGAGGGAAATGTGACCTTTTTTTTTTCAGATTCTGAAAGGTATAATTTAAGACGTTGAGATTTCTGCAGGAGAGGGCCGGGCGAGCGAGGGGAGAAAGTAACTCGACGGGTTGGAAGGGAAGTGCGTGATAGGGAGAAGGGAAGAGGCAACAGTGGGGGAGACGGGAAGCAGGGAGTGGAGGGTGGGGGGGGGGGAAGAGGGGGTGGGTGGGGTTGTGTGTGTGTGTGTGGGTGGGTGGGGTTGTGGGTGTGGGTGTTAGTGTGTCAGACGGGGGAGTTGCAGAGGGAGTGGAAGCCGGAAGGGGAGCATTGCAGTTTTTAGAGTCTATTCAACCTGAAAAAGGAAAGACAACACTGTACCACTGGAAGGATCCACATGCTGCCACCTTAGTCGTGTTACACGTCAACGTGTTTTCGTGTTCCAAACACACTGTCCCAGTCTCTCTTCCTGCCTCACTGCGTAGAAATGAAAACTCACTGTTCATCTCCCACTCGATTCCCTCCCAGATCTCAGCATTGTAGAATTCCTTTCTTCCCTCAGGCTTCACTTCCGCCTACAATCTACAGCTTTTAATACCCAAACCTAGTGTCAACAATACAGTTTACATTTATGTACTGTAGCTCCTTTCATGTCGAGAGGACGTTTCAAAGCACTTCACCATGCCAACTGGACAACTACGACTACTACTACTAATAATAATCCTTGCATTTGATATAGTGCCTTATCACATCATTGAGACGTCTCAAAGCGCTTTACTGGATATACTGTAAAGTGGATTGGCTGTGTATTTTGTTGGGTGAAATGTGGCAGCCAGTTGCGCACAGCAGTCTCCCACAACTTATCCCACGACATTGATTGTTCGCTCGTCCCCTTTGACGTGTATCATTGGTTGGTCCTGTACTGTGCAATGTCCCTTTACTCGGTTTCTTAAGGGAAAAAAACAGTTCCAAGTCAGCCGCGGGGCGAGTCCCGAAGTCTGCTTTGGGCAGCGCGACCTGACAGTTTACTGTCACGAGAGAGGAAAGTAAGCGAGAATTCTCCGAGACAAATCCAGAATCTCAGACAAAGAAAGCGGCAGCTGGAGGGAGGGAGCAGTGGCTCCTGTACTCCAGCCCCATGCTGTCGGGGGTCTTGTAGGCCATCATTAAAAGCCGAACCACATAAAAGTCCTGTCACTGAGTGTCAGACTCATCCCACCATCCACTGCACCCATGCTCTGCCCCCCCCCCCCGCTCTTGACTACACTTAGCATCAAAGGGACCCGGTAGCCACTCGATACAATCTGGTGACTCCACTGGTGAAGCCCACAACGTACACTTGTAATTATTGTAGACTTGCATTAGTATTCCCCTGTTTTGTTGCAATTCCTCGCCCCCCCCCCCTTTGTTTTGCATCATTAACGCCTCTTTAACCCATCATCCCCTGTCCTCGAAACCATTTTCTCCTTTGTCTTCCTTGCCCTGCCTCGCCGCCCCCCACCCCTCCATCTCTGTTAGCCCTTAAAAGCCTCTCCCTCCCAATCTGCCCCAGTTCTGACGAAACTTTGAAACACTTTCCTCTCTCCATAGATGCTGCCTGACCTGCTGAGTGTTCCCGGTGTTCCTTCTGTTTTCGTTTCAGATTTCCAGCATCTGCAGGACTTTGGGTTTTGTTTACACTTGTGCGGTGTTGGAGACGTTTTGCAACGCGTCTTGTTGTGCTGAGGTTTAAAGGCCTTTCCCGCTGGACGTTAAACCGTGTCAGATTTCGGCACTGTTAAGCGCTCTCGAGACCCTACACTGCGCGGAGGAAGCTATATAAGTGCAAGTTGTTGTTGTTGTTGTTGACCTTCTGCTCGGAATCTTTGGTCGAGGCGTCTTCTTAAAGAGAAACGGCCTTTAAAGGTGAGTACAATCATTTGGCAAAATCTGCTTTGCTTCCAGAGCGCAGGGGCGCTTGGGTCACTTATGTGAGTGTGATGCCAGACTCATGTGGAACGCAACACACACAGTGCCTTTATCTGGAGCGGTCAAGCATTTTCCAAGCAGTGCTCCCTGTGTCCCTCAAGAGCTTTGCAGTAGGTGTGGTGGCTGTAGCGTTGATGGTGGTCTTCTCTCTTTTTCTCTCTCTCTCTCTATTTGAAGTTGTCAGCCTGACTCAATTGATGTCCTTCCCCTGCTTCTTGGGCAGAAGATTGTGGGTTCAGCTGAAGAGCAAACGTCTGGGATTCAGCTGGCGAGGAGGACCATCGTAACATCACTTCCTGTAGGCCTTTGACCCTCTCCATGATGACTGATTTCCTTTGGTGTTCAGAGTCTCCCCACATTTTCTAGCACCATTTGAAATCGGTTGTGTTGAGGGGTCTTTCGTCCGGGACGCAAAAAGAATCCGGGAAACAGCGGCTCCGAGATGTCGTGCGTCCGGCGTGAAGGGCGCTATATAAGTGCAAGTTGTTGTTGTTGTCGTCGTCGCGGAAGATGAAAGGCTAAAGGCAAAATACTGCAGATGCAGGAAATTTGAAATAAAACCAGAAGTGGCCGGGGACACGCAGCAGGTCAGGCAGCATCTATGGAGAGAGGAAAATGAGTTAATGTTTCAAGTCGATGACCTTTCATCAGAACTCTGGTTCTGTCGAAAGACTAAGGAAAGGCAGATTCAATTCCTGGTCATGTGGAGTAACGTGTGTAGAGTGGAGGAGAAAGCTTCTGGGTTTCGTTGAGTTCAACTGATCTCAGCTGAGGTAGTGATCATCACAGTTGTCCACTATCACCGGTCTCTGTATTGGACCAGATAAGGGAATAGAGTCACTCAACAATGAGTCAAGGGAGAAGGAGAGGAAACAGGTGCAGGAATAAAAATAGATATAGTGGAAGCTCAATAATTTAAGGGTCGGATAACACACTCGGAAGTTTTAGCATTTGTCTTGACGTTGACTGTTTTCTGTTGTGTGAAGAAGAAGTACTATTTTGAGGTTAAACCTTCCATTTTTGCTTTGCTTCGCATTTAAAATACAATGTCTTAAAATTTTTGAAGCTTAAGATAGACGTATTTAATAATCTCTATAAGTTGATCATGTTTGTTTAGCATTCGGAGTTCAAAGTTTATGCTTTTGTTTGAAAAGGAGCTGGTGTGATTGTTGATATATTTCCGTTCTCCTGACGTGGAGATGGCAGAGTGGGTCCCTGGTGTTTTATTGTTGGACCTGAGTGTTTACGCATACATTCCCAGCAGTCGGGCAAGTTTCCTTACTCCAACCGTCGCTGTTTATCTAGCAGTTTAAGTGGGAATCCAGTTGTTAGTTGAGTGTCGGATCGCTTTTCCAGGGGGGTAATAATTCCTTTTTAAAAAAAATTAGTCACTCAATCCTGTTTGTGGGACGTTGCTGTGTGCAATTGGCTTCCTCGTTTCACCCGCAAAGTATACAGTCAATTCAGTTTACAGTGAATCCTACGAAGCGCGTTGAGACATCTCGAAGAGGTGATAAGGCAAGGATTATGATTATTATTTTACTTGTAACATGCAGAATAAGCTGGGAAGGAACAAAGCCAGGGTTAGCTGAAACTTGTCATAACCAAGGGACGGGCTACTGGGAGGACATTCCATGAGACGAAGCAGACATAAAACGTCTAAACTTGGTGCAGTTCCAATCAATCCTGATTGTGCAGCGCTCAATCTTGGCCAACCCACACGGTGGAACGACCGAGAGGAGATTTATAGTTCCCTCCTCCACTTAATTAATTATTACTCAGGGTTGCGGTTGCAAGATGGCATAGTCGGCATGGTGACGGGCAGGGGGAGGGAGTCTCGACTACAAAACCGAGTCAGTCACACGTTTGGGACAAGGCTACGGGCTACAAGAGGAGGCTGGGCTCCACAGGTATGTAACCTGGATCTGATCGGCACAGAGTGTTCTGCGCTTGATTCATTGACATTGACCTCGTAATTTTCAGCGATAGCATTTGGATGTTATCATTCTCAAATGTGGCCAAATTACTACCTCCTGATTTTCTTAATTTATCGACGCATTGTCTGTTCGGAACAGTGGGGGGTGTGTTAATGGTTCCTCACGTGAGAGATTTTCAGTTCCGAGCGTTTGGTCTGTGAGTTGATACTCTTTCTTCTCTCAGTTTGATTACTGCCACCTTAAGGGTTAATTCGCAGTCTATGAACTGTGGGATGCTCTCATGTACCAGGTTCGATCCCTGATCCGTGCTGAACTCAGCCACTAGGGTGGCTCGAGTGTTCCTTGATTGAATCTTCATTGAATCAGAGAATTGGACTTCACAGAAGAAGCGCTTTGAGACGTCCTTCCGACGTGATAAAGGGCTAAACCAAATGCGAGTAATTATTATTTTGCTCACCCTGCCATTCCCCCATCGCAGCAGCAAGCTCCCTTTTAAAAAATAATAATAATCCTTGCGTTGGATATAGCGCTTTATCCTATCTTCGAGACGTCTCAAAGCGCTTCACAGAATATACTGTAAAGTGATTTGACTGTATATTTTGTAGGCAAAAATGAGTCCAGTGTCCCTTCCTGGCAACCTGTTCCAGTCGTTAATTACTCTTCGAATAAGGAAAAACTTCCAGGTGTCTGTCCTGATATTGCAACTCATGTCCTGTTGTTTCTATCGCCTTGGTGGATCTCTGTGAGTGATTTATGATGTGGCTCAGGACTGTGTGAATGCTAGCCTTTGGCTTGGGTGGTTCTCAAACCTGCGGAATGCATTCCTCTTTGTGTCTCGATTAAAGATAAACTTCTGAACCCAGCCTTGTGATTTATTGCGCCGTGCTTTTGATTAATCCTGTCTAGAGATCATTAAGCGGCAGTCTGTAAGGAGCAGATCTTCAAAGTATCAACATGGCAACAAGACACCCTGTGAAAAGTTTCCCTAGCTTAATAATAATAATAATAATCCTTGCATTTGATATAGCGCTTTATCCTATCTTCGAGACGTCTCAAAGCGCTTCACAGAACGCACCGTAAAGTGAATTGACTGTATATTTGTGGGCGAAAGCGGCAGCCAATTGCGCACAGCAATGTCCCACAAACAGTCGTAGATTGAAAATGACCAATTTATAATTATTTTTGGAGGGATTATTAATTAGGCTCTGTGTGGAGTAAGGAAACTTGCCCAAGGTTTTGCCCTCTGCCTGGAATTGAACTCGGGTCTCTCGCTTGCAAAGCGAGTGCTCTAACCACTGAGCTACAGAACTTCGCTTATGTTCAGTCACTCCAACCAGGGCAGTCACTTTGTGTTGTAAGTTTCAGGTGTGGCACCTTAGTCAGTGGCTAAAAATTCAGAATCCTACAGGACAGTGTTCGAGAAGCCAGGGATATGGGGGTACAGATACAGAGATTGTTGAAAGTGGGATTGCAGGCAGAGAGGGCTGCTGAAAGGGCAGCCGGGATTTTGGGGGGGGGTTTATTTATAGAGGGAGGGAATTTTGAGCGGAAAATCTCGCTGCAACAGGAGATAGTGTTGGCACGAGTTGTGTGGGACGGTGAATTGTTCACCTGGAAGAAAATACAGAGCCGGAAGAAACCACAGTGGAAAATTCTTACGTTTTATCTTTATTAAAGTTTTTCTGAAACGTTGATTAAAGTTTATCAAAGCTGTTTCTTTTTAAGAGCTGAAAAAAAATGCTGTCCGGGTTTAGAACATAATGGTGTTGCCTATAAAGACTAGGTGGAATTTTGGCGTCTCTAGGCCCCTGTTTCCACGTAGTCCGACGCGGAGGCCAGCCTGGATGTGGAGAGACAGTGAGGCTCGTCTGAGGAGCAGCAGATGGTTGTTGGAGGCTGGAAGCCTGGGGTCTCACCAGAGGCCAGTGGGAGAGGAGAGTGACTGGGATCAAGAGCTCGACGATGAACCAGAATACAAGAAGCAGCTGTTCAGGTAAGATCTAGCGAGCTATAGAGAGATGTACAGCACAGTAGGAGGTCGTTCAACCCATTATTTTGTATCGGTGTTCCATCCATCCTCATCTCAATTCCCTGCTCTTTTCCAAAATCCTACAATCACCTTCATCTGCACTTCTTTATCCAATCCTGTTTTAAAATACCCGATCCAGAACTCCACAGCCTTCGTCCAGCTTTTAAGGCCACTGAATTTGTCCTCTAAGATGATAATAATAATTCTTGCATTTGACATAGCACCTTATCACATCTTATCACATCAAAGCGCTTCACAGAATACACTGTAAAGTGAATTGACTGTATATTTTCCCTGAGAGCGAAATGCTGCAGCCAATTGCGCACAGCGGTGTCCCACAAACAGTCGTGGATTGAGTGACCAAATTATTATTATGTTGATCCGTGTTCCTCCACTCCATTGAGAATTCTGCCACCCAGGGTATGATTTCCGCTCCTTAACCTTCCTCCCAAAAGTCGTCTGGTTCACTCAGTAACGTGATTTATAATTATTTGGGGGGTGGGTGGGTAAATTGCCAACCTGGAATCATGTTTTGTGGTGTCTACCTTTTCTCTCTCGTTCTCAAAGGCTCTTCGGCCCTCGGATGGCAAACTACTTCTTCCAACCACTGCAGGCAAATCCCCACCTTAGCCTGTGGGTGTCGAAGTTACTGGAATGGATGGGAGGTGAGTGGGACCACTTCGCAGCATTTTTTTGTTTGTAGAACTTTTAATTAACACATTTGTATCATAAAGACTCACTGGGAGAGTGTATGCGAACTACGAGGAAGAGCTACACCTCTGCTCACCCCCTTCTCTCAGCTAACTCAGGCTTGCTACACCTATCTCTTGAACTCCCTTCCTCTACCCCTCTGTCTTGCCCCCTCGCTCTCTGTCTTCAAGTCTCCCCTTGAAATCTAGCTCTTCACTGTGCCTATGTAACCTCCCCGTTTCCCCTCCTCTGCTCAGTGGCTGACTCTGCCTTGACCCCTCTCTTGCCTCCTTCAAGACCCGTCTCAAGACCCTCCTCTTTGACCACGCCTTCGGTCACCCTCCTACCTCTACTCTCCCCGCCCTCCATCCCTCCTGACCCCAACCACCAGCTCGGGTGTGGATCCCTGATTGTCCAGCACCTTAGGATGTCCTCATGACGTGAAAAGTGCCATCCAAATGTAATTTGTTGCTGTTGTTGACTTCCGTCACTCTAAAGCACTCTGAGACATTATCCTACGTGAAGGGTGCTGTATAAATGAAGGTGGTGATATTTCCTGCAGGACTGAACTCAAACACCATCTGCATCTAGAGCAGAGTTCATGAGAGTCGACCAGCATTCTAATGGGATTTCTTATTAAGGAATTTCTCAAATTGGATCCCAAGTAGGTGACGTGACTCTGAGTCCTCTGTATATTGCACCTCCAGATGGCGTAGGGGCTGAAGAACTGTGGAGAATCATTCGAGAAGATTCCAAAAGCCACCTGTTGCAGATCCACTCACCTGATCTCCAGGTAACGTGAGGTCTAACTTGTGCTGTTTGCTAAGTCTGTTACTTCTCCTTTACAATGGGAAAATACTATCAATGAACGGATGGATTTATTGACACGACTGTGCGACACTGCTGTGCGCAATTGGCTGCCGCATTTCGCCCATAAAATCCACAGTCAATTCACCTTACAGTATATTCCGTGAAGCAGTTTGAGATGCCTCAACGACGTGATAAGGGGCTATATCAAATGCAAGGATTGTTATTGTTGTTCAACTCAGAGAAAATGTCAAATAAGACGAACAATAAGATGAGCAAATTCACCGTCTCGTTGAATTTTGCCCAATGTTCCCTGCTGGAGTTATCTTTCTATAGGCACCTCCTGATATTTTTGTCTAAGTGCTTCGATGTGTGAGCCTGGTCAATGAATACATCTTTTTGGAGAATGTGTGGCACCAGTAGCGGTGTACCCCAACACAAGTCAGCACCTTTCTAACACCAATCCTTGTGTTTGATATATATTATGTGTACAATATATTTGAGTTTGTTTTTGGTCACAAACTCTCAAAGTGCTTTACAGTTAATTTAGTGAAATTAGAACCAAGTAGCTTGACTTGCCTTGAGTATCAAAACATGGGGAAAATAGTAATTTCACTCTTCATACAACCGCTGTGTCTGATGCTAGGCGTGTGCTTTGGGGAACTGGAGTGGGACGAAAGCCTCGGATCCATTGAGGTCACAGCGGCGCAGAGTGAATGCAATGTACACCATCTCGCAGCTGAACCGGGCCAAAACCACCCTGATCCTTAGCAAGAACCTGCTGCCCGATCTGAACGACAGCCAGGGGCAAGTGGGGCCCATGAGATTCCTTACCCGCCGGAGTGGAGCTGGGAAAGCGAGCGGTCCAGAGGTATTGACAAGAATATTATGGGAATAAGTTTACTAAATAAATCACCAGGAAATCACTCTTCAATCTTCTCTACAGCTGTCCTCCTAAGCCATCAGTTATTCAACGAACATCTGCCTTCAGCGTGTGGAGGGTCCTCTGTCCTATAGAGGACAGATTATGTACCTTGGCACAATCACAAGTTGCCCAAGGGGCATGAGCAGGTCTGATCTGATCCCTCATCACAGCATCGGTCCCTTTTGTTTTGTCAGCCGGGTGTCGTAACATACGCCGAAACTCATGACCAAACCAAACTGAGAATTCCACATCTGCTCGCTGCCGAACGGTAACACAAGGTGCGCAGTCATTTTACAACACGGATCGTTCTCAAATGAAACAGATCCTGGCTAAGTGAAAGCCTTCATATTTTTTGTTAGAGGGAACGTTTTAAAGCAGTAGTGGCCACCCTTTTTTAGTCGGCCAACCAAATACATTTGTCCTTAATTGAATATTTCTTGATTGATGGGCGCGCAATAGTTATTGCCACTCAGTAGCTACTGGAAACAAAATATTGAATTTAACACACATTTACTGAGGATAGTGTGAATGTTCGGCGATCACTTCTTGACTGGGTCCCATGGGTTAGTCACCAGTGTTTTAGAGACGTGCTCTCAGTGATGGTATTCCTCTTTTTCTAGGTATTTAAAGAGGGCCCAAATGTGGGAAAGTGACTTTCCAACAGTCTCTACACCCAATGGGCAACGTGGCCAGGAACAATCAATCCAGGTATAAAAAGGGAAAGGCTTCTGGCACATCTGTGTCAAAGGGAATTTTGGGCGGGTGAGAATTTGCCAGGATTCCCACGCCTGACCACTATCCAGTAGGTACTGCTGGAAAGTGTGTGTGGGTATGGGTGTGTGTGTGTGTGTATTTGGATTCACTTGGGGACAGGATTGGACTTGCATCTGCAAACATTCAGTTAAGGCTGTCAAATAAAGAATGGCCACCTGGACAGGTGAGGTACTGGAGGCTGCTTGAATCTTAGCCCCAACATGTAAGCTCACCAGGTGAGGACAGCATCATGCTTAGCTCCCCTCCATACACACACGTGCACAGACACAGTCAAGTAACCTGCAACCATCATTGCCTCCACTTACTATCTTGATTGATGTATTTCAAACAACAACCACCACCACAAAATTACATTTGTTTAGCGCCTTTCACATTGGGAGGACATTCCAAGGCGCTGGACAGTCAATGTTTCGTACCCGATTGGATAGGGTGCAGGGCAGGGGGGGAAAAGGGTGATCGAAAGCATGGTTGAAGAGGAGGGTCTTGAGATGGGTCTGGGAGGGGGCGAGGCAGAGGGACTGCGCGATGGAGTTCCAGAGGGTGGGGACAGAGTGGCAGAAGGCCTGCCCATCAATGGTGGGGCGGGCAAGGTGGAGAACGTGAAGCAGGCCAGAACCCGCTGAGCAGAGGGACTGAGCAGGTTGGTAGGGGTTTCGGAGGCCTCAGAGGTAGGGAAGATGCAAGGTCATGGACGGCTTTTAAGGTGAGGACCAGGATTTTGAAATGTATCCCCTGTGTGATGGGAAGCCAGTGGAGTCAGGCGAGGATGGGATGGTAGATTTCTTGGGCAAAGCAACCCCCAAGGGATTATAAACCAGAATAAAACAACAGCACGTTCAGGAGAAAATTGGGGAATGTGCTGTGCAGAAAGAAGATAAACTCCCTTCTCATTTCAATTGCTGCCGTGAGATCTTTAACATCCCACCTGAACAGGCGGCTGGGACCTCAGTTGGATTCAGAGCACCAATTGCAACCATGTTTTTCTATTTCTAGGGTCAAGCTGGATCTGAATCGTACCTTCCGCAGTTGTACACATGGAATGGCGGCGAGGGACATCAGACATGCCTTGCCACGTGAATAGATTTCCCCAATTTTTTTCAATTTTTTTTTACTGAAATAAAGATTTATTTTACTTTTGGATTTGAATTTGAAGTGAGTTTTGGGTTACAAGGTCATCAGGTCTTACGTGAACAGCGACGGGAAATGACGTTAGAGCCGTTGCTCCACATCTGCGGCAAGTGACATCCGCGGTGACCTTACCACCCAGAAGTCATCCATTTGTCGATGTTTAAGGACGGAAATTCGGAGAAAATTGGTTTAAAAAAAACAACAGTTGCCTGTTCAGAGTCAGAAGTGGACGAGCCCACCATCTAATCTGTAGCCAACCGAGTCGTTAGGCTGGGTGGGCAGTGTTCCTAGTGAGCCCTGGCAACGTGGCTGACACGTGCAGGTCAGGGTATTGAGGGATATGAGGCAAGGGTGGGTAACTGGACTTTAAGTAAAGATCAGCCACGATCTTATAAAATTGGCGGAACAGGCTCGAGGGGCTTATTAGCCAACCCCTGTTTCTATACAGAAATGTGTGACACATCAACATTATCGCTCATTAAAATCTCCACACTATTTCCCTTCCGACTCCTAAGCGATTATCTTTTTAATGATTCTCACTGAACTTCGGTTCCCAAAGTGCTGCTGTGGTGTATTTGTCTCCATCAAGTAGGAGGTTTAAGTGCGATGCTTCACCCGAGGGGCCACGCTTCAGATGTGAGCCTTGACAGTGAGAACTGGGGATAATCCAATTTATCATAATCAATCCCTTGATAATCAATTGTTCCTCGGCCTTTAAAAAACAAACAACAATCGGAAGGGATTTTAATATTGGCCTCATCTTTGGTGGGTGTAGACCAATTCTCGAGAGATTATTTTACCAAAAATGGGACAGTTGAGAGAGATGACCCAGTTGATAATCTAGTCGCAGCAGACTGACTGATGCTCCTTGCTCTGTGTACTCTTCTCTTCTTCCTTGGCAATTGCGTACACACACACACACAGGCTTTCCAGCAGGGAGTGGGATACCTGACTGATACGCTGAAGCTAGTGCTCAGCCAACTCATCTCAGACCAGATATTGTCCCTGAGACTTTTCCCATCTGTACGGCCCCGCTTCTCGCCGTGTGTGATCTGGTGAAGCGTACGTCGTACACTGCACGGCAGACGGCAAACTTCTGCATTGTCCTCCCGACGTGAAAAGCGCGATATCAAATGCAAGGATTATTATTATTATTATTACCTGTACGTTTGAGAAGCCAAACGCAGAGCACATTTCAGAGGCGTAAAGGTACCCTTCCCTGTGAAAGGTGTTTGCGATGTTGAAGGCAAATTAAATCCACCTATACAGCAGAGGGCGCCATTCTGTCACTTATAGATCATTCGGAAACTTGGTCTCTGCTTCAAGATAAATACACATCACAGGAAAAAACGCTAAATTTGAATATTTTTAAACAAACGATAACATTAATATAGGCATAATTATATGCAGTTATGTTGCGGGCAGATGGCAGAGGCCCCACTGAAAATATCTGCACTTCACTTTTTGGTGAAACGTTCATTTTTGTTTTTTCTAAGTGAAAGACAAAGCGAAAGCGCAACAATTAATCGAGGCAGCGTGAAGTATCAGGGTTAAATAGCGAGAGGTGTGTAGGCAACCACCCCTGGTGAGACGGCAGGGAAAGCATTCGGCGGAAAGAATGCAGAGATGGGAGTGGACTTCAACACACTCCCTGTAATAATAATCCTTGCATTTGATATAGTGTCTTATCACGTGATTGAGACATCTCAAAGCGCTTCACAGAACACATTGTAAAATGGATTGGCTGTGTATTTTGTGGGCAAAACACAGCTGCCGATTACACACAGCAGTGTCCCACAAATAGTCGCGGAGGGATTATTATTCCCAGAAAGCAATCCACCAATCGACCAACAACTGCTCGGCAAACAGAGGCGTGCGGAGTAAGGAAACCTGCCTAAGGTTTCGCCTCGCCCGGGAATCGAACCCGGGCACCTCTCGCTAACCACTACACTACGGGACTCCATTTCTTTTTCTCTCTCTATCTCCCTCCCCTGAGGGGCCCCAACCCAGGACAGAAGCCGTGGCAGGAGAATATTAATGACATTAACGCTTCTCTCTCTCTCTCTCTCTCGCTCTCTCTCTCGCTTCAGCAGAAACTGGTGGGAGGGAAGAACAAATCAAGCCAGGCAGATACAGCACTTTCTCCCTCCCTTCCTCCCAGTTTTGTCCTCCCCAAGCGCCTTGTGTCCAATGACTGAGATCCTCTGTGTTGAGACTGAGTGACAGGCATTGCCCTATTGAGTGGAGGGAGAGCATTCAACTGTCTGAAACACCAGGTTACCAGGTCCTCTGTCTGTTAATGCTGGATTTCCTCCAACTCATTCACACACAGATGAAATGGGAGCTCATGGCAGGTGTCAGATGCTAATGAAATGGACACAGGTTGCCTTGGAGTGAAATAAGGTTAAATCACCCCCAAAAAGAGTATCACTTGAGCCCTTTAAACATCCCTGCTGATGCTGAGACAGTTTGCTGGGTTGCAAGTGAAAGGTAAGAAGACACTTTTCTATAGAAAAATAGAGCGGCAAATTACTGGAAGGCATTTCACTGTTTTATATGGTTCTTTGTATGTACTTTGCAGTGACCAGGAGAAGTCAGAAATGTTTCTCATTAACTAATTACCTGTAAAATGCGGAGCAAAACTTTACGCCGTGTTGTGCTGACAGAGTTAAGGTCATTTTATATCTGTTACTTTACCTGAGCTTTACCTGGGTGGGGTGGGGGCGGAAGGAAGGAAAGGTAAGGCAAGCATTTTATGGGGATAGTTTAATTAAATCTATCCATTCCAAACAATTTTAGAATTACTTTTAAAAAACAAAATGTTTAAAAATTAATGTTTTTTTTAAAAAAAATTCAAAATACTTTTTAAAAAATAATTTATAAAAACCTATTTTTTTAAAAAAACGCAAGGTTGATTTATATAAAGCAGTCTATCAAATAATAATCTGTGCCCTCGGGGTTTGGTTTTTACTAATTAATCTTATATTTTAACTCACTTTTTTTAATTAAATAAAGCCAAATCACTCCCCGAATTCACTTAAAGTTTTTATTTCACCTTTTTTTTTTGCCGAATGGGTTGCAAAATGTTCCCGAAAATGCCGGAGCCCTGTGTGTTGCAAAGTCCAGATTTTTACCCCTGATTGTTTCAGATGAAGTCAGTAAATAAGACTGTTGTGGGTGTTAATTTGCGGTGGGAGTGCCTGTGAGTGACAGGTGTTGGGAGGCGATGCGAGTGACAGGTGTCAGGAGCGGCTTTGATTGACGGTGAACCCCAACGCCACAGTCTGGGGTCCCGAAGCCTTGGCTCTCGCCGACCTGCGCCTAATACTTTCCCGGGAAATTAGGTGAGCATTGCGTCCCTCCAGAGAGAGAGGGTGAGAAAGAGAGAGAGCATTCCATTCCAGCGATCTATCTCTGGAATTTCCGTGCGTGTGTAGGTGGGATGCATGGGATTCTCAGCTCGGTTTGGGTATGCTTAAGCACGGTGATGGGTTTCTACATGTGTCAGACACCCGGCTGACCAAATAAAAACACAGATGCAAAGTCCGGACTTGCTTCTTCAGTTGATCAGACGTACAATGCGTCAACATAGATCTGTGGACACATTAATTGTTTTTAACCTTCAGGTTCTCATTTTCTCAATCATTTACAGTATCTTGTTCCTTTGCGCGGTAGATTTCCACAATGAGTCACAGCAGCATAGCAGAAGATAGAGTTTTATTGCGTGGGTCTAGTGTCGGGCGGCAATAAAGGTGTTCATTTGGAAACATCAGAGAACTGCCTGTCTGCAGCTGGGATTAAGCAGTGTTAAAGTGTTGCTGCCTGTTAGTCATTAGATGAAATGCTTACAGGTTATTAAGTGAATGGGTTTCACTTATTCACTGTAACGCTGATCAATTTACCTGCTCCTTACAAGAACCGGATAAAGCTCTTCATTGGACTTTGGTGTAGCACTTTGCTGTGTCCCTAAGGTATGGGAACTAGTTGGAATTCTATACGGAGCTATATAGTGTATTGTACAGTCTGCAGTGTGGTTGCAAGGCAGGTAAGCAAACCGTAGAAGGGAATGTCACTGTTTGTGATACTAGGGACTGTATATGGTTTGGTCCTTTATCCCAAACCCTTCACAAGATGTTATTTTTCGGGGCTTTGCGTGTTGCTAAGTTGCCCTGCTTGGCGTGAGACAATAAACCATGGATCCCGTCTGTCTGTTCAAGGGGACGTTAAAAGATCCCATGGCACTCTTCAAAAAAGAGAAGGGAGTTTTTCTCTCCTGGTGTCCTGGCCAACAATGCTCCCTTCAAAATTGGTCGCTCCCTTCAAGGCTGTGTGGAGAAATCGTTGTGCGCAAAATTGGCTGCTGCGTTCATCTACAAAACACATAGTTAGTCCACGTTCACAGTAAATCATGTGAAATGCTTTGAGGGATCTTCCCGATGTGAAAGGCGCTGGATAACTATTATAATTATTAAAGGCAAGGATGATTATTATTATCAAGGAACAAGATGTCTTGTATTAGGCATATTGCCTAGAACAGCAGGAGAGCTCTGCTCCAGAGTAATAATAATCTTTGCATTTGATTTAGACCTTATCGCGTCTTCGAGACGTCTCAAAGCGCTTCACAGAATATACTGTAAAGTAAATTGACTGTATGTTTTGTGGGCAAAACAAAAGAATAATCCCCTCGGATCTTTAACAAGTCTTACATCTGAACCAACGGAACAGAAAAAAAAGGGGCTTCAGTTTAACGTCTCACCCAAACTGTATAGAATTATTTATAGAGTTAAGGATTTAATTACTCTCCCACTGATGGGCTGATACAATACAAACATGTCACAGATATCAGGAAAACCATCTTTACTCTAAGAGTTAGTTATAAATGTTTGGAATAATCATTGTCCACCTGAGCCACTAATTCCCTTCACTCCCCCCGGCTGCCCTCGTCCATGCCTCCATCACTTGCTCGCTAATGACTCCAGTTCCTCTCTTCACAAGCTGTAGAGCATCCAGAACACTGCAGCTCGTGTCCTCTACCTCACCAGGCTCCTCGAGCCCCTCGTTCAGCTCTACTGGCTACACCCCATCCTTCTTATCCTCGAACTTCCAGCCATTCTGCCCCCACGCTCTGGAACTCCATCCCAGAGTCCCTCTGCCTTACCCTCGCACACCCTCCCTCACATCTTGTATCCAAACTGGACACAGAGAAGAAAATAAAATGCGAAAGGGAGTTTCTCTTTCCCAGTTTGTGAAGGAATCTTTGATCCTCTCCTGCATGTGGTGTGCGCATGTGTGTGTATGATTAGGTGTTACAGGATATCAAGGGTCCCCCTCATTCGATGGGAGCTGAGATTGCCATATTTTACATTCCTGACGAGGTTTGGATATGTTCAGAGACCAGTCTGAACCAGACACTCACCAAATACCTTTCCCCAGCTGTGGAGTTCTCTGGACCATATTTCTGTCAGTGCCCAGTATCTGTGGGTGCTATTCCACTGAGATGGCCTCTTTACATAGTACACACACATATATACATTTCGTGTCATTTTACGTGTATACAAATGGGTGCGTTTCGCCCACAAAATACACAGTCGCTCCAGTTCACGGTGAAGCGAATTGAGACGACATCCTGGTGTGAAAGTTCCTGTATAAAATGGCAGGGTTATTATTTTACTGTTTATGACAGGTGTCCTGGTTTCCTCTTGCTCTCTCTGTAATTGAATGTGATCCAACCCAAGATTTACCCTTTCCATGATGTGATATCTCGATAGTTGATCTGCAGGGTCAGGTTTTTCTCAGGGGAATGGATATGGGGGAACATTCCCCCTCCTTCCTCGGTAAATCTTAGCTCATTTGAGGAGCTGGATGAACGTAACCCTCACAGCAGTGTCCCCGGTTACAAACAGTACAGAGTTTTTGTTGATCAAATGTTCCACGCAGTTCGAGTCTTGTCGGGATCACGGGAATGCCATCAGTGGAATGTGTCTGGACAGCGCTCAATAACATAGATTGATAACCTGCTGTTTTTGCTCAATTACCCTTCGGGGTCTGGGATTTAGAGGCTTTTCAGTTTTACCTGTGTGTCGTCGTTCACCTCTCTTGGTAGATTAATGGCTTGGGGAGGGTTTGTGCGTGCGGGGTCTGAGTGATTAGCTGAACGTTCGTTTCACATTGTATACTTTACATTCCTGTATCCCAACATCAATTGGCTTGTCGGTTGCCAAGCTCAGGAATTGTCATCTTTTGAAGTTTGAGGACGAATTCTCATTATTTGTTCTATTTGTGCGTATTTTTATGAACGTGTACAAAAGAATGCCACAGTTCATCCTTCCCCAGAACACCCAGACTGTGGAGTTCTTTTGCAATCTTTCCTACAGTCTATAGGTTTTTAAAGCCACTTATTTCTTGATTTGCTCGCCTTCTCGCCGGTATGTTTCAGCCTTGCTGCGGTAGAGTATTGGAGATTTTGCCTTTCACTTAGTGTCTCATTTTAAACAATCAATTTCACACAGGGTACAAGTAGCAGGAATCGCCCACAAAACATACACTCAATTCACTTTACAGTATAATCCGTGAAGCGCTTTGAGTTGTCTCAATGAGGTGATAAAGCCCAAGGATTATTATTAAGATTTGCGTCACACCTTTAGGGCTGATTGTAATCTTTCGCCATCCATCATGTCCAACATGTCTTTGTAATGTATTCTCTGTGTAAGATTCTCTATCTTGAAAACAAATAATACATTTTACATTATTCGATGAAACAATAAAATCCCAAACTTCTCAAACAAAATGAGTTTATGCTAAATAAACTATATTTAGCATAAATAATCATTAAATATAGCACTTTCTTACGTCGTTCAGAAGTCTCAAAGTGCTTTGCAGAATATACTATAAAGTGAATTGACTGTAAATTTTGTGGGCAAAAAGCAGCAGCCAAATGTACACAGCAGTGTCCCACAAATGGCTGTGGATTGACCGAAAACATATATTTTTTGAAGTGATTACCCCCGGAAAGCGATCCACCAATTGACTAATAGCTGTGAATAACCTTAGTTTTCCTGTCTGGGATCGGTGTTTGTTTCCAAATGCAAACCCAGGACTTTGCTGTGGATGTGACTTTTCCCCCAGTCCCAATATTCAGCAAACATTTCATTCTTTGGTGCCAAAGGATTCATACGCATTGAACCCCTTCAACTGTGAGATCAAAGGCACTATTCCAGCACTAGCAACCAGCAGAAAAACGACTTCTTTTGTTATTGGGCTGTTTGATATTCGTGATATCATAGAGGAATAAAACAGTGTTCTCTCGCCAAATAGCCCGGTTATAAATAACTTGAGCAGTTCCACCTGTCCCTGGGGCAGGTATTAGAAAGCAGGTTGAAATGATGCCAGGAACGGACTCAAATTTCAGTCTTTAGAAAATGAACTTACAGAATGTTTTTGAGTCATGTTTGAGTTGACCTGCACCAGATAACTGTGAATATGCTCTTTCTGCTGTTGCTCTGATGCATCAGACGTAAAATTCATGACTGGTCCATCTCAAGGCCTTCCTTTTTGACCGCGCTTTTGGGCATCTTTCCCCTCACCCACCGCCCCCCCTCCCCACCCTTTTTCCTCCACCTTGGTTGACACATCCAGCCCTGGACTATCAAGAACCTTGGGTAACCTCCTGGTATGAAACGTTCAGTACAAATGTAAATTGGTTTGTATTTTGTATTGGGAAACATTGTCTTCATTTACAAATTGCCAAAGGGACTAAAGAACATCCATAGATGTGTGAAATCCTGAACTGATTGCCCTATCTTTAGCTACTCTGTCATTTTAAGCTTGTTATATATATATATATATTCAGTTAAATGTGTTTGGATCCATTTGTTCTCTTGAGAAGACTAGGGGTGGATCCTGCTTTACATCCTTGCAGGAGTTGTATTATAATAACCCACTGTGCCCTCACCCTGTTGATCCTTAGACATAAGAACCGCCAATAATAAGCTTTGCATCACCTCCATTCACTGAGAGCTGCTTTTGTGGCAGTGTTTTGCGCTGTTCACTCCTCCCCAGTGGAAAGACTGTGAGTGTCTGGAGGATTTAGCTGGGCTCTGACGCTCGCCATTGTCTGTGTCTGGGTTGACACATGAATAACGTGAGCAAGAAAAATGTCACCAGAGGGTGATGGTGCCCATGCAATAGTAACTGAGCACAAGTCTTGAGAGGGGAGGGAGTGGGTGGGTGGCGGGGGGAGGTCCACTTTCCATCAGATGATGAGTAAACTTGTGTAACGTGGTTTATACAACTCAAGGTCACAATTCGAACGATGATCGGCTTGTGAGTTGGAGCAAGTCGCCAATTGTGCCAAAATTTCAGTCTGGTCTTGTCCAAAAACCTTCAGCATCGGTGAACCAGCGAATCACTTCGAGCTGCTGTCCTTTCTCGGTATGAAATGTTCTGATGACTGTCTCGCCTTTTCCGTGCACAACCATAGATAGACAGCTGAGCCAACCTGCGGCTCAAACTGAACTAGTTTATCGCCACTGATTTTTTTTTAATGGATCGCTTTGTTGCGAACTGCGGTTAAAATAACAACCATCTGTAATAACGCTGGCGTACGTGTGTGGGAGGAGGCGGGGAGAGGGAATCAGAGTGAGAATTTCGGGGGGGTAGGGGGGGAATTTCTGGGTTTCTTTTTTCTTTTGCAAAATGAAAACTGGCTGAAATAATTCGCTCACAGAACGGGATTGTTCGCTCGCAGACAGCCTGAGCGCTGGCTGGCAGTTCAGCATGGTTTGGCTCGGAGCTCAGAGGAGAATAGGCTGTTGCATTCCAGTGGCTTAGCAACCGGCTCGGCTTTGCAGAAGGGGACTCTTCTGAGAGCGAGAGAATGAGCTTCTAAAGCCTGATTGTGTTCCCGCTCGCTGTTTTTTTTTTTTGGTGGAGGGGGGGTGGGGGGCGCGGAAAAATACCCTTTTTTTTTGTCCCAGAGTTTTTTTTTTACAAAGAGAAATCAAATTTAAAGCTTCCCTTCGACACACCAATTCCACTCCCTCCTCCTCCTCCTCCTCTCAAAGAGCCAGTTGAACTAGGATCCTTATTGCATGGGTTATCCGCTGAGCTAAAGCGACTCAGGTGAGTGCAAAAGTGATCCAGGATTATCTTTTTTCTCCCAGTTCCCCCCCCCACCCACCACCACCACAAAAATCTTTTCAACTGTGACCTTCCTTTCTCCCTTCCTCTGTTTCGTTCACTCGCTTTTATTTTCTATAAGTTCAGCATCAAAGCTTATTTTTTTTCTGCCTCTCACATCCACCTTTGGGTTTCTTTTCCCATCGTCTTTATTCGCAATAATTTGCTTTTCCTTTCCAGCTGCCTGTAATGTTTGTGCTGTGCCCTTGACCCATTTTAACTTTCCTTCTGTTTCCCCCCCCCCCCACCCCACCACCCCCACCAAAGATGTATGACAGACAGCCTGCAAGCCTCGCACCCTATGTCTTTTTATGTGTGGCTTCGAGTAGTAAACCCTGCCAGTTAATCATGTTCCTATTCAGCTCTTCACAATACTTGGCTGCTGTTGTACCTGCTGGTAGTTTACCTAAGTGCGCTGAATACTCTGCTCTTTGATGCACAATGTGAAGAATGATCTTTGATCTGCCCCCTTTTTCTCTCTCTCTCGTTGCGAGAAACCTTTGTCCAGAACCTGTGGATTTCCACCTCCGACTGACTTTCTTTTCCAGAAGCCGAATTTAATCAGCGCAACTTTCAAGCCCTGTTCAAAGCGGTGAGAAAATAAGATTACTGTCCTGACTTTGTATTGCTTCGTCTATTCAGATTGTGCGATGGATTTTGTCCAGTGTTTTTTTTTTAACACGACTAGGCACCAGTGCTTAAAGGAACTGTGTCTTCATTGAAGTCAGGGTCATTGCTGCGTATTTTTTGTTTCGGTTAACTTCACTGTAGGTGGACACTTGATCTCTCATTTCCCCCCCCCTCTCTTTCTCCCCCCCCCCCCCCACCCCCAAATTTGCCAAGCACTGTCCATCTTAATAAATACTGTGCCCTTTAAAATTAAACCTTTCTCTGTCCAGCTTGATTCACTCAAGCTTGTCAAATGCTGTCAGTGGCAGAAAGAATCTCTCCTGTGATCTGAAATATTAACCAGGTTCTTCCCTAGAAAAGTATTTTGGAATAAAATACAGTGTGCAGATTTTTACGCCTCTTTCTGACTTGTACCCCTCTCCTAGAGGAGCCTGACTTGTGCTGGGGTGTGTTTGCACTGGCACTCAAGCATCTATAAATAATAATAATCCTTGCTTTTGATATAGGGCCTTATCACGTCTTAGAGAAGAAAAGCGATCCGCCAATCGACTAACAACCGGGTTCTAACTTACTGCTCGGTCAACAGAGGCGCGTGGAGTAAAGAAAGTTGAACCCAGGTCCTCTCGCTTGCGAGGCGAGTGCTCTAACCTCTACGCTACGGGACTCCACTGAACCATTGAGTACAGTGTTGAGAGGAGTGACCGCTCCTCATCCACACAAGGGGCTAACGTCACGTGGAACATGCGTTTAACCTGGTTTATTTCAAACTTTTCAAAACAGATCCCACCTGCCATGGGAGGTAATCCTTGGTGCTCACTCATAGCCAACTTGGTCAAGTGCACTATTTGACCCCAGTGCTAACGGGTCGTGAGTTTGTGCACCCAACACGCTACGTGGTTTAGCTACAGATTTTAAGACGTTGCTATGGAGCTGTTTAAGCAGGCAGCTTGGTGTGAAAAGCCATCAGTCATCAAACCTCTCTCACACAAACGTGTCTCGTTCATTCAAAAATACACAACTCTATTTTAGTGCAGAAACCTTGGAAGAAAAATGTGCGTTGTTGCGTGCATTCCATTCTGGCCAGCTGTGCCAAGTAGCTGAAATGGTTTAATTTGTAACTTTTAACAATAAAAGTCTCTTGGCTCCTGTTCCTTGGGGATTGCGTTACTTGTTCTGAGACTTTTCACTGCCGAGGAACAGATTGGAGGATGTTTATTGGGGGGAGACGCTGGTTTTACAGAGTTTCTTGATGATATTCAATGAACTTTCGTCCAGTGTTTTGGTGTGAAAGACCATTCAATTAACACAAAGCAATAAATCGGTCAAAGGCCACAGGTAGAGAACGGCAGGTTTTTACCATCTCAGTCTATTTGAGTGGACAAATCCTTTCCAGCAACCGAACATTGCCACCCTTAGTGCATCTATTGTACTAGTTAAACAAAGACAAATTTAAGTTCTTGTTCAAGCATGAGTGTGTTGTGCAGACTGGTTGTGTATGTGGATTAATAACTAAACCAGACTGAGAGCTTCACATATGTATTGTACCTACGTTTCCCTCTGTCTGGATTGGAGCACACACTCTCTACCCCAGACAGAATACTAGACAGTATTAGGCTTGGGTTGGCAAGAGATCTGGGCGGGGGTGTAGTCTTGATGGAGATTAACTTGAGACAGAAACTGTGTGAGAGTTATCACTTTGTCTGGACCTGTAGCTGTGTCTTGCCTTGTTTTATCACTTGCATTAATGGTCATTCAGGTAACATTTCTTCAGAGGAATGAAAGTTTGCTTGCATTTTGAAAGCCTCACAGGTATTAAAGTACAATACAGTAAATGTTAATGACTGACTGGTACTGTTCAATGTCTCCATGTCTCTCAGATACTCTTCAATGTCCGTACCTTGTGTTAGCTGCAATAAAACAGAAACTTTGTCCCAGCTGTGATTTATTGCCCGTCTCCTGTTCCTCTTCTCTGAGAAAGAGAGAGAGAAATGAAAGATAGATATTTCACATAGGATAGCATCTCTGAGTGCTGTACTGAGATGGGCTTAGATGCTGAGGAAGGGGGAGATAGTTTTAAGCGTGATTGAAGAGATATGTCTTCAGGTGGGATTTGAAGGTAGAGAGAGTGAGGAGGAATTGAGGCAAGGAGTTCCAGAGAGAAGGAAACTAGTAGCTGAAGGCATGTCCATGGATGATGGTGTGTGTGTAAATCTGTCTTAGGGAAATGAAATGCGTAATGTGTTCATGATGAAGCATCGTGCTGGGTCAGAACCAACCACGTTACGGCTGAAAACTCTCCCTGAAAGTAACTGAGGTAAAACTCCCGAACATCTGTTTATGTTTCTGATTTTGCTTTATTGGGTTTTGATCTTCTGCCGGCCACAAATGATGGTATACGTGCATGGTTTCAACAGGACAAAGAACACAATGTGTGTGTGTGTGAGATTTGTATCATTTCGTGGCATTTGCTTGTGTTCTTACCTGGCTCTGACCCAGGTGAGTTCCGAGGCAGTCTGTGTAACCCTCATGGTCACTGTTTGCTCTTGCAGTCGCTGATCGTGCTTTGGAGCGGAGCCATTGCCCTGCGGCAGGAATGAAAGTCCTGACTGTTCTTTTGATGTTCGGTAAGTTCCCTCTCACACCGTTGACCTCTCTGTTAATTCCATTTGTATGCTTATCAAATGCAGGGATTATTATTATTATTTATTATTAGGACCAGTGATAATAATAATCCTTGGATTTAACATAGGGTCTTATCACGTCTTCAAGACGTCTCAAAGTGCTTCACAGAATATACTGCAAAGTGAATTGACTGTACGTTTTGTGGGCGAAATGCCCAGAATGGTACCCACTTATTGCCAGGGTCTGCAAGCAACACAAAGGTGGGATCTTCCTGTTCTGTGTGAGTCAGTCACTCGCTGGATAAATCATTGAGTGAGACCCCTCTACGCTTTTTAATATCAGACACGCTGAACCCTAGCCTAACTCTTAACAGATCTGTCAAGTTGCCATTGTGACCCAGGAGCTGGGGAAATCTGTCTGGGGTCACTACCCTATTCAAGTGTTGTCAATGAAAATGCAAGCGTCAAGGAAACCAAAGGCACACAATGGGAAGTGCTACTTGTGGACTGAGTGAGTGATGTTTCGTTCAGAGGCGTTCAATGAAAAGCCGTTTTGTTGCCTAGTAACTTGACTAGCGGTAGGGTACAACTAACAGAAAGCACCGCAAAAATAATAATAATATTGTGTACTCTGCCTAATGGCTAGGAATTTGTACAAAAAGGTTTTCACGGCTTTCACAAGGCAAGACTTCACTCGGAATCAAGGATCTCGCAGCACAGAAGGAAGCTATTCAGCCCATCGTTCCTGTGTTGGCTCTCCAAAAGAGCCATCCATTTCGCCCCACACCCTATTGTATTTTCCTTTGCCTATTTCCCTGTTAAGAGCTATTATAGATTTAGTATTTTTTTTAAAAAATCCCCAAATCTCACCCACAGTTGTTTTTTTGCTAATGATTTTGTATTTTATGACCTTTACTTACTGACTCACCAACCAGGAGAAATTTGATCCAGTCAATCTCCCCATTCACGGTATCAAAACCCTCCTCATTCTGAACACGAAACTTGGTGCAGTTAGAGACGTTACAAAAAGAAGCAGCTATCGGAGAAACTAACATTCTGACTCAGAGGTTAGAGTGCTACCAATTGAACCAAACCGATACCTTTGGAATATTTAGGTATAGGTGCAGACTGAGATGGACAAAAATACCTGGGACATCGCGGTTTCTCTGTTGATTGGAACCTGGAGAGAATGTGTGTTGCGGGAAGGAGGTCAGGGTTGAATCGTAGGAGAGGGGGAAGGAAAAGTAGCTGAAGCTTTCACTTGACTGATTTGGGGAGAACTTTTCCCAAGGAAACAGAGTAGATAAGGTGAATTTTACTTGAGTGTGTGGAAGCAGCAAGTTTCAATAGGCTAAATGTTCCTTTGTCATTCCACACTTACTTCTTTTTCTTCCCAGTCAATCTGGGATAGCTTCCCGTCCTGGGAAGGGGCCGCAGGTAAAAGTGGAGTAACTCTGGTCAATGTAATTATGTATTATAGTTCAGTGCCTCTTTCCGCAGGTTTCCCAGATGAATGAGTTCCAGGTAGGGCTGGGCTTCCTGGAATAAGTAATGGTGGAATGCCCTTATCTCTTAGGATAACCCTAAACCGCATATGTTTCTGCGTCTTCCTCTATTGAAGGTGTGGCAGACTTTTATTGGCAACCTTTTCGGCACGGAGTTACGGTGGAGTTTTCTAGCTATCCAAAGCTGAGCCCAGTTTGGAACACACACTGAATCCTCTGTCCAACATAGCCTTGAACCTGAATGTCTGTCTGTGCCTGTTTGACTTTGAAACTTCAGGCAAGTTTCCTCACTCCACGCCTCTATTTACCCAGCAGTAGTAGGAACCTGATTGATAGTCAATTGGCGGATTGCTTTCCGGGGGCATAATCTCTTTCATCTAATAATAATAATAATTTGGTCATTTAATCCACGATAGTTTGTGGGCCGCTGTGCGCAATTGGACAATCCTCTCCATGTTATTGTGACTTCCTTAATGAAAGTTAGCCCCAGTGTAAAACAGTGATAAGGAGACATCTCTGTGCAGAGAGCAACATGTTCAGCAAAACAGCATCTAACGTACAGAACAATGAATCCGTGCCTTTATAAAGATCAATCGTAAGGAAGAATTTCCATCAGCAGAGCCTCATTAACTGATGTGCTGCATCCAGAACCTCTTTGAGCTTCAGCGCAAACATCACCTCTGATAATTAAGCTGTCAGTGATAGCTTGTCTCCTCATGTAAGTGCAGCGACCTTCCCTCGAGCGTCCAATTGACTGGGATACCTCCTGCTGGTAATAAATAGAGAACAGCCAGGAAAAGCATGTTCCGAGAATGTCAGTCTCAAAACAATCTTCCTTGAAAGGATTAGTTGGGAGTCTTATGATGTACGATTATGTGAGTGGATTGATCTGGATTTCTGGTGTAAGTTTAGCAAGTGCTTGAACGTGCACTTTGCACTGATTTTCTGCAGGCAGTACCACCCTATTGCAGTTTAATCATCAGTTAATCATTGAGTCGTCTGTAACACTGATCTCATTGTGGGTGTGCATTGTCACTATTTGTCACTAACAAATAAATCCCTCGCAATCCATGACCTCACCGTCGAGGAAAACATTGACATCCTCGCCCTCACTGAAACCTGGGTCACCCCAGACCACACCTCCAGGTTACACCTTTCACCAAACCCCACGGCCTAATGGCCGTGGCGGTGGTGTGGCTCTCATCCCCCGGTCCCCTCTCGGCCTTTCCCCTTACTCCTCTGAAACCTTCCCCTCCTTTGAACACCTTACCCTCTACCACCCTTCCAGGCTCTCCCTCAAAATCCTCCTTGTTACCGTCCCCTCCCAGGCCCTCCCCTGCCTTCCTCTCGGACATCTCCACCCTCCTATCTTCCCTCTCCTCTTAACGCCTCCTCATCTTAGGTGACTTCAACCACTTCACCCCCTCCTGCTCTACCTCTGCCGCCTTCTCCTCCCTCAAGGTGGCCACTCCCTTGACCTGGTGATCACCCGGAGCCTCACCGTCTCGGACATCACCATCATTGACAAAGCCATTTCGGACTTAATCTCCCTCAATACTTCCGTACCCCTTCCCTTTCTCAACCCTCTACCATCACATGCCGTCTGTAAAGAAAACAAATTCCTCCCTCTCCACTGCCCTGGAGTCATCTGAACTCCTACACCTCTGGCCCTCCCTGACCGATCTCCCCTCCTCACTCTTTTCTCCACAACTCCCTCTCCTCTATTCTGGACTCCCTTGCCCCCCCTCACCTCCCGAACTGCCTCATACTCCCGTAAATCCCCGGTACACCAGCCGTCTCCGTTCCCTCAACGCACAAGTGCGAGCTGCCGAACGTGCTTGGACCAAATCTAAACTAATGGGCGGCAGATTTGGCTCCATCATACCAAGACCTACCCCTGCGCTCTTGCCTCCGCCAAATTCTCCTTCTACTCCAAGGTTATCTTGGAGGCAAAGGACAACCCCAGGCTTCTCTTTTCCACTCAATTTTTTTTCAACATGCCCGCAACCTTAGGAAACTCTGTCATAACTCGGTCAGCTTCCTGCCCTACAAAAATGGCTGAGTTTCAGGTCACTGCTGACCTCTCTTCCTGTGCGGAAAGTACCATACCATCAGTTCTTTGCGGCTTCGCATGGTGGACAGTGATGTCAGTAATGACCCAGACATTAGCTGGCTTTTTTTGTTTGCCTGTAAGGTAGACGAAGGTTAACCTTTTTGCCCACAAAACACATAGTCACTACACTTTACAGTATATTCTGTGAAGCGCTTTCATACGTCTTGAAGACATGACAAGGCACTGTATCAAATGCAAGGATTATTATTATAACTTGGATCTGTTACTGTAAATTATTATAACCTAGAGCTAAACTGCTGTTACTGAAATTGCTGACTCAACTTCGGAGTTTCTTCGTTTGAACACAATAAGTTAATGATTAGAACTAAATGTTTTTATAAAAGAGGAACGAAGTAAGTCTCGGAATCCAAGGTGAGCGTGTGTTATGGTATGTACTGTGTGTGCATTAGAGTAGCACTAATGGGAATGTTTGGAATAGTCAGGATGCTTTGACAATATGTTCAACGCCCCTGAATTCTTCAAAAGAATCTCAATTTGAAAGCTGGGCGTGTCTTACGGTCTGGGGGAGACCGGCTAAATGCAGCGGCTCAGTGATACAGACCCAGATACAGGTATCTGTTCGTCTCTCACCAACTTCACGTTCAATCAGTTGGGCCTGAAAGGAGACGAGAAATTCCACCTTACAAAGTACCCCTTCGACCATGCCTATGGTCACCTATCTCTCCCTCCCCACTTCTCTATTGGTTCGGGTCTCCAATCATTAAGAAGTTCTCCGCAATGTTATGTTAGGTGTTTCAAGCCTGAATCAGGCCTAGAGGTCCCTATCCTACAAGCATGTGGCTATCTTGAGGGCAATGTACCGGATAGCAAAAAGATTGCACAACTTGTCCCTGTGTTTTGTTTGTGCGTAAAAGCTCATTGAACGTAACGACTGTGCTTCGCAAATTCGTGTTTGCATAAGTTGTGTCTGTATAAATGCCGCAACGACCGATGTAACTTGCCGTATAACTCATCAGCTTCCAATTTAGCTGGAATACCGAGGGCCAGATAGAGGCTGGTATTTGACAAGCCTATCACTTGAACCTGCTCCAAGGAGATCAGGTGGCGTCTGGGTCCTTGGCCCAGAATTTCTCTCCCTCTCCCACCACCCCGAGTCCCTTCATTGTAAAATGTTTGGAGACATTATCCTTGCATCTGATACAGTGCCTCACACATCTTTGAGACCTCTCAAAGCGCTTTACAGAACATATACTGCAAAGTGAATTGACTGTATTGAAGTGACCAATTTATTATTTCTTTAAGGATTTAATATCCTAGTGAAGGGTTTGTATAAATGCAAGTTACAGCACAGAAGTAGTCCATCATGCACGTACTGGCTCCCTGAAGGAGACAATCTAGGGAGTCCTGTAGCTCAGTGGTTAGAGCACTCGCCTCGCAATCAAGAGACCTGGGTTTGATTCCTGGCAGGGCGAAAGTTTCCTTACCCCACACATCTGATAATAATCCCTCAAGAAAACAAAAACAATAATAAAATTGGTCACTTCAATCCACGACTGTTTGTGGGGACGCTGCTGTGCGCAATTGGCTGCCAATTGGTGTTTCGCCCACAAATATACAGTCAATTCACTTTACAGTATATTCTGTGAAACACTTTGAGACGTCTCGAAGACCTGAAAAGCACTATAGCAAATGCAAGGCTTATTATATTTTTATTTATATATCTAGTTCAACCCATTCTCCTGCCTTCTACCCACATCTCTTTATATTTCTCCAATTCAGATAATGATCTAAGTCCCCCTTAAAAACAATAGAAATTCTGTGTCCTAACAACTATAGATTAAAATAAATCTCCTAACATTTCCCTTTGCTCTTCTGGATTTACCTTAAACCTTTGCCCTCTTGTTACTGACTCACTATCGAGTGCACATGTTGAGTCTATTTCAGTCCAGGTATTGCACCATACCTGGAGTCTTGCAGCTCAGTGGTTAGAGCACTCGCCTCACAAGTGAGAGACCTGGGTTCGATTCCCAGCAGGGTGAAACCTTGGGCAACTTTCCTTACTCCACTCTCGCCTGATAATAATCCCTCAAGAAAAAAATAATAAATTAGTCATTTCAATCCACGACTGTTTGTAGGACACTGCTGTGCGCAATTGGCTGCCACATTTCGCCCACAAATATGCAGTCTATTCACTTTGCAGTATATTCTGTGAAGCGCTTTGAGACGTCTAGAAGACGTGAAAAGCGCTCTACCAAATGCAAGAATTATTATTCTTATTGTGTCAGCTGTACTGGGACAATGTCAGTATACTGCAGTTCTGACAGAATTATTCCTTCATGTTTTATTTGCTTTTCGTCAAACTTGGAAAACTTCTCAATGGATTCCACGAGGAAAGGAGATATAGGAGTGGGTGTTAAACTACAGGTGGAATTAACTGTAGGAGCTACAGCTGATTGCCAAAACTGTTGGTCGGTTGTGAATTTCTCCATTGAAAATCTAATATTAATCTACGACACTGGGCATTTAACACACAGTTTGATCCTGAGATGGGAAGATAGATATTCTGAAATGATGGGATCATATAGTCTGAAGACCCCTCTACATTGAAGTCTCCTGTGTCAAGTGGTAATCTCTGTGCTGATTTAGAAGGACACGTTTTAAGGTTGTCTCAATGCTTCAGCTGGTAAAGGCACTCCTCGCTCTTCTGCTGATTATACAGACAAACCAGGAAAGTCCCGAGTTCAATCTCTGTCTGTGCAGCCAGTTGATCTCAATTGGGATGGGTGTGTAATTGGTCTCAGTCGCCCCTTGACTCAGAGAGAGAAGCAGGAAAATCAGCCAGGAACCAATATTGAGGGGGCTACCAACTGAGCCCAGTTAACACAAAACCTGAGTATAGGACAGAGGCTGCGATGCCAGTCGTACATGGTCTGCTGATGATCCTCGTCTCGACTCCCGTGCGGCGAAAGGCCACTAGGATATTGAACGCCACTTATGGAACCTTATGGCAGCATCAGCCCGTGTCTTCAGGGGGCGAGAGAGAGAGAGAGAGAGGAGGAAATTAAATGTATCGTTGATTTGGGGAGGCAGAGGCAAGACAGTTGAGAAAATACATTTTTTGGGATCACACGCCGACTGCTTGCTTCACATGAGAGGCTGCATTGAGCAAAGAATATTAATTAAAATGATTACAATAACAAATACTCCTGTGTGGTCAGCTCTGGTTCAATAATTGTGGCAATGGCTCTTTCCCAGCAGCTCTGTTCTCCCCTTTCCCCTCCCACCACATACATCTCCCACTGCTCACGGCTATAACAGTCGAGACAACTTATTCATCTGAGTTTCTGCTCTCAGGTAGGTTTCGGTTGGGATCTGTGCCTAATTTACCATTGTTTCCAAGCCCAAAGGGGTACGAAATAAATTGAGGAGCTACAAAAGTCAAGGGTTGGCAATTAGTTAAATCAGCTTCATATTAGGATGTCGTCTCATAACAAATTTCCTTCAACGTAAAATAAATGTTTTCAAAATGACCATAAATATACAATGATAATAATAATAATAATCCTTGCCTTTGATATAGCACCTTATCACGACTTTGAGACATCTCAAAGCCCTTCACAGAAGATACTGTAAAGTGAATTGACTATGTTTTGTGGGTAATTCGGTGCATCCCACAAGAACACAGTTTAGTTTCTATCAGTTCCACATTGTAGGAGTCGAGGAACTTCAGCCACAAAACTGATAAGGCCATTACAGCTGCCTAAATCAATTGTCTGACTGAATTTTCAGTAGTTCAGCTAATGTTGTCCTTGAGAAAGAAAGGAATTGATAGTTAAAATATGCGTTAGGAAATTTATTGAAACTTTTCAAGAAAGTTGCCAAGTTGAGAATATGGTCCCCACACAACGCCAGCCCCAGCCTCGACTCACGTAATAAATATAATAATGTAGAGTCTTAGGACGTCTTTCTAAATCCCTTACCTTTTCTTTCCCGACAGTGACAAGTGGCTTTGCCCAGGAGCAGCCATCTTTGCCACATGGATGTACAGAGGGAAGCTGTTACCCAGCAACGGGGAACCTCCTGATCGGTCGAGCTCCAAATTTGACCGCCACGTCAACATGCGGCCTCCAGAGACCCACCGATTACTGTATAGTCAGCCATCTCCAAGTAAGTCTGTGGCCACTCCTGGCACCTTCTCATCGCTGCGGTCAACCCTGGTATCTTCTCAACTTGCCATCCGGGAGACAAAAAAAAATCGTTAACATCGTTAATGCCTCTAGTTATTGAGTTTTCAATCCACGACTGTTTGTGGGATGCTGCTGTGCACAATTGGCTGCCGCGTTTCACCCAGAAGATGTGCAGTCTTTACAGCATATCTAACGAAGCGCTTTGAGACGTCTCAAAGACGTGATAAGGCGCTGTATCAAATTCAAGGATTATTATTATTTCTTCATTCAATTTTGCTTCAAACACTTTTTCTTTAATAACATTTTCTTTCATACCTGCATCTCTTGAGAGTATCATCAACATCTCTAACTTTTTTTTGAGAAAGCTTTGATAGCTCCTTCTTATTCCTTCATCTGCAAACATTCTTGTCCACACTATCTCCGCCAATCTCAGTTGGAATGCTCACATCTTCATCGCTAAAGGAATCTCTAAGAGGCACTCAATTTAGTCTCTCATGGAAAATGTACCTTTCCACTAAAAATTCTTAACTCTGTAAAACCCAACTCCTTCCGAGACTGACACATCAATCTAACTTTATTTCTCTCTACATATTTTTCTCACTCGAAACTGTAGTACGTCTCAATACAGTACTACAATAGCTAGTGTCCTCGTCCCTGTCTTTTGCTGAGTGATCCCAAGCTTTGATTTGTGTGCATGAATTTTTCCTCAGAAGAGACGATCATCTGAGAATTTGTGGGGTTTGAAGCTGTACAGTCGTGTGTAGTCTAGTTCAGGTACCAGCATTACCATCAGTTCAAGCACAGACTGAACAAACAAGAGCTTCTTATCAGTTGGAAGCAGATTGTTCTGATGCCTCAGAGATGCAGGAATATTGTTTTGTTTAACTACGATGAGATGTCACATTAGAGTAATGTGTCTGGTGACCTGCCTTCAGCATGGTTGGAAGGACCTTTGGGTTCTGAACGTCTACCAGTGACTGCTTTATAACTTAGAGCCTGTTTGTTTCTTCTTGCCTGTGATAACTCTGTCATTTCACTTCTACTTGCGTTGCTGTTGACTGCCTTATGTCAGCTTCACTGAACTCACCTCTTTTCCTCACCCCCCACATCAGCAGCCCCCTCCTCACTTTACTTGTGACATCCCACTTGGCTCACTTCACCTTTGCTGCTGATAGGAAACCAAACCAAACGAGACCTTGTGGAAGTGATGTGCTCACACCAATGCTAGATGTGGTGGCTGCTTCATAAGGTGCCTTGGGCACAGACACACCAAACCTCTCAGCTTGGCAAAAGGATAAAAAGGGTCTCACCAAACTCAATCTGACTCTACTCGATCTCTGAGGATTCATCAAGGCACAGAGAGAATCGCGCTGTGCAAAGATGAATCACAAGTCACTGTCTGAGTGAGGGCATCAGTGTGTGAGTGCGTAGTGTAACTAATTCAAAAGATCTGATTTACTGTCGTTGGCGATGCACTGTGTGACTAATACATTGCAGGAGCTGCAGGTCTAAAGGTCTGTCTTCCACGTGCAGTAAGTTATACCACTATTGTTGGAAATCACTAACCAGGGTGGGGAGAGGAGAGACAGGTTAGACATTAATATTTCCTTGCAGTTTTAACATGTCAAAGGAATTTTTTTTATATAAAAGTGTTTTGTGGTTGAGACATTATCCTGCGTGAAAGGGGGCTTTAGTTTTATTTAACAAGTTGTTGTTGTTTTTCTCTTCCTGAGAAGATTTGCCTCCTATTCTTTTTCGATGTGTTATTGTTCAACTGTCACCCTAGGGACTGAAACTTATAATGATAATCCTTGCATTTGGCAGACCGCCTTACCACCTTCTCGTGATGTCTCAGAGCATTTCACAGGGCTTTACTATGAAGTGAACTGACTATATTTGTAGGCAAATGTGGCAGACAATTTGCTCTTAGCAAAAGTCCCACAAACAGCCATTAAGTGAGTGACCAATTTTTCAGTTGGGGATTGTTGGCCGGGACTTGGGGGGAAAAAAACTTTGTCCTGTTGATTTGACAGTGAATGCCAGCGGCGTATTCTACTACAGGCGACATGAAAATATACCTCCTCTAACTCTTTCCCTCTCTCTATCTCTCGCCTTTCTCTGAACCTGTTGTGTGTTGGTGAAGTCCCAATTAAGATATCGAATAGATTTCGATTTGGGCTGTACACCCGGCGCGAAAGGCGCTACACAAATGTATTGCGTTGCTGTTTCATTTTGCTCTCTTCCCTTTGTGTTTCCAGTCCTCTGCTCCACATACCTCATTGTTTCAGAAATTGTTGCTCTTATTCTTGGTGTTAAAACATAGCAAACAATCTCTTAAGACGCACTCCCCCTCTCTCCCAGATAAACATAGCAAAGAACTGCGGCATCTACATCTAACCCCGCATCCATCATTACTCATCCTTGACCTTCACTGACTCATCTCCCAGCTCCCTGCAGCTTGGCAACCATACTGCCCGACACAGTTGTCTCTATGATAATCATTAGAATCCTCTGCTGATGTTCCTCACTAGAGACTCGTCTGACTCCTTTGATTAAAGGTGTTGTTGATGGGCACAGCACCAATAACCAACCTACCGAGGGCAAACATAATAAAAGTCAAGGATTTGGCATTGGTATATATTGGCCAGATTCAATGAACGCATTGATTTCTGAGAAATTGCAACAGATCTTTTGATTCTCATAGCTCTTCCCTGTCCTTCTCCCATATGCTCACTCCCAGTGTTGGGAGAATGCCAGGCGTCCTACGGAGATTGAATGTGAAAGCTTCGGCCCATTCTCTCGCATTTATTTTCCTCTCCGCGGCCTAAGCAGACAGCACACTCCGTTCGTGAGGTTGGGCAAGTTGTGACGACAGTCGTAAGCGGCACCTTATAGGAATAGCGCAGACGGAATTTAGCATTGAACAGAGGAGTTCTGTCCGATCAGTTTTCAAGTAGCAAACTGCTTCACCAGAGGGTGGATTACCAATTGTTGTTTGGACTCAAGGTTGTTCCGAACTTGACTCTTTTCCAAGTTCTTTTACACGGGGATACTTCATGTGAGGTTGCTATAGCAAAGCACATCACGTGACACGCCAGTTTGACATTCCCCTCATTCCTTTCCTCTAATCTCCTCTTCCAGCGAGTGTAGCTCAGGGTGTACCTGAGCCAAGCTCTCATTGTGATCCGCAGCTGATAACACCTGTACTCTTGCTGAACACGGATTATTAAAGTGGAATTTACAGTCAGTCTGTGGGAGATCAACCTACAAGTTTCTAATGTGTCAGCCGGGTGTTCAAGCATTGGGTGTGTTTGGTCGTCAAAGGCAAGTCTGATCCTGGCCTTGACAAAATTCTACGGTCTTTACAGCGGGGGGGGGGGGTTTGCTCCAGACCTAACTCATGCTGTACTTTCGCCCACAGTCAAATCACTTTACGGTATATTCTGCGAAGCGCTTTGAGACGTCTCGAAGACGTGATAAGGCGCTATGTCAAATGCAAGGATTATTATTATTACTTGACTTGGAAGAGGTTGAGGGTAGCACTGGCAATGGAAACGTATCCCGTGCCATAGGAACATTGCAACAGGAGTCGGCCATTCAACCACTCAAGCCTCTTCTGCCATTCTAGAAGATCATGGTTGATCTCCTTGCCTTAACTCCAAGTTACCCGCCTTTTTCCCCCATATCCTTCGATACCCTTACCTAACAAAATTCTAGCCACCTCGGTCTTGAAAATGTGAATGGATCCAGCATCTTTTGGGGGAAAGAGTTCCAGATTGCAAACCGTCACCTCAAATATTAGTATCAGTAGTCGTTACTTTGCAGTGCCTTCAATCGAACGTTTCCAAGAAGCTGAGGTGCGTTTCCTCCGAGTAGATTAGGCACAGGGCAGCGAGACACCCCCAAAGTCTTTTCTTTCCTCACAACGAATTTCAGGACTTAGGAGGGGGCCCACATCATAATCCTCTGGGCCATTCGTTTGCATGTTCATTTCAATGAATGCAGTTCAACATAAAAGGTGCTTTACAGATATTCATCCATTCATGTTAGAACAGGTCTCAGCGTTAACAATCAAATCTGGAATTTGGCCATAATCTTCATCACCAAAGATTGGTACGTGTGTGTGTGTGTGTATATACATATATATATACATAAAAAAATCTATTTCCTGAACCTCTGTAAAATCTCTCTCACTCACTTATCTTTTAAATACCTGCCTGCTCGTTAAGCACACTGGTAGACATAGCAGCAATGTAACCTTGGGTCCTCTGGGTGCAATCTGCTATCTTCTTGCCCACTCTAATAAATCCTCACATCGTACTTCATCACAGCCTCAAGTCGCACCGCTCTTTGTCATGACATGTCGAGCATTTTTTTCTTATCTCCTGGGTGTACATTTCAAAAAAGCCTGAAGATGAATGCAACCCAGTAATTTAGTGATCGCGAGCCATATAATACAGCTCACTTAGATCCACGGCCTAGTACTTTGCTACAGTGCGGTAATGTGCTGGTGATTTCCGATAGCAACCTCGCATGCCAAAGGCACTGCCTCGGTGCACCATTAAGTCAGACAGATCAGAGATTCAAGACTTGTGTGTACGGTGGGTGATCTCAACCTGCTGGCTTTACCATGGGCCACCTAGACTAGTGAAGATAAAATCAGTCAGTATTCCCACTGCTGATACTTATCCAGAGACTATGTTTTTGAAACATTGCTCTCTGCTGAAGCACAGTGTCGGTGTTAGGATCGCACATAAATAATACCATTTGGGCAAGGGTTTTATTGAAGGGCACATAACACCCAAAGAACTGGATCATTCGGTGACTGTTAATGTTTGGTCTCCTCTCAAAGCGATTTCTCTTCTTTCTTGCAGGGGGATAAGAAGTGCTTTCAGTGTAATTCGTTGAGGCCTTCTGACCCCAACAGTCACCGAGTGGAGAATGTGGTCTATCTGACAGACCAGACTGGACAAAGGACATGGTGGCAGTCTGAAAACGGTGAGTGCTATATATCACGTTGTCCTTGAGTGTAATCAGCCACGTCCCTGCACCTGCTTTAAAGTGCCCCAACAGTGATGACAGCACAATCATTACCTGTCTCACCAGACGATGCTTGAGCTAATGTTACCTCCTGTTGTTGTGAATCACCATCTGGCTCTGTTTTTCCCCCACTGTACCACAGGCGAGGAAAGAGTCAGCATCCAGCTAAATTTGGAAGCAGAGTTCCACTTCACACACCTCATCATGAAGTTCAAGGTGAGATGGGGGAGAACTATGATTGCATCAAGACCTGGGAAATTTCTAAAGAAACTATAATACTAATAATAATCCTTCTCATGTCTTTGAGACATCTCAAAGCGCTTCAGTTTCTTTATGCTCTTTACAGCCTGAGAACCAGTACTTGGAGCAATAAAATATTTACACTATTCCCTTTGTCTGCTGACAAAGCTCCCTTTGTCTGCTTTATCTGCTAACTCGCTACCAACTTGCCCGCTCCCTCCGTTCATCGGGCTCCGGCCTGCTCCATGTCTCCTGCCCGACCCGCCCTACCATCAGCATCTCTGCCCCCACACACTGGAACTCCATCCCCCGTCCCTTCGCCTCGTTTCCTCTCTTGCCTCCTTCAAGGTCGGTCTCTTCGATCGTGCCTCTGGTCGCCCTCCCACCTCTCTGCCTTCCCTCACCCCTACACCACCCATCCCTCATGCTCGCGCCCCGACATCTGACTGTTTTGGGACGTCTTCCCAACGCGAAAGGCGCTCTATAAATGTAATGTTGTTGCTTGTCCTGGAAGAGGCTTGAATGGTAGCGGAATGGCTTCCACCTCTCATTGTCACCCTCTTCTTCCTGACACCTTTCTTGTTGACCCATGTCTATTCTGCTGCTGTAAAAAATCTCGGTGATCAATAGACAAAGCAACAGCATCTGAATTAAAGTCATTTGATACTGTTTCTATCTCTCTCTCTCTCTCTCTCTCTCTCTCGCTCGCTCGTCAAACCTCACAATTATCATTACTCAACAAGTCAACGTACAAGGCTTTTTTTTGAAACAGGAGCGGAGACTGCTCCCATTCTCTGTAGATGCCTTAAAAATGACTACTCATGTAAGCGGATATTTGACAAAACCGCAAGGTCTTTAATACAAGGTTCGTTGGAAACATGTTGACGAGATTTATTTTGACAGATTGGAATTACACCCTGTGGTCATAGCCAAGCAAGTGGGGGTGGGGGGGGGGGCACTGCTTCTGGGAGAGTTTCAAACATCAGACAATAATTTCGCCCTTTTTTTTTCTTTCTGAAAGTAGAAAAAATGCAATTAGCTCCTTTTGATACTATACTTTTTTTATTAAAAGTGTTTTTTTAAAAAGAAAACTTTTTTCCGATAATGTGAGCTAATTCACAGAATACGGAGCCAGGGGAGAGATTTGGAATTTTTCCCTAAATTTACTTTGTCTAAATTTATATTAGAAAGACGCACACAATCGTTTCTTGTTTGGAAGCTGATGATGCTTTCAGGAGCTCGGTTGCATGCCTGGAAAGCATGCAAGAGAAGACTTGAATGGTGAGAGATGATCTTTCTGTCACCTGTAGCCTCAAACTCTTCCAGTCTTTCTCCATTTATCAATGTTACTGTGGCCATTCCTTCTCCCAAAGGCTATCGAGACACCGTTTCTCCCCCACCCTCCCATCCCCACAAACGCTCTGACGCGCGATCCTAAATTACCACGTTAGAGTAATAATGCTCTAATTATTTCTGGACTGCGATTTCAACATCACAATGTTGGGCTTGAACTCGCAACCTTCTGACTCAGAAGTGAGTGTGTTACTGACTGAGCCAAGCTCTTGTCCTCTCTTGTATTGGATAGGTCCTGCATTATGAACCTCAGGACATCCTTATGTTTCTGTCCGTGTTTGGCTTTCGTTCTGCCTCAAAATCAATAGCATTTGAATCCAGGGTTTGTGGGCTATTGCTGTATGCAACTGGCTGCCAAGTTCACCCACAGTGAATGCTGTGAAGTGCTTTAAGACGTCTCGACGATGTGATAAAGCTCTATATCACATGCATGAATTATCATTATTATCGTTATTCCTTTCCCTATTCTTTCTCCCAAAATTCGCCACTTCACAGTTGTTCTTATTTTTTACTGAACTTCATCTGCCACAACTCTGGCCCCTCTGCTAACATATCTATCTAACTCGAGCGCTCCAGGACACTACCCTGTGTGAGGGGCACTATATTACATGCAAGTTGTTGCTGTTCATACCTGGAGCTTTCTGCACTGAACTTTCCCTTGTGCGTGTTTGTCAATGTGACTTTTCTGCCCGACAGACGTTCCGTCCGGCCGCCATGTTTATTGAGAGGTCCTCGGACTTTGGTCGCAGCTGGAAGATCTATCGCTACTTCGCATTCAACTGCACGGTTGCCTTCCCGTCCATACACACAAGCCCTCTCAGGAGGATCGATGACATTATTTGTGAACACCGATACTCTGACATAGAACCCTCTACGGAGGGTGAGGTTGGTAATTCGCAGCGAAATTCTGGCCAGATTTATGGTGAAACTTTCTGATTTAAAGTAATTCAGGGAGTGGGAGCGGCAGGAGAGAGAGACCAGTGAAGGGCCAGATAATGTTTAAGCTAAAGGAACATCAAAGGTATTCAAATACATTGTGCACATTCTTTATTGTGCCATTGTCCTCCGCTCCAAATTTATCCACGTTCTCGATCACCCAGTTGATTGTGTCCGTCTCGAAACATGGTGAGGATTTTGTGCCAAATCGTGCCACATCTCAACTCGTTGGCTCGTTGAAGCTGTTGGAAACAAATATCTATCGACCTCAAACTTGAAAATGCCAATGACGCACAGCCTTTTGGGGAAGAGAGCTCCAGGTTTCCACTCCCCTTTGTGTGGAAAAAGTGCTCCTGATTTCACTCCTAAATGGCTTAGCTCTTATTTCAAGATGATGCCCCCCCCCTTGTTCATAATTCCCCCACCAGAGGAAACACCTCGATTAGATCACCCCTCCACCTTCTGAACTCCAGCGAATCCAAACCAGTTTGTGCAACCTAGAATATGTATATAATTCATGTGCGTTACCACAGCTGTTCAAATCCCTTTCTGCAGGTCATCTACAAAGTGCTGGATCCTGCCATCAAAGTGGACGACCCTTACAGCCTGGAGATACAAGGTAAACGAGGAGGAAGTTTCATATCTTTCACACATCTAGTTTGCCGATGAAGGGTTTCCTAGGTTTTGTGGTTGTGTAGACGTCCGCAATTGGTCTGAATGTATTTTTCCTTTGGTTGAGTTATTAATGCCATCAGTAGTAGTATTAATAATAACAATAATAATCCTTGCATTTGATACAGCGCCTTATCACGTCTCCGAGATGTTTCAAAACGTTTCACAGGATATACTTTAAGGGGAACCTACTGTATATTGTGTGGGCGCAACATGGCATACAATTGCGCACAGCAGTGTCCCACAAACTAAATGACCAAATCATTATTATTTGATCTTTTTAGAAATGCCTTATTAATGTCTCCAAATTGCTGAAACTCTTTTCTTTTTTTGGTTCTCAGTTCTCAAGAACTGACATTTCTTTTAGTCATTTCTTTATTTTTGTTTCAGATCTTCTAAGAATTACAAACTTGCGAATAAACTTCACGAAGCTGCACACCCTGGGAGACAATCTGCTGGATAGGCGGGTGGAAGTCCTTCAGAAGTATTATTACGCTGTGTACGAGCTTGTGGTTCGAGGCAGTTGTTTTTGCTATGGACACGCATCCGAATGTTCTCCCGTCGAGGCATACGAGGAGGAGTAGAGGGCATGGTAATAATATCCTTGCATTTGATATAGCGCTAAGTATAATTAATAGTGATAATAGAGCTATGATAATAATACTACTAATAATATATTATTATTCATATAATAATATTAATAAAAATAACAATTATACTGAATATTGTATTTGATATAAACGCGCGCAAAATATATAAAATAAAGCCCCTTTATTATAACAATAATATCCTTGCATTTGATTTAGCGCCTTATCACCCACTGTTATCTTAGTAGGAGGCAGCGGAACTAATTGTAATAACAGAAATCATCTAATAATAAAAAGTCTCGTACATAAATTGTACGTTTTGTGACAAAATTAAGAATGTTTTTCTGCTAGACTATTTTTTCTCTCTCCACCGCAACCTTTCTTGTCTTTCTCTATCGTATTGATATTAACTTGTTAGGTTTTGTGGCCTCTCTTCTCGTTCCTCAAGAGTGCTGTGCTAAACACAACGACCTCCTCGTCCTTCCTGCTGCCTGTATCCTCTTTCTGTTGCAATCGAAACTCGACAAAGTCTCTCTGAAACTTTCGCAGGATCTCAAAACCGTGAACTTCCTTCTGTCACTCAATCTTCCCTTCTTACAATGTGAGGTCCTTTAAACCCCAACTTTGGGGCCATCTAACACCTAGTTCTTCATCCTTCTTGTCCTCCCTCCTCTCTTTAATCTTGGTGATGTCCAATGCTTTCCAACTTATTCCTCGATACAGAAACTATCCCTTGTGAAGCTACAGGAGGGGAGTGTGAGACGCAGGGAGCTCTCTCCTGAGTTGGAAGATCAAATCTTATCTTTACGTTTCAGATTCATGGAAGGTGCATCTGTAAGCACAACACCAAGGGATTAAACTGTGAACAGTGTAAGAACTTCTACCATGACCTGCCATGGAGTCCAGCAGAGGCTGGGAATCCGCACGCCTGCAAAGGTGCAGAACTTGTTCCCATCGCTCCCCCTCCTCCGCTTTTATGATCTTGAACGTCCGCATTGTTTACCCCCCTCAAAAGCCATAGCTAGAATTGTTTCTTCTCTCCTCTTTATTACTCTCAACCTACTTCAATTTCCTCTCTCTCGATTCCAGTGGATTCGTCTCCTCCCACACCATCTTCCTCTGTCGATCTTCTACGCAATTGCCTTCCTGCCGTCCTCAACACCTTCACTCATATTAAATCCTGATGTGCCTCTTAACCCCCACTCCTCCCTCAGTTCCCTCTGATATGACAGCCATCTCTGCTCCCTGAGATCCAAGGCCTGTGCTGCTGAATGCATTTGGCTCAAACCCGGCCTCTCATTCCATCATCAGGTCTGTCTGGACCCACGTTAAGGTCGACTGATGCAACTCTCACTTCTGCTAAATTTGTCTCTTACTCCAGGAATCCTGGAGGCTAAAGGCAACCCTAAGCTTTTCTTTTCCTCTGCTCTCCCTTTGCCTCTACCGCTATCTCTCTGCTGTCTTTGACACCGTCGATCACTCCAAAGATCCAGCCTTCAGAGGGACAAGGGAAAAGGACCTCTTGAGATGATACCTAACATCTGGGTGACAGACGTCTCAGTACTATCACCAAAGTCAACAACAACTTGCATTTATGTAGCGCCCTTCACATTGGCTTCTCAGTTAGAATTTCCTTTTTAATAGTATCGGAAACGCAAATATCCAAAGCAAACAGCCTTACGCTGCACTGCGCGTAAGAAGATTGAATTGGTCTCCTCTCACAGCAAATAGGCTGGAGTGTGTTCTGTACTTGAACGCGTTGCCCAAGTAACTGCCTATCTGTCTGACTTAATGGAGTTCAGGATGCAAGTAAAGGTGGGATTATTGTTGGAAATAAAGTGTTGTTGCCCATTAATGAGCCAAGCCGGGGATGGAAATAATTGTAGCCCAGCAGAGACGCATATATCCGAGATGCAAGTATCTAAACCAAGCAGCTTTATCCTGCACTGTGGATAAGAAGATTGTTTGGCTTCCTCTCAAAGCAAATAGTCTGAACTGTGTTAGATTTTTTTTACCCCCAACAACATGTGCGTTTCATTCCAGGGTGCAACTGCAACAACCATGCCAGCAGGTGCCACTTTGATATGGCGGTGTACATGGCCACGGGAAACGTGAGCGGTGGGGTCTGCGACGACTGTCTGCACCACACGATGGGCAGGAACTGCGAGCTCTGCAAACCCTTCTACTACCGGAATCCTGCGGCAGACATCCGCTCTCACAGCGCCTGCATTCGTAAGTCCTTGAGTTCTCGGGCTCACTCAGTGCAGTGAGCGCTAACAATTCCCCCCCGCGCCCCCCCCAGCAGGGAGCTGTAATAATAATCCTTGCATTTGACACAGCGCCTTTTCACATCTTCGAGACGTCTCAAAGCGCTTCACAGAATACACTGTGAGGTGAATTGACTGTGTATTTTGTGGTCGAAACGCGGCAGCCAATTGCGCACAGCAGCGTCCCACAAACAGTCATGGGTTGAGTGACCGAAATAAATATTATTAATTTTTTTTGAAGGTATTATTACCCCTGGGAATAATCCATGCAGTTGCAATCGACTAACAACTGGGTTCCTACTTCCTACTAGGTAAACAGAGGTGTGTGGAGTAAGGAAACTTGCCCTGGGAATCGAACCCAGGTTTCTCGCTTGCGAGGCGAGTGCTCTAACCACTGAGCTACATGAATAATAATAATAATAATCCTTGCATTTGATATAGCGCTATTCACGTCGGGAGGACGTCCCAAAGCGCTTCACAGAATATACTGTAAAGTGAATTGACTGTATATTTGTGGGCGAACGCGGCAGCCAATTGCGCGCAGCGATGTCCCACAAACAGTCGTAGATTGAAAATGACCAATTTATTATTGTTTTTGGTTTTGGAGGGATTATTATTAGGCGTGTGAATGCTTTGATCGGAGTTTAGGTGATGGGTTAAATCACCCAGCTATTTTGCAATGATTGTGGGTTAATGTACTCAATCAATCAAACTTCTAACAGATCTCAGAGGGTTGCGTTAATGTACCTGTCACAGACTGGCGAGGGAAAGGATCAGCTGTACTTTCTAGGCAAAAGATATCACAGTTTGACTTCTTTCTTTGAAGCTGTATTTATGTATAGTTAACAAACGATCGTCCTTTAATGAGGTCAGATTGATCGGTTGATGGAAGGAAGAAAAGCTTAACGGGAATGAAATGTTTAATGTGCTGCCAGGAGACACGACGGAGAAATCGGTTTGTAGGCACCAATGCAATGCAGTTCACACTTCTACAGAGCCTTTCACGTCGGGACGATGTCTCAAAGCGTTTGAAACCAGCTCCGGGTGCAGATGCACCTGATCGAGTTTGGAATCCAAAGATACAAACGATTCACTCGCGTTGTGCACCGAAGCCTATTCCAATAAACCGAATCGCTTCACAATTCACTCCCAGTGTGGACAATCCTCGTGGCCTTTCTCATAGGTAGAATCTCAATACTGTACGACAAAACCCTTTGTGACTGATGGTTGGTGTAAGTTTCCACGACCGCTGGCAGCTCTCCAGTGTCTCCGCATGCACCTGGGCAGCGGGTGTCGGCAGGCTATCGCTCACAGGGTACAGCTCATTCCTGTGGACTTTCCAGCAACGCAATGTCTCTGGCGTTGTTCCACTCGCTGGGCAGCTAATACGGCACAGAGCAACGCTGTAACGCTTCCAGACTGAGTGGTTCAGTACAAGACCGTGCAGTGTATCTAACGGATGTGCTCCTTAAGGAGCAATACCATTGAAACGCTTCTATTAAGAGGAATATTATTTCGGTAGTAAGCTGTGAATGCACTTTCCAACATCTTTGCTTTCAAATCAGGCATAGTAATTCATAGTAATCATAATATTAAGTACCGCATTTGATACAAATGCACACAAAATATCTAAAATCCCTTTATAAATAATAATATTAATAATCCTTGCATTTGAAACAATGCCTGATTACGTCTTCAAGACGTCTCAAAGAGCTTCACACCATGTGAAAAGTGAATTGACTGTACATTTTGTGGGGAAAAAAGCAATTGTGCAGCCAATTGGGCACAGAATGCTTTGGATGGAGAGGTGGTTGTGTGACTTTGCTTTGCTGTCCAGCTTGTGACTGTGACCCCGTGGGCTCGCTGGAAGGAGGGATCTGCGACACGGACACGGACTTGAATTTCGGAATGATCGGCGGACAGTGTCGCTGCAAAGAGAACGTGCGGGGGACACGGTGTGACAGCTGCAAGGAAGGATTCTACGGTCTGAGCAGGAACGACCCACAGGGATGTCAGGGTATGTGTTTCCCTGGTACACGGCAAAGCTTCAGGGAAGGTCAGGCCATGAACCCCTACCAGCTCTCTCTCTCTCTCTGGACTGGGCACGAATTCACATAATAATAATATTAATAATAATAATTATTACATTTGATACAGCGCCTTATCACGTCTTTGAGACGTCTCAAAGCGCTTCTCAGAATAGACGGCAAAGCGAATTGACTGCGCAGTTTGTGGGCGAAACATACAATTTACGTTGAGTGGTGGCCTTTCGCGTTGGAAGGATGTCTCGAAGAGCTTTACAATGCTGGGAGCGGACATGAGCAAGGGTGGGTGGGTGAGTCAAAGAGATGGGTGGGTGGGTTGGGAGGGAAGAGATGACCAAAAACATGATCTCTGCGTGATCTAACCCCCTGTGTGTTGTGTGTGTGTGTGTGTTCCCAGCCTGTAGGTGTGATCCCCGGGGGATTATCATGAATGGCGCGGCGTGTGATCAGATCAGCGGAGACTGCTTTTGCAAGCGATACGTCACTGGCCGCTACTGCAACCAGTGCTTGGTGAGTATCGGAGCCGCTCGATCGCAGAGGCCAAACCCCGCCGCGTTTCCCCCGGCCGGCCTTTAAGGTGAGTTCCAACGGAGGCCGAGCGTTGACGCTGGCGATTTTAGCTTTCGGGCAAAAGCCGAGCTTTCAGATAAAGCCGGAGAATTGTCCCAGAAACTATAGAAATGCAAATTGTTGTGCATTTCTATAGTTTCTGGGACAATTCTCTTTCCGGGGCTGGTTGAGGCGGAGCAGGAAACTCAGAGAGCGTTCATCTCAAGTGCGTGTGTGTGTGTGCATGTGTGTTTGTGTGTGTTGGGGTGGGGGGACAACTAGACAGGAGGCAGGAGCTGCTATTTTCCTCTCTGGTGTCTTCCTTGTGGTTCAATACGACTGTTTTTCTGGTGCAGTCGGAATACTGGGGTCTCAGCAACGATCTGCGTGGCTGCCGGGACTGTGACTGTGACTTCGGGGCAGCTTACAACAACAGGTAAAGAACCTGCCAGCCTCCAGCGCCTTCTTTGTGCCCACTGTAGGCTGAACGGTGGTGGAGAAGGGGGGGGGCTGTGGAGGGGAGAGGCTGGGCTTGTTACTGTGTTGGGGCTCCTAAGGGTGGCACAGCCAGGCTGGGTCCGATCCTGGAAGATGCAGGAATCAGCGGCTGGTGCGTGCATTGAGCACGAGTTGCCATTGCTGTGTATCTCACTGGGAGACGTGAGGGTGGGAGATGTCGGGGCGTAACGCTGAGTTCTTCTCTCCACACCAGATGCTCGATGGAGGACGGGCAATGCGAGTGCCGTCCCAATATCATTGGGCGTGAGTGCGCGGAGGTCCAGCCTGGGTTTTTCTGCATGCCGCTCGACTACTACACCTTCGAGGCCGAGGAAGCTTCCCCTCGCTCACCGACTGACGCTCTGCCCGTAAGCCCGACCCCTCTTTCACTGTCGTTATAATGACCTCTGCATTTGATACAGAAACTTATCCACAAGGATTCGTCAAACAGGCAAACACGGACGCAATTGGCGCACCGTAATGTCCACGTGAACAATATAAATACACGTTCTTGCATTTGAGATAGCGCCTCGAGACCTCTCAAAGCGCTTCCCAGAATATACCGCGAAGTGGAGTGACTGTGTGTTTTGTGATCAGAACGACACTGAATGGTTTGAAGTGAAGTTTGATGGATCTCGGTGGAGGAAGGGGCAAAGACTCTCTTCTGACTGTAACCCATTCGCAGTCTCACCCATCGACCTCACACACACGAACTCGCAATAAAGCGCCCAGATAGTTAAAGTGCTTTCTGTTGATAAAGAGGACTCGCCCGCATGGAGTTCGAGGCTGGGTAGGCATTCCTAAGGCCTGGGTAAAGTACACTGTTACAAGGCGGGTGCAGATACGATCAGAGACATACTGGCAGCTGCTCTTATTTTGATACGCCATAAACCACAAAGCTTCAGGCGAAGTCTGACTCATTGATGGCCATCGACATTATTCCCTTTCTCCCCTTCATCAAATCCTTTCTAGCCTGAGCACCGAGTGGCTCCTTATAATATTTCTCCTCCCAACCTCCTTCAGCACCAACCCCAGCTTGGGTCCCCCGACATCACTATCAGTCAAGAGCTTTAAGGCGTCCTCCTGATGTGGAAGGCACCGTATAAACGTGGATTTTATTGATAAAGGCGAAAGTACAGAAATTTGTTTGGTGGCGAAAGTCACGGGAATCAGGACCCAGAGCAGTTGATCTCATTGTTGGTGGGAAGGCGATGGCACAAGTCAGCCATCGTGTTTATCAACCCGGCTAAGCTGAGTAGGAGTCTTGGCTCCGAGTGAGAAGGTTGGGGGTGCAGTGTCAATACAACTTCTGAATGATCGTGTCCACTTTGGCACCTCCCTGTCTCAGGGTTCTCTCCGGCCACTGCTCGATAACGATTGCGTGGAAGAAGACAACCAGCCTGGTGTCGGCGCCAGACACAACCTGCATCACAGGAGGGTCCACCGCCACGCAGGCCGTCGCAGGGAGACGCAGAAGAGGACCAACGCCAGGAGGAGGCGCCAGTCGCAACCAAAGGTACGTGACCCATTCGATCGCTTCCTGCCAAAATGCCTGCCAGTGGTGGAGTGGATTGACGCGTGCTGAGCGGAGGTAGAAGCCTGGGGTGGCCGGGTGGACCCCAGCCAGAATGTGGGTGATAGCGGTGGGGCTCTGGGAGAGGAGAGGACATGGCCTGTAGAGTAATGGATGGAGTCTCGCGGAGGGTGGATGCGGGCAATCCAGTGAGCGGGACTTTTGAATCGTTGAGGCTGGACGCAACGAAAGCGTGAACGATTTAAGGGAAGGTTTTAAGCGCTGTATCTTACCAGGCGCCGAGGACTCCCAACACGAATGTAAAATTGTTGCCGCCGCTGTGGGCTGGTCACCCTCTCGTTCTGATTTACAGCCGGACGTGGAGACGGTTCACCGAGAGCGGCTCACGGAGAAAATGGTTACGTGGACGGGTCCTGGGTTCGCACGTGTCCGGGACGGAGCCGGCCTGGTGTTCGACATCACCACCATCCCTTACGCTATGGAGTATGAGATCCTTCTGCGTTACGAGCCGGAGGTAGGGCTCGCTACGAGCAGAGAGAATCTTTCTCCACGCGATACTTAACCCCCCAACGCACACTCTGGAGTCCTCCCACCTCCCCTTCACCCGCGCCCCCACCGCCCCCCGGCAAAGCCTTGGCTCTTGCCAACCTGCGCCTAATACTTTCTGGAATTAGGTGAGCAGGATGCATCCCTCCAGGGGTAGAGAGAGAGAGAGAGAGAGAGAGAGAGAAAGCGTGTTCCATCCCAACAAGCTATCTCTGGGTCTTCCATGTGTAGGTGGGCTGCATGGAATTCTCAGCTTGGTTTGGACTCTCTTAAGCAACGGTGATGGGTTTCTGCGTGTGTCAGACACACGGCTGACCCCCCCCCCCCCCACCCCACCCCCCAATCTGTAAGCGTGTAGGACGCTATATAGATGCAAGTTGTCGTCATAGTAGTAGGGAAGCTGTTGTCCAGGACCAATGTGCAGATCAGTGTCGTTGCTACATTATGCCCTCTTTTTCTCTCCCTTAGTCTGCAGTGGACTGGGAAGCAGTGACCACCGTACATCCCACCACCTTGCCTTCATCCCGTCGTTGCGGCAACCTCATCCCCAACGAGCAGCCGTACCCGGTGACCCTGCGGCACACAGAGAGGTGGAGCCCACTAGGGGTGGCTTTCAGTCACTTATTTTTTTTTGGTGGGGGGGGGAGGGCGGGAGAGAGAGAGAGAGAGAAATACACAGTCAGCTCACTTTACAGTCTGTTGTGTGAAGGGCTTTGAGACGCCTCGAAGACGTGATAAGGCGCCGTTTCTAATGCAAGGATTATTATTATTATTAAACATGATTAAAATTAGCAAACAGGGACACTTTGATATTGTCAGCGCTCCCAAGACTCTATCTCACTATAAATGCAAGTTGTTGTTCATTTCACTGGATACCGCTATGCAGTGGCGGAAGCTCTCAGTCGCTGCCCTTCTGTGTGTGTGTGTGTGTGTGTGTGTGTGAGGATGGGGGTGGGTATGGGGTGGAGGGGAATCCATGGCTATCATCTGGGGGCCACTCGTGTGCTGGTAAATTAATTAAGAAGATGCAAATGATAAACAATAGGGACCTAATGACCTGGAAGTCGCCTGTTTTAGGGCTAAAGCTGTCTGGGGCATGGGACGTTTGTGCGAAACTCGCTCGTCTCTTTGAGTAGTGCCATGAGATCTTTATGACCAGTCATGCAGACCGGATCTTGGTCTAACATGTTCAAAGGACGGCACCTTTGACAATACTCCGCTCCCCCAACACTGTATCGGACTGCGATCTCAAAATCCCTCACAACCCTCTAACTCCAAGGCAAGAGAGCTAACGACTGAGCCAGTATGTTGTCAGTGACTTTTGATTGGATTTTTACTGCACTGCCGTTTTGCGATGTAAAAAAAGATAGTCACGGTTTCGGAGCAGCTCAGATTTGGGCGAGCGAGTATCTGCTTGGGGTGGGGTGGTGGTGGGGTGGAAGGGAAGAGCGGAGCTGTGTACGTGCTTCCCTCTTCCAAGCTCATTCCTCCCCTCGATTTATCTTCCCTGCTTTTAAGCCCTTGGATTTGTTTGATCAATCAAAGGCTGGGTTGCAAGCAGAGGCGAGGAGTTTGGGGGCGAATTGAGTGTGTGGATTTGCTCGGTGCGTTCTTGCGAAACGAACACCAGACCTAACGAGAGGATGTTTCTTCTTTTTTTTCCTCTTTTTTTTAAAAAAAAACACACACGAGACAAAAAACTAATTGGAAGCGAAATCCAAGGGGTTCGGGCTGCACAAAAGCCCTTTTCTGTTTCCGATTTGTCCACTTACCGTCAATTATAGCTGAGCTCCTGTCAAAGCCTGTTCCGCCAACGCAGGCTGTTTTGCTTCACTCTCTGAAAAGGACGGTTCGCCTTTGTGGAATGTCACCGGGTTCCTGAGTGGGCATTTGATCCGGTGTCTGGCTGACTGGCTTTTGCTGTTAATTCTTCGCAGAAAGCGGGATGCAGTCCACGTGGTCGCTGGGGTGGGGGGAAAGAGTGAGGTGTGGTGTGTGTGTGTGAGAGACCCACCAGCTGTCTCAACGCATCACGCCACCTGACTGACATTACCCGCTCGCTAGGGCCTTGGATTATACAAAAATAAACAGTCACTGCGCTCTACAGTAAATCCTGCAACTCCGACATCTCCTACCGACCTGAAAGGCATTATATCAAATGCAAGGATTGTGTGGTGTCCCGTTGCGTAGCGGTTAGAGCACTCGCCTCGCAAGCGAGTGGACCTGGGTTTGATTCCCGGGCAGGGAAAAACCTTAGGCAAGTTTACGTAAATCCACACACTCGCCTCTGTTTACCTAGCAATAAGTAGGAACCCATTTGTTAGTCGATTGGCGGATCGCTTGCCGGGGGTAATGATCCCATCAAATAAATAATAACCTGGTCACTCAATCCACGACTCTTTGCGGGACACCACTGCATGAAATTGGCTGTTGCGTTTTGCCAAAGAAACAGACACTACAGTTGCCCGTGAAGCTCTTTGAGACGTCTCGAAGATGTGATAAGGCTCTATATCAAATGCAAACAGTGAGGGGTCGGGCTAGACAGCGCAAGGCTCTGAGACACTTTCTCTTCCTCAGGTTCGTGGTATTTTCAGGCCCTTTCTGCTTCGAGCCTGATGTCCACTACACCATCAAGATCCGTTTCCAGCTTCACCAGGCTCACTACCGGCAAAACAAGGCATTCATCCTGGTGGATTCTGTGAGTATTCAATGGCTGTTTCCACCCCCGCACAGTTCCCCGGTGCCTCAGTTGTATCAGAAACACTTCCAATTGTTTTGTTACATCCTGACATGATATCTCCCCTGCTGACAAAACTCATTTACCCCCCTCCTCATTTACCCCCCTCTTCACTTATCCCCCTCCTGACTCACTGCACTGACCAGCTTCTCCTGCAATATTCTTTTGTGTAAAGCCCACAAAATATACAGTCAATTCACTTTACAGTCTATCCTGCGAAGAGCTTTGAGACGTCTCGAAGACGTGATAAAGCGCTGTATCAAAGGCAAGGATTATTATTTTATTCTAAAGCAATCTTGTGATGCTGTTCCATTTCACACAAAGTGATTGCCCCTCAAAGTACACGAGGTCTCGCCACTCGGCAGCGTGTCCTGCGAAGCGCTTTGGGAAGTCTCAATGATGTGACGAGACACTATAAAATGTTAGGATTATTGTTGTTGTGGAGTAAGACTGACTGATGCTGTTGTGCCCATTGCGAATCTGCCGTTCATTAACAGGAGTCAGTCTGACGCCTGTTGGCCAGTGAGCAGAATTGCAGAAAGGCCACAAACTATTACCAAGTCTGAACGCCAAACTAGGAGTTCCACACACAACATATATTATACATATATATATATTACACATATATATTATATATGTGTCTTCCCAAGGGACGCATTCCTGCTTACTTCATTTTGGAGAGTGTCAGCCGCAGGTTGGCAAGACCCAAGGCTTGGGGTCCCCAGAGTGTGCGTTGGGGTAACTGCGGGAGTCTAAACAGCTAAGACAGAGTAGCTTGTTTTGTTGAGGGAGCACTCTCTGGCAAGCTTCCTGCTACTTGTCCGACTAGGACCACACTCCCGCCATTTAGGGCTTTGGCCTGCAGGCCATCTAAACATCACCGAGGACTGACTCAATTCCCAATTCCACTGTCAAACACGTTACCTTGGAGTCAGCTCAGCTTCAAGAGACCTTACCTCCTTTCCCCAGGGAGGATAGTCACTAGTTGATCATTAAATAGGGACCAAAGACCTGCATTTGTCTATAATGTTCGGTATCATTTTCGATTGGGGATGATTGGCGAGGGACTTGTTATTTTACCAGCTGGCGCTGCTGCCCAAGTACACAGAGTTGCCGGGGTTTGCCAACGGTGACCCCACCTCCGTGCATCACCGCGAGGAGATGACACGCTACATGTGCCTGGAATCCTTCAAAATGGCCACCATGCCCATGCTGGCTGACATGTGCGTCCAACTGATTTGCAGCATCTCGGCCATCATGCACGATGGGGCTCTGCGTAAGTACGACGATGTGCGTGTGTGTGTGTGTGCGTGTGTGTGTGTGTGTGCGTGGGTGCGTGCGTGAGGGGCTCTGTGGCGTGTAAGCGCGACAGCGACGTCTGCGTGACAGGCCGTCTGATGTGCGTGAGGAGCTGTGTAAGTTGACGGTGACGGGCGCGTGTGAGAGGCGTGTAAGTCCATGTCCGGTTCATGTAAAGCCCTCTGTTGGTTGCTGATGGTTGTCCTTTGTGCCCTGGCTCTCCAGCCTGCCAGTGTGACCGGCAAGGCTCCTACAGCAACGTGTGTGAGAAGATCGGGGGCCAATGTCGGTGCAAGAGCAATGTGATGGGCCGACGCTGTGACCTCTGTATCCCCGGAAACTACGGCTTTGGGCCAAATGGCTGCTCCGGTACGTAAACAACAAACACTCCCAGCACAGCATGGGGTGTCACATCAGGTGTGACTGAGGGGTGGGGGGGGAGTATGACTATGAGGAAGGTACTGTTATATTCCTTGAATTTTCATATAGCGCCTTATCACGGTCTTCGAGACGTCTCAAAGCGCTTCACAGAACATACAGTTAAGCGTAGTGACTGTTTTATGTGTTAATACACAGTCACTACACTTAACGGTAGAATGCTGGTCAAATCTAACTCTTCCGGGTGAGGCAGAGTCCAGAGGCTTCAAGAGGGAATTAGACAAGTGTATAAAAGAGGGTTGAAGGGTTCTGGGGATAGGGCAGGGCGGTGGGATTGAATGCACACCTTGGTCCGGTCCAGGCTTGATGGGCTGAATGTCCTCCCTCTGCCCTGCACATGTCTATGTTTCTTCGCTTGATTTACCTATTTCCCTTTCGTTGCTTTCTATCAATCCTCAGTCTTTAAAGATTGAGGCGCTTGGGATGTGCCACAAAATACCCAGTCACTGCACCTCACAGTAAAATCCTGTGAAGCGCTTTGAGACGTCTGACGACCCGGTAGGACTCTGCATCAAATGCAAGGATTATTAAAAGAACACCTAAACAAATTACATTGGTATAGCGCCTTTCACGTCAGGAGGACGTCCCAAGGTGCTGGACAGTGAGTAGATTTGGACCTGAGCGGAGGAGGTGGGGGTTGGTATCAGGAGGCATGGAGGGCAGAGAGGGTAGGGGTAGAAGGGTGACTGAAGACGTGGTCAGAGAGGAGGGTCTTGAGATGGTCCTTAAAGGAGGCAAGGGAGGGAGCGAGGCGAAGGGACTGCGGGATGGAGTTCCAAAGAGTGGGGGCAGAGAGGCCGAAGGCACGACCGGCGATAGTGGAGCAGGCCGTGGGAGGGGTGGGGTGGGGGGGGCTGTTGCAGGCCGGTGCCCACTGTTACCCATTGTACGCGTGGATTCAATGAACATTCTCGTGTTCCTCTTCGCAGAGTGTGACTGCAGCCCCGAAGGCTCTCTCAGCAACGTGTGCGACCCGGTGACCGGGCAGTGCCTGTGCCGACACGGGGCAAACGGCCGGCAGTGTGACCGCTGCTTCCCTGGCCAGTGGAACTTCCCCAACTGCCAACCGTGCCATTGTAACGGGCACTCCGAGGATTGCCACCACAGCACTGGAGCCTGTCTCAACTGCAGGGAGAATACAGCCGGACACAACTGTGATCGGTTAGTCATCCGCTTGGCAGCGTGTCTCTTTTTTTTTTGCCCAGCCTGGGGGGGGGGGGGGGCGATCTGACACTCTCGGAAACCCATCCCCGTTGATTAAGAGCCTCCAAACCCAACTGAGAATATTCTAACGCATCCCACCTACACCTGGAAATCCCAGTAGATTGTTGGAATGGTATGTTCTCTCTCTCTCTCTCTCTTGCTCTCCCCGTTGGAGGGACCTCTTCCAGTCCACGTCTCAACCAGTACTGCCGTGGGTCAGCCCGGATCAGTGGGTGGCCACTCTTGCTTCCGAGTCAGAAGGGTTGTGGGTTCAAGCCCCCACATTGGGACTTGGACCCCAATGTCTAAGGTGACGCTCCAATAGAATCCAATATAGGGATCGCTGCATTTGTCAAGAGAGGTGCCTTTGCTCGATACCCCGTTATAACAGGGTAACAACAACAACAACTTGCATTTACCAAGCGCTCCTCACACAGGGTCGGGTGTCAGAGCGAACGATGGCCCGTAAAAACGCTTACCAGGGGAGGATGGAGCGTTGATTTTGTGAGATTTCTCTCCCGTTTCTGTTGACGCACCTTTTCCCCGTCCTCCCGCAGCTGTTCGGACGGATACTACGGGAATCCAGTGCTGGGGTCCGGGAAGCAGTGTCGCCCGTGCCCCTGCCCTGGCTTTCCGGGCAGCGGGCATCACCACGGGATCTCGTGTCACGCTGACCTCGACAGCAACCGCATCGTGTGTAACTGCAAATATGGCTACACAGGTGAGGGGCACTGTGTTACATTAGTGACTGTTTTTGTACGAGTTATTTCTGTACTCCGCTCGTATAGTGCCTCGCAAATGAGAGCCTGGGTTCGATTGCCTGTGGGTGTTGGAAGGGGGTGGGGGGTGGTGGGGTGGTGGGCGAAACCTTAGGTAAGTTTCCTCGCTCTACACATCGCTAATAATAAGTAAGGAACCTGGTTGTTCGTCGATTGGCAGATCGCTTTCCTGGGGTAATAATCCCACCACTGTTTGCGGGACACTGCTGTGCGTAATTGGCTGCCGCGTTTTGCCCACAAAATGTTCAGTCACTGCAGTGTATTCTGTGGGCCATGTGATGGGGCGCCAGATCAACTGCGAGGATTATTAATATTGTTATTTGTCACTGCACGGTGTTTATTGCATAATTCACACCATCCCGGCCATCCAGGCTTGAGAGGTCGATCGCTGCAGAGAGTGTGTTTGTCCCCCTGAAAGCTGTTGTCTTGCTGATCGCAGGCACTCGCTGTGACCAGTGCGCCCCTGGGTACCATGGGGCCCCGGAGGTGCCAGGCGGAAGCTGCCGTCGCTGCCAGTGCAATAACAACATTGACGTGAGCGACCCCGACTCCTGTGACCCTCGCTCTGGTGATTGCCTGAAGTGTCTCCACAACACCCACGGACACCACTGCGGGGAGTGCCGGCAAGGCTATTACGGGAACGCCCTGCAACAGGACTGCAGACGTGAGTGTGTCTGTCATCAGGGTGACTGTCTGGGCTGCACGAGACGCGAGTGTGTCTGCGTGAGCTGTACTAGACGCGAGTGTGTCTGCGTGAGCTGTACTAGACGTGAGTATGTCTGCGTGAGCTGTATTAGACGTGAGTGTGTCTGCGTGAGCTGTACTAAACGTGAGTGTGTCTGCGTGAGCTGTACTAGACGTGAGTGTGTCTGCGTGAGCTGTACTAGACGTGAGTGTGTCTGTGTGAGCTGCACTAGACGTGAGTGTCTGCGTGAGCTGTACTAGACGTGAGTGTGTCTGCGTGAGCTGTACTAGACGTGAGTGTGTCTGCGTGAGCTGTACTAGACGCGAGTGTGTCTGCGTGAGCTGTACTAGACGCGAGTGTGTCTGCGTGAGCTGCACTAGACATGAGATGTCACTGCATTAGAGCTCACCCCTGAGGGACGGTCACTTGGAGGAGGGGTTGGGAGATGAGATGAATGGATTCGAAGCCCAGCACTAGTCAGCGCCTTCTAAAATCACGGGCTCGAGCGGAAAGGAAAGTAAAGTAAACGTGGAGTCCCACAAGAAGTGAACTGTTTCTCTCTCCCGTGGTTGTGATTTCAGGCTGCACGTGTAACATCCAGGGGACGGTGAGCGACCAGTGCGATGATCTGGGCAACACCTGCAGATGCGAGAGAGTGACGGGAGACTGTACCTGCAGAGAGAAAGTCACGGGCAAGAACTGTGATCGGTGCGCTCCCCGTTACTGGAACTTCGGGCAGAGCGGAGGCTGTGAGCCCTGTGCCTGCGATCCCCAACATTCCTACGGGCAGTTATGCAACATGGTAAGGACCCTCCTCGACCCTCGTTGTTTCACAGGCATTATCCCAATATCTCGGTCGCTCGAGGACCTTGGTTTCTCAGGGAATGAAATGGAACGCGTCTCAACTTTGGGAGCAAGTTCTCCCAGATCAGGTGTTAGTTACACTGTCTCGTCCACCATTGTGTCAGCTACAGCCCTAAAATAATGATAATATTAATAGGTAATTAAAAGAGGAAAAATTTGCAAGGGTATGGGGAAAGAGTGGGGCAGAGGGACTGATGAGGTCAAAGAGCTGGCGCAGACGCGATGGGCCGAATGGTCTCGTTCTGTGTTGTACGATTCTATGATAATACTTACGTTTTAACACAGCGCCTTTCACGTCAGGAGGATGTCTCAAAGCTTTGTAGGACTTACTAAATGTGTAGTGCATTTGTGGGCGAACCCAGCAGCCAATTTGTGCACAGCAACATCTCATGCCAATGTCTCGTCTGAAGGATGGCACCTCTGACAAGGCATTGCTCCCCCCCAACAATGTGCTGGAGATTTGCTTCAGGCTATGAATTTGAAGTCCCGACATGATGCAAAGATGCAAAGCCCCCTCGATACTGTCACATCCAGCTCTCCCCCATCGTTTTTTTTTTTTTTTTTTTGGTCAGCCGGTTGTCTGACACACGAGGAAACCCATCGCCGTGCTTAAGAGTATCCAAACCCAACTGAGAATTCCCTGCATCCGACCTATACGTGGAGAATTCCAGAGATAGGTAGATCGGATACAGAATAAAGCTGCTTGAGATACGATTGATAATGTGGCTGATATCGCTGTCCTCTGTCTTCCTTTCAGTTTTCCGGACAATGTGAATGCCGCTCAGGGTTTGGAGGGCAGAGATGTTCTGAATGTAGAGAGTTTTACTGGGGAAATCCGGAGCTGGAATGCAAAGGTAAGCGATTCCCGACAACGGAACCTGTCTACAATCAGTCCCAGAGTTTCTAGACTAGACAGGGAGCAAACAGTCAGGATTCCAGCACAGGGTGACCAGTGAGAGCGGGAGAATTGAATTGACTGGAAGACTTTTCCGCAGCTCTGCACGAGATTAAATCCTAAGCGAAAATCATCTTCCAGGCTAAGACTGGGTGGAATTTGGGTCTTTTGCTCGCTTTGCCTGTCTGGCAAGATGCGGCCATTATCCCAGTCTCCTCTCCTGGAAGACAGGTGCCAAAGTCTAGGCTCGGATCTCCGCACCTTCCCAGTTCTAGAGTGGGGTGGGGCAGTGTCTCAGAGGGCTTAACGGTGGCGGAGCCTGATGCTGAGCCGGAGTAGGGAGGAGGTGACAACATCAACCAGCGACAAATCGCAATTGTATAGCGCCTTTCGCGTTAGGAGGACGTCCCAAGGCTCTGGTCGTGAGGGGTTGGGGGAGAGAGAGAGAGAGGGGGAGGAGTATACGAGCTAAGCTTGACTGTGCTGACCCATCTCGTGCAGCCTGCGACTGTGATCCGGACGGCTCGGAATCCCAGCAATGCCACCAGACCACCGGCCGCTGCTCCTGCAAGCCCGGCTTCACCGGGCCGCGCTGTGACCAGTGCGACCGCGGCTACCGAGGACGGTTCCCCATGTGCGCACGCTGCCACCCCTGCTTCGACCTGTGGGACCCGGAGGTCCAGAAGCTTGGGACGAGGCTGCAGAACCTCGAGGAGCAAGTCAAGAGGATCCTGGACAGCGGGGGCACAGGAGGGCTGAACGAGAAGCAGCTGCAAGAGCTGGAGGAGAAACTCGAGGAGGTCCAGAGGCTGATCGGCAAAGACGCCTTTAATGCCGAGGAGCTGTTCAAACAAATGCGACGTCTAATCAACAGAGTGAGGTAGGACCTTGCTCACTCACCATCGCCCTGGGCCACAATCCCCGTCAACGACCCTCTTGGCTGAATTTGAACTGCAGAGTGACAGGATTCCAGCTCTGAAGCTATGGTTCACCACATTGTGACCTGGTTTAACTCATTCCATTCCCCCTCAGGCGGTTAGCTGCTAACTATAGTCCGCAGGAACAGTATTCACTCTTCCCCCACCCCACCCAACCCCATCGCATTAAGCCAGTGCCTTTACATGCTCCATGGAACCGCTTTGATAATTTAAATAATGTTGTCCTAGCTGCTGTATTCATATATAATAGAAAAACTGCACGAGCAGAGGCTAGCAGATTTTTGAAAGATCCCTGCTTATCGTCTCTCTGACATTTCCTTCCCAACAAGTGTTCGGGAGATGAGAAGGTATCAAGATTCCTCTTAAATCCATCGATGCTTTTTTTTTTTTTTACGGCAACCACAGCGCCTGGAAGCAAGTCCCGCTTTCTGGCCACCCTCTGCGTGAAGTTCCTCCTAAACTCCCTGTCAGACCTCGTGTAAGCGTGCAGTGATATTTACCTTAAAATATAACTTTAAACGCCCCCATCAAGTCCACCGCTCAAACATCTCACCTCCAGAGAGGAAAGCAGAAACCTATCCAGTTTCTTTTTACTACATCCATAGGAATCTACGCAGGAGTCCCACCAACGTTACGAGCGTTGAACCTGTAATGAACGCACGTGTATCGCAACGGGGCTTCTGTAGTGTAGTGTGCTGACTTGTCATGTGTGCTTATGTTGACGCTGAACAACTCGTGTGCCAGACAGGAGATGGAACACTTGTCAAACAGGGTGGACAGATTGGACGAAGGAGTTTCCGTGACGGAGGCCAGGGATAATCAAAGCCGACGGGACCTGGCACAGCTGGAGGAGAAAGCCAGGGCTTTGAATCAATCCACCACTGCGAAGGAGAAGGAACTGGAGGCACTTATAAGCTCCAATTTTAAAGGTACGGCTCCTGCTGTTGGGGGGGTGGGGGGGGGGAACGGGTGCGAGTTTTCGAACAAATGAAAACACAAGCGAGCGCACAAATCATTGTCGATGCGTATGACAGCGTGGAGTATCGCTGTGATTGCCGCTGTGCCTGTCCTCCTTTGACATTCGTTCATTCTTCTCGTTTCGCCGACGAAATACACAGTCCATACACTTTACAGTATGTCCCGTGAAGCGCTTGAGACTTCTCAATGAGGTGTTAAGGTGCTGTATTTTTATTAGGATTATTCCCTTCACTGGATTCGTCTCTTTGCAGTCAAACTCATCTCCACGTCTATCCTCTTTCTTTCCCGAGCGCTTAAGACTGAGAAACCCCTTTTCCCTCCTTCCTCAGTCCGCCTGATAAACCTTGCCTTTGATATTTCAGTCTCAGTAACAAAGCTTTCCGTTTGTGTGATATTTCGACTGATTCACGTGGTTGGAAACATCCCGAAGCACTTCACAGGATTTTGCTGTAAAGTGTAGTGACTGTTGATTTGTAGGCTACGCTTCCTCATAACGATCTACAAGTTGTTCGGTTTTAGCAGCCAAACGTGAGGTCACTCCTGCTCTCTCTCTCTCTCTTTTTTTAATGTATGTTTTATATAAGTATATAGTCCTCCAAGCCAAAGCCTTAACGGTTAATTAAGGTGGTCCTAGCTGGACAAGCAGCGGGGAAGCTTGTGAGACAGCGATATCAATGGCGGGCTACAGTTTTGTGAATCCCCCCCGTTTGGCAGAGTTCTACGATCTGATCCGCAAGTACTACGAGACGTCCCGCGACCAGGAGCGACGGGCCAACGCGACGGTGAGCGGGCCGCGGGGGCCGGTCAAGCAATCGGAGAGGACGCGGGAGAGGGTGGGCGCGCTGCTGCTGGAGCGAGAGAACGCGCTGAGGAAGACGGGGGCCGTTCAGAAGAAGCAGCTGAAGGAGCTGGAGTCGAACGTGATGAGCCTGACCATTGACCCCATCAGCCGAAAGGTTAGAGGGGTCTCACACGCCGCACAGCGCCGCAGCTCAGCGCTCAGCCCTGTGGGTGATTTTGTAGAGTGCGTGTTGTACGTCCGCAGCGCCCACTGTCACTGATACTTTCACCCGCAGCAACACAGTCACTTTACACTTTACGGTGCATCCCGCGAAGCGCTTTGAGACGTCTCGAAGACGCGATAAGGCGGGCGCTGTGTCGAGTGCAAGGATTATTGTCATAATTACTATTGTTACACCGAATTACTTCTGTTTCTGTGAGATTCGGGTGAATGGCTTCGTTAGATGGAGCCACAAGACGCGAGTTGCTCTGCTCAGATTTGGTACAGGCGGTGACTATTGTGATGAAGTGTTATGTCTAGCCACTAGGCAGCGCTAGTGTAATGTTCAAACAAAGCGTGGATAGTAATAATAATAATAATAATCCTTGATATAGAGCCTTGTAACGTCATTCAGACGTCTCAAAGGGCTTCCCAGAATATACCGTAAATTGGAGTGACTGTGTATTTAGTGGGCGAAACAGTGGGTGGTCAGTGTGTGATAACAAACCCAGCGCAGTTGCTATCGTACACCAGCCTTGTAATTGTCCCCTCGCGCCCTCCGCTCCACCATCGGTGGCCGTGCCTTCAGCCACTAAGCCTCGAAATTCTGCCGCCTTGCCCCCCTCCCCGCCCCCCCACCTCCCTACCTTCAAATCCCGCCTAACGACCTCCCTATTTGATCGTGCTAACGGCCACCTCCTCCTCCCCCACTCCGTCCCTTTTCCCCCCCGGCTCGGTGTCAGACTCCACCACTGTCGAGTGCTCCGGCACGAAGGGCGCTGTGTAAACGGTGGTGGTTGTGGCTGTCGACGTGACTCTCTGTGGTGATTCAGGTCTGTGGCTCCTCGGGCAGCCTGACGTGCATCCAGGATCGCTGCGGAGGTGCCGGGTGCCGAGACGATTTCGGGAACCGCAAGTGCGGGGGGGACGGCTGCGGGGGGGCCCTTACCCTGTCCTCGGGGGCGTTGAAGAAAGCGGAGAACGTCAGCGATGCCCTGACGGACAGCAATGAGCAGCTGAGCGACATCTCCCGGAAGGTATGTGACACCTCCGAGGGGCGGAGGTTGGAGACTTGCTGTGTAGGTTGGAGACGTGGGGAATGGGGACGTTCCCACTGGAGGAGGCACAGGATGGGAACTTTGCCTCTGGAGGCATTTAAGGAGCGATTAAGGACTCCCAGTGTGGTGTTGGGGGGTGAGGGGGGAATGTCAGAGATGTCGTCCTTCAGATGAGATGTTAAACTGAGGCCGTTTCCAGCACCTTAGGATGTCTTCCTGATGTGAAAGGCGCTATACAACTGTAAGGTTGTTGTTTATATCCTCTTTACCCCATCAGTTGGATGTTAAAGAGCCGGTGGCAGTATGTGAAGAGAGAAGGGAATTTCTCCCTTCATCTTGGCCAACATCCCACCCCCACCTCACTCCAGATAAAATTGGTCACTCACTTCACGGCTGTTTGTGGGACATTTCCCCGTGCAAATTGCCTGTCGTGTTTCTCTACGAAGTAGACAGAGAGCCACGCCGGCATTTTAGGAGACGTGGCGAGGAAGAGTGGAGGGACGAGCTGCCTCACCTGGGAAGAGAAATCGAGACAGGATCGGTGTCATTCTCCAGGTTGCGCTCGTTCCGATGCGGGTTTGAGGCTCTGCAAGAAACTCACAGTCGCGCTGTTCCCAGATCCAGGAAGTCCAAGGAAAGGCGGAGCAGGCGAAATTGCAGGCCGCGGAGATGCTGAAGAAAGCTAATGAAGCCAAGGACACATTGAACAACTCCGTGGAAGATCTGCGACGATTCATCAAAACCGTGAAAGACTTCCTCAATGGTGAGTCTCGCTGTAACGTTAAGCGCTCCGGGACTCTACTCTGCACGGAGGGCCCTGTGTAAATGCAACTTGTTGTTGTTGTAACCGAGTTGGAATAAAATTGCACCAAATCTGAAGCCCCTTCCCCACCCAGTTGTTAATTGCTCTCCTCTCTCTCTCTCTTCTCCCCCCCCCACCCCGCCCTCACCCCCACTCTTTCGGATGAGATGTTAAACCACATGCGAACGTTAAGGATTCCATGGCCCTACTCGAAAAGAGAAGGGAGTTTCTCCCGGCGTCCTGGCCATTTGGTCGCTCACTCCACAGCTGTTTGTGGGGACGCTGCTGTGCGCAATTGGCTGCTGTGTTTCGCCCACAAAATATCCCGTCAATTCACTTTACAATATATCCAGTGAAGCGCTTTGGGATGACTCAATGATGTGGTTCAGCCCTATATCGAATGCAAGGATTATTATTATTACTATTATCAATGACGTCCCATCTTGACTCCAATCTCCAAACTACACCACACTGCGCACTCACCACACGCTCATTCCCGTTTCTCGGTCCAAGCTCTTGCGACCAATGTTCTGAGTGGAATAACCAATTTGGTTCATGTTTTCTGCTGAATTGTGAGCCATTTGTGTTGTGGATCTTTCGGCTGGGATCTGAACTCCTCACGGAGAGGTTTCTTGGGCAGTCTGTGTTGCTGCTCGTTGCCCCATTGAAGTAATTCATTCCCATCTCTTCTCCTGTGTGTGCGTGTTTCATGTGTGTGCGTGTGTGCAGAGGAAGGAGCCGACCCAGAAAGCATCGAACTGGTGGCCAACAAGGTGCTGAACATCTCCTTCCCCATCAGCTCCGAGGACATCAATAAGATCGTGCAGGACATCAGAGACGCCATCGAGAGCATCACCGAAGCCGATAGAGTTCTCAACGAAACGTCCAAAGGCCTGCAGGAAGCACAAGTTCTCCTTAAGAAGGCGGAGGAAGTCCGGTCAGTGTCTGAGTGACGGGCTTAGACGCCATTTCCCCACACCACCTTTGACGTAGGAGGCCTGAGATTTCACCTAGTCTTCCTCGCCTGCTTTTAAGATCGTTCTATCGTACAATCTCAGCTCTCGCAGAGTTACGAGAATTCTTGAGTTCACTCTGATTCGGAAGCCGGTTTACTCCCCAGCCCGGCCCAGCCCCACCATCGGCGGTCGGGTTTTCAAGCCACTCCGCCTCCCCCCACCCCTTGGAGCTCCTTCCCACATGCCGTTTGTCCCGCTCCCTCCCTCGCCTCCTCCAAGACAAGGCTCAAGAACGTCTTCGTCAACCGTGCCTTCGGCTGCCTTCCCCCCACTTTCAGCTCGAGTCCAAAGCCCTGACTGCCCAGCGCCTTGTGATGTCCTCTCAACGTAAAAGGCACAATATAAATGTCATTTTGTAATGAATTGTACTATATTTATTGAAGAGAAACTGCTCCCCAGTGAAGCCTGGATTCACAGCCCTCAGCAGCCTCTGGTACTTTGCCCGATTGACTGATGTGCGAGGGCACATGTAGCCTTTGTGTCAATAATAATCCCCTCAAAACAAATAATAATTTGGACACTCATCCACAACTGTTTGTGGGGCACTGCTGTGTCCAATTGGCTGCTGCGTTTCGCCCAGAAAATATACAGTCAAATTCATTTTCCAGTATATTCCATGAAGAGCTTTGAGACGTCTTCGAAGACGTGATAAGGCGCTATGTCAAATGCAAGGATGTTATTTATTTGACCACAATGTGTGTGATGAGAATGTCTGGCACTGTATAGCCTTGACTTCCACACCTTATGGACAGTGATGAGGAGCAGAAGGTCTGGCTGATTTACCTCGATCTCTCTCAAGGCCAATTTACTGTAATCCCTGGCTGACACCAACTAACTCAGCCCAGATGGGAAGTCCCTAAGCCAGAACCTTTACAGATAAAATAATAAAGATGAGACCAGTTTTGTTTTTTTCTGACTGAATTACGTGTTATTGTAGGAGCGCAGCCTTGGACGTAAAAGGCATTGTAGATGAGATACAGGATACTATAAATGCTGCCAGGTTCAAACTGGATTTGGCTGAGAAAGCATTGGAAAAGGCCAAGAACTCAACAGCGAGTGAATCCATCAGCAAGGTACGAACCCCCTCCTCTTTCATCCCTCACTTGTTATTACAGGGTCTTGCAGAGAGGGGGGGTGGGGAAGGGAGATGACCATAGGATGCCTCTCAGGAAGCAGATCGCTAAACCTACCGCACTTCCTACAGCAACGACTCTGAGAAAGAGAGCGATATCTGTGTGCAATTCGCTGCTGCGTTTTACACACAAAACGCACAGTCACTCCGCTCTACAGTATATCCTGTGAAGCGCTTTGCAATGTCTCGAAGACGTGATAATGCTTATTGTTATTATCTACACCTGAAAATTCCTAGAGCATTTTCACTACCACTGGCAAAGTGATGATCCCCACACACCAGCGTCTCTGGACACTCTCTAGATAGGTTTGTCGACCCGGCTCAGTTGGTAGCACTCTTGCCCCTAAGTCAGAAGGCTGTGGGCTCAAAGGAGATCCCGTCCTTCGGAAGACATGTCATTACTATGAATGGGCCAAGTGAATGGGCCATTAACGAGGATTAGTTTCCCTTCAGCAGGCACGGGATGAAAATGCTGAGATGTTTCCAATGTCTGTGTTGTTTCCAGGTGGATAAGCTTCTGGGTGGCATTGACGACAAGCAGGAGAGTGCCATGGCACAGCTCACTGACCTCTCCTCGCAAGTGGATGCCCTGAAAAATAAAACCAACCAGAACAGGAAGATGGCAAATGATAGTGAAGGGAGAGCTAAAGCTGCCAAGAGAAAGGCAGAGAAGCTGCAGAAGGTAACGGAACTGGAACAAGTTGCTTTGGAGAAGGGTGGTTGAGGCCAGGGAACTGGACTCATTTAAGTGGACTTGTTTGATGCTGTGGGAGGGTCGGTGTTCTGGAAGGATTAGAGCAGATGGTTCGAAGGCTCTTCTTCATCCAAATTAATGGTCTACGATTTTTAAACCAATTTAGCCCATTTCGCTTCGAGCTCTCTTCCCCACGCCTAGCAGTAAGTAGGAACCGTGTTGTTAGTCGAGTGGTGGATTGCTTTTCCGGGGGAAATAATCGCTCCAGAAAATACAAATAAAAAAAATAATTTGGTCACTCAATCCACGACTGTTTGTGGGGACGCTGCTGTGCGCAATTGGCTGCCGCAGTTCGCCCACAAAAATGTCCAGTCAATTCGCTTTACAGTATATTCTGTGAAGCGCTTTGAGACGTCTCGGAGATGTGATAAGGCGCCATATCAAATGCAAGGATTATTATTATTATTCTGTTTGTGTGACAGGACATGAGCCTAGTGGAGAGTCAGTACGAGAAGCTGAAGGACAAAATAAACAGTCTGGACAACGGGACCTTTCAGACCAGAGATCGCGTGGAAAAGATCAAACAGGAGGCAGAAAGATTGAAAAACATCGCCACCAATAGCCTGGTTCGAGTGACCGGTAGGTACTGTTTAATCAGCAGCAGAGAGTGTTGCATCTTGTTGTACAAGGATTTGTGGCAATTACCAGGAAGGCTTTCTTTACTCAGAGGGTAATCGACCACAGAGAACAGATTGTTTTGAAAGGTGGTTGAGGCCAGGACAGTGGACTCATTTAAAAAGTGGTTTGATGCTGTGATGGAGAGGGGGAAGGATGGTTGGGGGGTCGGTGGGGGGGTTGCGGTCTGGAAGGATGGGATCAGATGAACCAAAGGGCCTTCTCCCTCCTTAACCAACCTTGTGATCTCTAGTCGTGTAATTTTTACAATAACCTCCCACCTCCCCTATCCAACCTCCTTCCCTACACCCTCACTCCACCAACCACTGCCTCTGCTCGGCTGGCTCCGGCCTCCTGTTTGTCCCTCACGCCCTCCGTTACACCATTGGTGGTTGTGACTTCAACCACTGTACTCCGAAACTCTAGAACTCTCTCCTTCAATCCCTCCCTCCTTCCCTCCCTCCAAATCCCGCATAAAGACCTTCCTATTTGATAGTGCTTACGGTCACCTCTCCCCCTGGCTCGTTGTCAGACTTCACCATTATCAAGCGCTCTGGGACGCTGCCCTGCTTTGAAAGGCGCTACATAAATGCAAGATATTGGTCTGGTTTGAGAAATGCCAAAGTTCTTTCCTTCGTTGACTGGATGCACTGATTGAGCCTTTGGAGGGAAGTTATTTCCCTATTTATTTGCGGATCCCATTGAGATCTGCTAACAGCAACTCGCATTTTCATAGCGCCTCTCTGGATAGGCGCATTTGCTAACTCAGCGCAGACCAGGGAGTGAACTTGTCTGTCAGGGGGAACTAAGATTTCTGACCACTGTTATGAATTCTGACCACCATTGGGGTTGGAAGCTGTTTTTTTTGTGGGGCTTAGATCCGTGGCCAACGTCAACAGCCCAAGATATTCGCTGGGTGAGAAGATAAATAATCTCAGTCAGGATTGGAACGTTTCCCAACGACTTTGGTCATTTGTCGGGTTGTAAAATGGGGATTTTTTTTTTAAATGTGGGAATGACGTATTGCTGATTTAATCGCTCGTTTCTTGTTGAAGCCTTGCAAAAGAAATTCGAACGGAACGAAAAGAAAATGAACGAGAAGATCGAACAGCTGCGACATCTGCAAGGTAACGTAATTGAGCTGCTGGACAGCATCAGAGAACGGTCCCAGTTTTACAACTCCTGCAACTAACAACTGGCAACGAGACCACTCGAGCAGCCCATGACCCCTTCCCTTTGTCTGTGTGTTTCAGTCCATGTACAGTCTCTCTCTCTCTGTGCCCGTGTATCACAGTCTCTCTCCTTGTGTTTCAGTTCTGTTCGTTTCTGCCCTCGAGTCAAGCTTGAGCTTCACGTTCTTAAACAAGTTACTGAGGTCCCGTTGTAAGAGATTTTTCCGATTCAACTCCACCCACCCACCCCACTCTCACTTCCCACACCCCAAACAGTGGCCTGAATAAAATGACTCTTTGAAACTCCTCCTGGAGTCCCTCCGACTCGCTCCTCTTGCTCAAGGCCTCTTTCAAGACCTACCTCCTTGACCAGGCTTTCAGTCATCTTAACCCCCACCTCCCCCACATTATCTCCCACCTCCAGTGCAGGTTCCCAGCTAGCAGTGTCGTGCGCTTTGAGACGTCCACCCGACGTGAAAGGCACTATATAAAAGCATATAGAATCAAGAGAGAGGACACTCAATCCACGGCTGTTTGTGGGACGCTGCTGTGCGCAATTGGCTTCCGCGTTTCGCCCACAAGAATATACAGTCAATTCACTTGACAGTCTATTCTGTGAAGTGCTTTGAAACATTTTGAATACGTGATAAGGCGCTGTGTCAAATGTGAGGATTATTATTGTTATTGTCAGTGTGATACCGTACTCCATAGAGTTAACCAGAGCAGGGTTACACATCCCAAAAGGGACCAGGGTGTCAGTGTTCCCTAAGAGCCGGGATCGATCAAACCCCCTCGTTTCGACCGCACAAGTCGCAAGTAAAGTGCATTCCTCATGTGTCTGAGCGGAACTGTAATTAAGATCTTGTTTCTATATTTAAACAGAAGGAACTAGTCTCAATCCCGAGTCAGACACTGCCTCAGTGAGGTTCTTTGGTTAGTGTTATGGGGGTGTGGAGGTGTGGGTGTCTAATGTATGATGATCACAAGTCCTGATCCGCAATTACGATGGGAAATGCCAGCAGGTGCTGGACTGAAAGTCATGGAGCTTGAATCCAGACGTTATTACCCTGACGTTCCCACAAGTGATCCCCTGCCAACTGTAAATTCCTGAATCCCAAATAAGCTGCTCAGGAAAATGATGTGGCATGGGAACAGAGGCTGGGTGGGTTTACTTTGCTGCAAAATCCCCTCCGTAGCTCATGGGAGCGAGGAAGCTTCTATATTTGTGTTGCTCCATCCTCGAACGTGTCCAGAATAACAGCAACCGATTAGATCAGCCGGTGGGGGGGGGTCAGAGTGCGCTCACGACAGAGAGGGAAAGAAGGGAATCACTGAGTTATTGTCTAACCTCTCGCTTCCGCACTCAACCTGCCCCATCTACTCAACAACAAGTCCCTCCATTTGACAGCTGTGAAGTCTGTATCAGCTGTGCTCGAATGTTGTGTGACGCAGCAAAAAAAGTACATTTCTCGTATTTGGAGAGGGAGGAATCCCGTGGCCCGTCGCTCCATCAAATAGGCCGTGAAGTACCACTAAACCTTTCACTCGAACCAAATGTGAATCTCAAAGAACGAAAGTAATGTGTTAAAAATAAAATGGGTTACCTTTAACTAATTATAGTATAACTCGAGCATCTATCAGTGGGGTTGACAAAGACTGTTTTGATAAGTTTGCGTTGGCCGACCAGGCCTGGTTCCACGTTAATGCTCTGCTCGACTTAAACTCCGCAAAGAGTTGCCTTATCCGTCCATTCACACGCAGTCAATGGGACTTTGTAGCCACCCCATAGCTTCTTGTTAGTCCACAGTAACGGCAAACCCAGTCAGACTTTGACGAGGGTTCTGAGGTATCGTGGGACGTGCTGCAAAAATATTATCGTGTCAAAACGTGCAGAACCTGAACAGGTTTTTGGAAACTATTATACCTATTTTGGTTGTGTGAGAATAAACTAACGTGACCTTCTGTACTTCAGAATACCGCCGTAATTGTAACCTTTCCATCACGTTCAATGGAAATAAAATTATTTTTGAAATAACCTAGTGTCTCTGACTCGTTTTCTGTTTCGGCCACTACGCCCCGAAACTCTGGAACTCTCTCCCTCCCTTCAAATCCCACCTAAAGACCTTCCTTTTTGATGGTGCTTACGGTCACCACTCCCTCTCCCCGTAGCTTGGAGTTAGACTCCGCCACTGTCAAGCGCTCCGGGACGCCACCCCTCATGAAGGGCGCTGTGTAAGTGAAAGTTACTGTTGGTGGTGTTCCAGAAACAGACAAGGTTAAGGCGCTCAATAAGGCGGGTTGGACATGACCAGTCAATCGAACGGTAATCAGATGCACGTGACCTGAAACTCTTCTCCAACACCATCTACTTCTGGAGCAGAAATCCTGCCAGTGCGGGTAATGTCCTGTAAGTGTTGGTATAGGCAGAACCAGACTCCTTGTCCACTCTTAAATGTCTTATTCCTTATTTATGGAAAAAGTATCCAATTCCTTCCGAGTCTGGACTTAATTTCCCCAAATATGATTTGAACACTGAACATATATATATATATATATATACACATTTTGCAACAAAACCTTGCATTTATATAGCGCCCTTGACAAGGGGCAGCATCTCGGAGAACTTATATATTTATAGATATGTAAATGCTTAGTTTTTATACAAATATGTAATCATTTTATTTTGACTGAGGCTTGGTGCCCAGGCAATGTTCTCAATAATTTTGAAGGCATCTAAAAAAACATTAAGATGTGGCAGGAACCCAAGGTGATATTTACTAGCACCTGCCAAAGATTTGCGCTGTGCGTGGCAATGTAATTGGCGGGGCTAAACTTTTCATATATATATGTTGTTAAAGTCTGAGAAAAAGATGCCTTTGATTTGACAAAGGGTGGGGCGCAAGATCAAACTCTCTGAGATATATTTTTCCCCCCTTTTGCGAAGCTAAGGACCAGTTGTGTCTCAGTCATTTTGTATAAATTGCAGGTGCAGTAAATGTTGATGATCTGCTGCTGTATTTATTATTATAACAGTGGAATAAAAATACTGTTATGCCTTGTCCTTGTCTCACGCTCTAAACTTTAACTCAGGCTCTAAAATAAAATAATGATCCTTGCATTTGATACGGCGCCTTATCACGTCTTCGAGACGCCTCAAAGCGCTTCACAGGAAATTGGCAGCCAATTGCGCACAGCGGCGTCCCACAAGCAGTCGTGGATTGAGTGACCAAATTATCATTGTTTTTTTTTGAAGCGCTCATTGCGAGTTGTCGTTGATGCTCCTATTACAGTCAGGGCAAAGCCTGGTGCTACGCGCATTGAGAACGCACCACCGCGAGAATATTATGCAGCGTTATTTCTGAGATCACTCAAAGGTTCCAACGCGATTTCCCACCCTGTATCAGCAATTTGTTCTTTAACGTCTCTGAGATTGAAGTGAAATCTGGACTCTTTCAGAAGTGAGGCTTAGAATTTGCTGGAACGCAACTCACTTTTCTCATCACTTACGATAAGAAAAGACCCGGGGAATAAAGTTTCTCCCGTGCACCAACCCTGACCCCAAACGCTTTCATCTTCTCCCAGCAGTTGGATCAGCACACATACCTTGGGGTTCTCCCCGTCACAGTGATAATGGGTTAACTGAAGTCTGTAGCAGGAGGAGTGGGAATTCCTAGCCTTCAATAATGCAGGAAAGAAGCGGAATCCTGGGATGGATTTCAGGGAACTTGGAGCAAGAGTTTTGGACGGTGAGAGTGGGCTTGATCTGAACGAGCCTTGGAGTCATCTTCCCGGGTGGCTTCATTGAATGGCTTGTGGCACTGATGCTCACTCACTCACTCACCGTGTCTCTTGCACTTTGACGACTTGTCACGAGAAGATTCTGAGGTGTCCCACCCAACCTTCTGGACCCCATCACACCAGTTCCAGCCAGCACTTTGATGTAGTACCTTATCATGTCATTGCGATGCCTGGAAGAGCTTCACATATACTATTTTGTGACAGCCAGTTTGCACACAGCAATTTTCCGCGAACAGTCATGAAGTGAATGATCAATTTTATTTGGAGGATTAGGAAACTCCCTTCTCTTTTCGAATAGCTCAATGGGATCTTAAACATCCACCTGAACAGGCAGATAGGACCTCGGTTTAAAGTCTCATCCAAAGGACGGCACCTCCGACAATGCAACACTCCCTCCAGCACTGCATTGGAGAGTCACCGTAGACGATGTGATTCCAAACCCCAATGTGGGGGCTTGAACCTACAGCGTTCTGACTCGGAGGCGAGAGAGCTACCACTGCGCCAGCCTGACACATGGCAACTGAAGCAAAACGACCTGAAGTGGTTCTGAGATCGATGAAACGCAGACTTTTGAAAAGAAAATCGGTTTCCAACACCTGCGCTGGGCACAGAATTTGATTCCTGTCCTCATCACCGCGTGCGTGTGTGTATGCGTATGTGTTTGCTGTGAGTGTGCTGTGTATATGCGTTGTGTGTGTGTGCGTGCGTGCATGTCATGTGTGTGTGTGTGCTGTGTGTATGTTCACATGGGAGAAAGTAAGCAAGAGACCAAACCAGGCTCCGGCTTTCAGCTGTTAACCACCTCGGGTTTTCCGAGCTACTTGGTGACAAAAAGTCAGCTTTAAATACCTAAACAGCTGAATCAGAGCCAATTCTCTTTGGGTTGGAGAGCTGATGGTGAGTGCCGTACGCTCTCACAAACTCTGTGCAACTTTTATCCAAGTAAATACTGTGAAAGGGCTTTTTTTTTAAAAAAAAGTTTTAAAAAGTTGCACAAACTTGTCTATTTCTTGTGAGATTACAGAAGAAAAGAGGAGCGGAGAGAGAAAGAGAGAGAGAGAGAGGGAGGGAGGGAGGGGGATAAGCGGGATTCCAGTTATTTGATCTTTGTCTAAAGGGAGAGGAGAGAGAGAAAAAAAAGAGCGCTGCATCTAACAGGTGCCTTTAAAGGCATTTTTCAATCTTGTTGAAGTTTGCGGACAGAAGTTGACAGGTTTCCAACTATTCCTGGGGTCAGTTCGGGCCGAAACTTTTTTTCTGGGGAGGCCAAAAGTTGTCATCACATCTGGTCTGCGGACATCTGTCCAGAAACATGACCCTCCCCATCAACACGACTCCTTTATAATTCATCTCTTCGCAGGTTAACTTCTCGAAGATCCGACAACATGAAACTTCTGCTGTTCCTGTTCTGCGGTAAGTTAACAAGTCAAACTATTCGGAATTTGAATGACCATTTCTCTGTCTCTCTCCCTCTACCACTCCCCCCCCCCCCCCCTCCGCACCCCACCCCACACACACACACACACGAAAAGGAAAGTTTCCATTGCATTAGCTCAGAGAAGTGTTTCCATACTTAAATCCAGGATTCATTCCTAAAATGGAAGCAGATCAAATTTTGCACATTGCTCCAGCTTACCCCAAAATAGCTTCTAAAAAGTTTCCCAAAATAATCTAAGCTGGGAGAGAACTCTTCCCTCCCTCCCTCCCTCCCTCCCTCCCATCCACTCCCCATCACCACAGTTCCAAGAGTTTAATGATATTTCTGCTTGTTTTTTTTTCTCGGTGTGATGAGGTTTCTATTTTGGGAAAGAGTTTCAATGATTTAATGATGGAAACAGTAACTTGTAAGAAATTCCAATTGATTGTCGGATGGCTTTTCCGGGGGCAATAATCCCTCGGGAAAATATAAATTATAAAAAATAATAATTTGGTCACTCAATCCACGACTGTTTGTGGGACACGACTGTGCACAATCGGCTGCTGCGTTTTGCCCATAGCGAAAATATACAGTCAATTCACTTTACAGCATATTCTGTGAAGCGCTTTGAGATGTCTCAAAGATGTGATGAGGTGCTGTATCAAATGCAAAGATTATTATTGTCATTCTAGATACATTGTCCATGAATTCCTTGGGTTTAGCCTGGGTGAGCTGGGTTCGCATCGCACAGTCTTGATCTGAAAGCCCTAGGAGACGAGACTAAGTCCCATTTGATCCTATCCTTCCAGAATACAGTCCTCCCATCACAGCCATGAAGTTTTTTCTTGAAGAAGTCCAGCGTCCTGGCCTCAACCACCCTTCCTGAGAGTCTATTCTAGTCATTAGTTATTCTAATCGTCGCTCATCATAGCTCATTCCTCTAACACTGGGAATCATCCTCGCTGTTCTCCTGTGAACTATCTCTACGGCTTTTGCGCTCCAGCCCCAGCCCCTTTATGTTGCAGTAACAGGAACAATATGCAATACCTCTGACCAGAGCACTAAACTATTTGGCAATATAGACCTGCATCCTGTTTGCCTTGTTTATTTCTGCCTCGCGTTGCTTTGACACAGTAAGGGATGAGTCAGCTATCATCCCTAGCAATCTGATCGACAGCTAATGTTCAGCAGTTAATTCTTCCAGCTTTTCTGTTTTTTTTTCTGTATCAAATGCAAGAATTATCATTATTGTTGTAGAGGTCACATTATAGCAAAGCATGAAGAATCAACCAGGTCATCAGCTTGCTGGTAACATCTGTTCCTATGTGCACACGCCCCACATAATGCCCCAGTTATCACCAAAACAATGCTGGAAATCTGAAGTCGTGGAGAACACTCAGTAGGTCAGACAGCAACCGTGGAGAGAGGAAAGTGAGTTCCGACGAAAGGTCATCGACCTGAAACATTAACTCGCTTTCCTCTCTCCGCGGATGCTGCCTGACCTGTTGAGTGTTCCCAGCGCCTTCTGATTTTATTGCCCCAGGTAGCACCAGTAGTGTGGTGTACTTCCTGGTGTCTGCCCTTTGTGATCCAGACCCGTGTCTTCTTTGTCCTACTGCCTGGGCGCGTCCCAAAAGCACTCTTCTGGGTTTACTTTGTCATTCCGCATTTGACACACCTCTTCGAGGTCCCCTCCCGAGTTCTCCTCTCAAGCAGAGCCCTAGCTTGTCTGTGCTTATTGCTCATTCCCTCTGCTCAACCCTGCATAAGGTCCTCGTTGCTCTCCTCTGCCTCCAGGACACCCTTGTCTCTCGCTGACCAGAGCTGAACACAGCACGCACACGGCAGCTGAGCAACAGAATGCATCTATTTTTTTTTCACGAACGTTTCTTGGCTCTGAGCACATTCCAGTGAATAGACAACATGACCCACATACCGGCTGGTCCCTGATTGTGGATTCTTGCTGACAATGGGCGGGCAGGCACAGACCATTTGTTTCAGACTTGTAGCATGAGGGGTTTAGCTGAGGGTAGGGTGTGGGCGTGGGGGGGGCGGGGGGGGGGAGAGAGAGATGCTGTGAGCTGCTTACAATGAGGATGGATCCAGTTCTTCCAGTTCCACGCGCAGTAAACAGTAACACTTGAAAGGCTACGTACAGCACTGCAGTGGGAAGCAGCTTTCAAACAGTTTGTCTATGGGGCTTTCAGACAGTTACTAAATCTGACCCGCTCTCTCTTGTGAATGCTTCGTGCATCCTTTTGTGTATTTCTTTCTCCCCCACCCAATCCCTCATTCCTTCTCTCTCACCCCGTCTTTCTCTGCCCTACCTTCTCTTTCTCTGCCCCCCCTCCCTCTCCCTTTCTCTCCCCCCTCCCTCTCACTTTCTCTTCACCCCCCCCCCCCCCCCCCCCGCCCCGACTCACTCTCTCTTCTCATTTTTCTCCCTTCTCTTTCTCTTTCTCTCTCACTGTCGTTCCGCTTTGGGATTTTTTTTTCTTTCTCTTTTACTCTCCTGACCCTCCCAGGTCGAGGAAATTAAATGGGGTCAGGCGTGGGGCTTGGCGTGTTACAGAGGAATAAACTGTGTCTGTTTTGTCAGCGAGAACATTAGTGAACTTGTCCTGACTTGGCCAAGTCACCTCGTAACATCCTGCAATATTTTAGAAGAAAATCCGCTGCAAAACGCTGATTGATTTCCTCTGCCCTCAAGACAGGCGGGACTTAGAGGCCGGAAAGTGCCTCGTAATCCTTGCATTTGACACAGCGCCTTATCACGTCGTTGAGACGTCTCAAAGCGCTGCACAGGATACACGGCGAAGTGAAATAACTGTGCATTTTGTGGGTGAAAAATCCTGCAATGCCTCGCTGCATTCTCCGCAGTTCCCTTTCCACCGCCATCGACGGATCCCAGAAAATGATCTTGACAGATGTGGAAAGGAAACCTCTTCCAAATCTGAAAGCTGTGAAGATGGTTTGGTGCTCCAGAGCGATCTTTTGAGCTGTGGCCTGAGACGACCGTCTCGTGTGTTTGTGTGTTCCAGGCTGTGTTATTTTTTTCTCTCCGGCCAGATCCTAATCTAGAATGTTCCAGAAACAACGAGAGCGAGTGAGTGAACAGTGAGTGTTCTTTTGCAAACGAAAAACAGCGTGTCCAATTTTTATCCTAATTTTCTCCCCACTGGCTGGGTGCCGGTAGCTTCCTGAACCCCCTACTCCCCCACCCCTCCCCTCTCCCCCTGTTGCCTACAGTTCATGCGGGAGGTTCTTAACAAGTGTTGGCAGAGAGAGAGAGAGAGAGAGCATCACAGCCGAGCCCGCCCTCTCCCCGCCCGGCTGTCACATGCTCCCAGAACCACTAGAGGGTACTGGCGAGGGACCGGGAGCAGGAACCCTGGCTAGTTTTTCCCCTCCCTAACCCTGTGAAGACCAATTTAGTTGGCAGAGAGATGGGAAGGCGGAAGTATCCAGTGGAAATATAATAATAATCCTGGCATTTAATATTGTGCCTTATCATGTTGAGATGACTCAAAGCTCTTTCTGTTCCCTGTGGTCAAGTAGCCTGCAGACACTCGCTGTCTAAGGCAAGTAACCGTCACAAAATCATGGGGAAAAGAGATCAAATCCTCCAGGAGACGAGGGGAAACTGGAGAATATGGGGAGACCCGGCAGGAAAATGGGTTTTTAGTTCAAAAGTACAGTTCTAACACGTTTTGGGTTAAGGTACGTGTACTGTGGACCAGTATATCGCGACTCCAGCTTCTGGTGCTGCCCGACCAAGTTCCTCATAACTGTACGCACTGGGAATCCGCACAGGTAGCAGGTAGATAGACGCTCAGCCTGAAGAGCGACACCCACAAAAATCCTGCAAACTCCCAACTTGTCAGTCACACAGCAACAAGTAGATTTCCTACACCACCAGCTTTCTGGACACTTCACAGACAACAACAGCTGCCAACAGCTGTCCCAACAACGCAATGATTATTCTTCAAGGCTGCGTTAGAAGGTGAATTACTGCACTGAACCCTGTCAAAGTGTCCGTCCATCATCAGGATCCTTTGACAGTGGGGGGGCGGGGTGTTGGGGTGTAAGTTTTTGGGGGTAAACCCAAGAAAAGGTCCAAGGTTCCAAGAGTAGGAGAGAAGACGAGATGAATGCGGAGCCGTCATTAGGTGACTGCAGACTCGGAGTTCTAAACCTATCGATCGTAGAGGAAGGGAACGAGTTTCCACGGCCTCCGGCAGGAGATGGTGGGCTGAGCCGTGGGTTATAATGGGCCGAGGACATGCTTTGTAGATGTGGAGCGTCAGCGGAAAATTCTGAAGAGCAACGATCACATTGATACAGTGAAATGAAATGAAAAATAATGGGGTTGCCGGTGCAGAAGGGTAGCGGTGATTTCAAGAAGGGTTCCCAGCGCGGTGGGGTGGAGCTCCTATGTGTGTGTGTGTGTGTGAGTGCTGTGGGACACTACCCTTCGTCAGGGATGCTATATAAATGCATGTTGTTGTGGATTTGGAGACTATTGAATATCATCCAGTAACCAGTGAGTTCAGTGAGGTGCTTATGTCTGGGTGAATCATATCCTGATCTGACAACAAATCTGCGCTTATTGTTTACATTCTAATGCATTATAGTTCATTACTCGTGTGTGTGTGTGTGTGTGTTCGTGCTGTGTGCGCGTGTGCTGTGTGTGGGTGCGTGTTGTATGTGTGGGTGCGCGCTGTGTGCGCGTGCTGTGTTTCTGAGTGTGTGCGCTATGCTTGTGTGTGTGTGTGTGTGTGTGTGTGTGTGTCTGGAGGAGAGATGTAAATCTAATCTCTCACTATCTGCTTGCCCTTTCACCCTGGACCAGGACTTCCATTCTCTGCCTTTTCTGCCCTCGTGACCTCGAAATATGCAGTTATCAAATCAGTTCAGTGATTAGTTTGTTGCATGGGCCTGAGGTGTCAGCAGTCACTTCCGACCTCCAGTTCCCTGAGATCTGCAGCGCACACAC